ACTGTTTACGTACGCGGACTACTGGGAATTCATGCGCGAGCGTGAAGTTTGGTCTCTGCTCGGATACACAGGACCCAAGCAACAACAAGCTTGTGTCGCGCAGCTGAGCGAGATCATAATGAGGAGATTTTGTCGACGATGGGCGAGGGATTATTTCTTGGAACTGACGCGCTGTCAACTGCCGATTCTCTGCTGTGACATTATCATTGAGCTGCTGAGGAACGAAGATCTGTGTAATATTTGCTTCGCGGCTGCGGGACGAAGCTCGGTTCAAAGTGTCAAAAAAAATTTCGAGGTAAATAAGTAAAATCAGCTGCAAAGTGTGCAGTACAATTATCTTGAAGTTCAAATAATGCAACAAATTCAAGAGAAACTTCAGGTACATTTTACTTTTTGGTTGGATCTTTTTTCTAGGACAATGTTCACAATTTACAAAGAAGAAATATTTCATTCTTTCGTTTTTTAATAAAAAGTATCATACATTAAAGTTTGTCTTGTTTTTTGGAATTGAGAAACCAAGTGCCCTCGCATAATATCTTCTGCTAATTTTTAGGCATTAGGAACGACGGCTTTCAGCCAAAGCGCTAACGCAAATACGCAGCTTTAAATAATTTCAACTTAAAAGAGTAAACTTTGTGAAAACGTAAATAATTTTTTTTGCATTACTGCTGCACTGCTTAACCTGATGGATGAATAATTTTGTCTCGTAATTTTTCTTTACACATAGAATTGATTCCAATGGGCATATATACATCAGTGACTGCAACGTCTCATTGAGTAAATAATTAATTGCCCGAAATTAATTATTAGACTCTGGAGAGAGAGTGAAGAACGCGAGATTGCACTCTAGTCGTTATATCTCTCGACGAAAGGCTGCGCGGGAGGAGGTGGCAGTCACATGAACATTAAAGCAGCTTTTAAAATTGTAAAAAGCCTAGGAATTGGCTCAGCTGAAATTTCATCCCCCCTAAGAGTCATTTTTCACTTTAATAAAGCCAAATTATAATTCAAGAGACTCTGTTCTTCGGGGAGGCTCTAATCCCGTAGTTTCAACGTGTTTTAATGCTCTTTGCAAATTTCTATCCGCGAATAAAACTCTTTCCATTTGACTCGCGCTGGATGAGAATTTATTTTTCGAAATCGTCCGTTTTCGTATTTTCTTTTTTGACCCCCTCGTTCGGAAACAGTGATGCTTTAGCGAGCCCGAGTCAACAAAGCATATACGTACGAAGTCATAAATTTTAATCGCGAAATTTTCATATCTAGAGTCCGATTTATTCCACTCGGTCATAAACGCGTGAGTTTGCGAATCATACTTTGACAATACAAAAACTCGAAATGTCAATTTTTACAACAAATAATCTGTATCGAATAATGCACCATATACGAAATTCCGCAATTTTTCACCCGAGCGCATCATCGTCGCACGGCCTAATCACTGCAAACGGGGGGTTTGTTAGTAGTAGTTCAGCACTTAATTACTGGAAAGTCTGGAGCAGCAGCAGCAGCACTAAGTGTGTATAAGCCAAGAGGGAGAGGCTAATGTACACCGTTTCAACGTCACGAAGCTCTCTCGAGTGCGCGCCGCCTAGGAGGAGCAGGCGGCTCGATCAAAATTCAGTAGTAATTATACACCGTAAACAATTTTGATATTAATAGCGCAGCATCGCCGTGATGTGTAAATTTTCCCTTCTTCGTTTAGGTATAACGGTTGTGCGTTATCATTGTCGATCAATTGTTAAAGACAAAAAAAAAGAAAAAAGAAAAAGAATGAAAATCGTACATTTTCCGCACGTTCGAGCCACTATTCTTGCGATCCCGTTTTTAATTCTGTTTTTTACAGGATTTTACCTCGAAATTGGTAGGAAAGAATGTACATATATATCGATCAGAGTTCAAGTACATTAATTACGGTTATCGAACTTACTGCTAGGGCGCTTCCGAATACTAGCCTTAATTATTGGAGCTCTCGGAGCAGACATTTATTTCGCAATATAGTCGAGCGAACTTTTATCCATCTGTTAAAAAGTGGAGATTGTATATACGGGACATGTCGCAATTTTTTTTTTTTTAATAATAACGCCGAAATGGTGAAATAACCAAATATCCTTTCCGAATCGGTGAAATTTCGTTTAAATCACTTTTTGTTTACATCTTTGTCGGTGCGAATTGGAACAAACGAAAATCCGCCGCGTAGCGGCCTCGAAGCTCACTACTTTCAATAACAACGATATCGACGCGAATGCCCCTAGCATCGACGCGAATCGTACACAGCTGAAAGAAAACAGCGATAATCCGGATTCGCACACCCTCGTCGCGTATAATCCGCAAGTGCCTTTACCAATTTTTCTCTTTAACTCTCTCTGGGTTTCAAGACACCATAGGTAGCCGAAGGGTAGAATAAATGTTCAAACTCGTATTTTGTCACTTTCCGCGAGAATTACGTCGAATCGTTGCAATTTAAAACTCATCCCTCATTCTTATCACGAGAATCGCGTACTCGTCAAACGCCGTCGATAGACAGGAGTGACACACAATTACGGAACATCTGCAGGGGGGGTGCTCTGAATATACGATTACGACGCGTCGCGAGGCGAGCTTTCGGCGTTTTCGAGAAACGACGACGAGCCAGCTCGCGAGATTAAATTAACTCCGCGCGTCCGAGTCACGGTGCGCAAGAAATATACGGCCTCCTCGTCGCCCTCCCGAAAAAAAGCTTGTACAGGAAAGAAGAAAAAGAGCTTTGCATGTGTGCGCGCTCCTTTTAAACCCGAGTATGTGTGTGTGTGTGTGTGTGTGTGTGTGTGTGTGTACCTGCACACACAGCATTAACGCTTTATATATCTGGGACGCGCCTACAATGACCTGCGCGTGGGCTCACCGATAGAGCGCCCGCTGCTACTGTTGCGCTGCACCTGCAGCCGCAATATCGATTGCTCCGGCGCTCCGCTCCGCTCTCTCGCCTCCTCTCGCTCTCTCTCTCTCTCTCTCACTCGCTCACTCTCTTACCCTTACACAGTCCCTCGCTCTCTATTCTACCCTAGATGCATCCGATGTACCTGACAGAGCAATATATACACCTTTATTACCCATGGTGTAAAAAATGAATCTTTCCCTCTCACTCTCTTTCTCTCCTTTTATTCTTCTCTCTTTGTCATCCAGCAATATCTCTATTCATGCGTTAGAAAATGTTCACTTCTCTTCGTCTCTCCTTCCTCTCTTTCTCTCTCTCTCTCTCTTTTTTCTCATGCACACACTTCGCTGCACAATTCGTTTACTTCACTACAGTTACTTCAGACTCTTCCTTTTTTTTTCTCTCTCTCTCTCTATGATCTATAACATCCATTTGTAAGGATGCCTTGAATAAATAATGAACGCGAGGCTCGCTGCAGAAACAATATTGAAAATCAACAGTTGGCCTTATGCAGTATTCATGCAAATCATACTTGATCGTATTATTTATTTAAATTCGTATGGCGGCGGCGGCGCGAGAGACTAAACTGCTAAATGGTACGTGCACTTCTCCGATCTTTCTGCAAAATTTAATCGAGCTGAAATATTAAAAGCTTGCGTGACGTTTTTTTTTTTCATGTCTCGCGTGTCTTTGCTTTTTTCGAAAAACATAAATTCCAAAACAAATGTGCATACGAACGCGGGTAAGATAATATTCATATTTTTTTGAAATCATAAAGTAGAAAGTGCCTCGCGGTGCGTGAATAAGGTAATCAACTCTCGAAATATCGTGCGCGTGATCACGGTATTACCCAATATAAAAATGATTATTTCCAATTCTTTTTTCGTTTTATTTATTTATTTTTTTTTCTGCGGAACAGCAGAAAAACGTTCGCTCGAAAACTGCCTAACTGCTACTTCGAGTTCAAAATCCTTTTGATCATATGCCGCGCGGCGCGTGTATAAACTATTGCATTTCCCTTATGAATAATTTATATAATAGCCAAAAACACTCGAGCACACAAATTTCCCAAGTAAACTCGACCAAAACTGTTTGATACAAACTCGTGAGAGATTTATGTGCAGGTATATCGATAGATATATATCATTCCTAGTTGAAAAATAGAGCATATACGAGAAGTGCGCAAATAAACTCGGTATAAAAACTGCGCGCGGAGGAGTCTCAAATTTTCTGTGCAATTTACGATAAAGCATATTGAAAAATGCTTTGTGCCCATCGCATGTAAAGAATGCCCGGTGCAGATGTTGCCGTTTGTGTGGCACACACGCACACACACACATTTTTTACACAGGACGACGTTGTCCCCAAGAATAAAATTGTTAAAAATAACCATCGATCGATCCATGATTTATAACGAGATAAAGCTCCACCATTTGACGATTCAGAGAGATTATTCGAATACTTCCCTGGTCATGTTGCAGCAAGGAACCTACGTTTTATTGCTACAAAAGCATGGTCGTGTATCGATAAAGCAGCTTTGCAAGCTCGAGCAAGTTAAAAGTTTATCGTTGCAATCGTTAAAATTAGTTGCACAGCTCGTTTTTATTTATAATAGTTTTTCACCACCTTTTCTGGTAATTTATTTATCGTCCGTAATTTACTGGTACGTAAATAATTTACGACGGTACGGTCTCATCGCAGAAATTGATTTTTGATTAAAATGAGATATTCAAATAACTACTCATCAAAAAAAAAAATTTACGTATTAAGTATAAAAATGCCCTCTTCTACTCTGACATAAATATGCCCTGAATAAATAAACCGATGAAATTTCTAAATAACGAATGGCCCGAGCAAAACGTTTAATTACTCGCGTTCAAAACTTAATGAATTGAAATGACAATTAAACAGTCTACAATGGACAAACCATTAGTTCGAGTCACGAAACACTTTCACTCTTTTCTTTTTTTCTTTTTTAATCGCAACTAATAGTTATAAATTAGCATTATTCATGTCTATTCTGCATCGTTGAATCGTCGCGTTGCCGTAAACGAAGTGCGTGTGTGTGTGATGTGCATTTTATTACCGACTAATTTGCTGAACTGCGCCGGTGGCCTCCACTCCGGAAAATGCCTGGGAAATCTCGATCGGGACCAGAAGGTTTTCAGCGTGATTTTGTAAATGGCCAGCTTGTTCTGTCGATTCTGCAAATCGGACGACGCCGGGCCGCACTGGGCACGCACCGACGACAGCAGCAGGCAAGCCAGCAGCAGCATGTGCACTCCCAGCCGGGTGATTGCCTTCATTTTGACTTCTGCGCCTCTGTAATGCAACAAAGCGGACATGATTTAACCTTATGCGAAGTGATGGTTCATTCAACGATTATTTATTTTTTTTTTTTTTTAATGCCATTTTTATACAATAACGGGGGGGTATAAAAAATATGTAAACAAATAAAAAGTGCCTCTGACAAGTCGCGCTATATAGAAGCGAAATATTTCTGTCACTACCTCTGCGCACAGTAGGGAATCTTCCCCGTGCCTCAAGACGCGCGGCGATAACAACAATAATTGCATCTACCGCCGTAGGCACGCGAGAGAGCCCCTACTACGCTAGGATTCGCCTTTTCGAGCGTTGTTAACGGAATCGTTCCGTGCCGACGATAGCGTAGCACGTACCGCGCGAGGACAATAACATTACACGGGTTATTTGGGTAGTTGTAAATGATATTCGCGCACAGCAGCAGCAGCAGCTACTGCACTGCACCGAGCGCACTCGTAAAACGAAACTATTTCGCACGCCGAGCCCTCGTATAATTAAAACAGGCTCGTATTTAGCATGTTAATAATGATAAATTAAAATTGTTATATTCCTCGCAAAAGTAATAACCATCGTTATCGGGCTGAATCTTGGAAAATTACGTTTTAACGTACACACGCGCTTGGAATCGAAGAAACCAGGAGGACAGTTAATTAAGCCGTTGAAAATTAATTTTTTGTGCTCGCGCGCGCGAAAAAAAAGTTTTTTTTTCCGCCAATTCCGCGCGCGCGCGCACACCTAATTCCCCGGCTTTTAATCTATTTTAATCCATTCGTTCGCGAGCAATCGCGCCATAATTCAGCAATTAAAATTCAAAGAACGTGGTGTACGCACTGCACATTCAACAGTGCGCGATGATGATTTCTGCTTGCTGCTCTCCGGCTTGGAAACTGGCTACAAAGCGAAATTTCACGAAAAGGGCTTTCACGTTGATTAAATTGTTTCGGTATATTTGAAGAAGAGAAACGGGGAGAGAGAGAGAGAAAAAAATGAACTCTTTGTGGGCAAAAGGTATACCGAGTTATAAAATTGAAAAACCGACGACGATACGATTGAACTAACCATTGGTATATATGTAAACGAGACTCGGTCCGCGGAAGTCCGCGCGTAGTCGTGCACGGGCATACTTTCGGATTTCATTAATGAAAACCCAAATAGCGTATAAATACATCGTCAAAAGTTTTATATACTGATGCTTACCGGCTAGTCGTCGTCGTCGTCGTCGTCGTCGTCGTCGTCTCGAACTCTATATTCAGCGACGATTCGCAAAACTACACCATTCACTTAACGCCTCTCACGCAGCACTTACTTATACACACACACACTCACGAAAACACAGCTTTTGGCGGCTGCCTATAATAAAGCAGCGAAATACAACGTATATATATGAAAGCGCACAAGCACACTCTCCGATAAAAATAACTAGCGCCGATATATAGGTATATCATATGTATGCGCGCAACGCACACAACACTCCTCGAACAGTAGCTGCACACAACACACTCACGCACAGGAGGGGATTATAACGCGTAACACAAAAAAACAGGTAAAAGCGTCTCCTTCGGCTACATTATTTATCCCTGCTCGTCGATGCAATTGACACGGCAAAATTACACGAACGAACGTACGCGCTCGCGAAACGTGTATTTATTATTATTATTATTATTAGTTTTTCGAGAGATAGAGAGAGAAAACTCGCTCTGCCTCTGCTCGCGGCGCCGGGTCAGCCTAGCAGCAGCAGCAGCAGTAGCAGCTGATTACGCATTAAAGGGGGAGCTTATTTTGGGCTTGCGACAGTGACTCGAGAGAGACTCGCGCAGCGGAGAGTAGCGTATAGACGTCGGCGGCGTCGGCAAGCTCCCCGTGAGCGAGCTTTCCGAACCGGAGGTAAGCGCGTTACTAAACAAATCCCAACGCGACGCCAGCAGCAGCAGCCTCCTCTCTCTTTCTCTCTCTGTCTCTCTCACCCAAGCGAGCGAGCAAGCAGGCGCGAGCTTTATCCGCGCCACCACCACCACCACCATCACCACTATCGGCAGCAGTAGTAGCGTAACACAGAGGCGCTCGCGCATATATCCATCCCTCCCTTCGGATTTCAAACCCTTTGCCCGCGAACGAGAAAGTTCTCTCGCCGTGTATACATTGACATATTGCTCTAGATCGACGGTGTATGTAGATCGTGTGTGTGTGTGTGTGAGCGCGCGAGCGCGATGCGAAAAGTAAAAGAGCAGCCCCCCCTGCGCCGCGTCTTTGAGAATTTTCGTTTTTGAGTTCGATAACGAAGAGCTGATCACTTCTTGCGATCGATAAATGTGTACATAATATGCCTGGAGTGTATGGAAAGAGATGTTTTCATTTCGCTTCCTCCTCCTCAAATAGACTTTTGTTAATTGTTGTAGCTCGTATTGCGACTATATATTCACTAACTAGATCAAATTTGTGACTGATGTTTCTATACGTGGGTGTTTGAATTGTACGTATGTGGAACGAATTTTCTCAATAACGAGACGGTGAATGCTATTGGAATAAACTGTATTTGTTGTCGATGGGTTGAGGAAGAAGCTTGAAAAGTTTCATTTCGATTATTATATTTGTTATATTTTTTTAGTAATAGTTTTTTAATATTATTATATTTTTTTTAGTTTAATTTAGTTTTTTTTTTTGTTTGAAAAATTAAATTTATTTTTCTAGTTTTTTTTTGGAAGGATGAAGTGATTCATCAAAGTATTTGAGCATAGATTTCGAAAGATGAACAGTTAAACTTCAATTTAAGACCCAAAACGTTAAGATTCATGGATTAATCACGATATAATTACATCGTGGAATGTTTTTTATTCATTTTTCGAAAATTGAGTTAAAGATTTGTACAAAGGTTAACCAATTTTTGTAATATATGAGTGTAATATATGATGTTAAAAAAAGTTTCTAAAATGATTGTTTTATTAGCATTAATAAATAAAAGTAGGAGCGATAATTTTTTTGTGAGGAAGCTCTTTGCCAATGTATTTGCAGCGGTTTAACAATTCAACAACAAAAATGTATCTGGAAGTAAAGTTTTCTTTAACGAACTCGAGGTACCACTAATTCGTCGTTTTACTCACGCTAAAAAGGAAGTACCTGAACTGCGTTCTTCTTGTCTTTGGTCCTTATAGCTGCATTATAGGATGTGCGCAGACACGAAATATGAAAAAGATTATAGATAAGGGACTGTAGCTAGTATAGTAGTACTCGGGGTTGCTAAAAGTTAATTGTGTAAGTAATTACAACTTTCTTGAAAGACACGCGACAGCTCCATGAATTGATCGAGCATTAAAAAGGTTTAAAACCCCTCTGCTACAGAGATGAAAAAAAATAGAAGAGTGGGAAGATATCACTTCGATTCATAGCTCATTGAGCTCAACAGCGTTTTTTTACAATGGTTATTGAAAGACTTGTCCGGGTCGAAAAAATTGGATCTAAGTAATTAATAGACAGGGGACCTTTGACATTTTCGTCGTGTTAAAACTCCACCTATATTGTTAATGAAATGTAATTGTTTTTTACCACTCCTTGAACCGTTCAGATAACTTACAGATACTTAAATTTTTTATATTTTTTTTATTATACATTTTTTAATTTTTATGTAGGCGATGAAAATCTTTTACAGAATCCAGGCAAATACTTAAGATCATTGTACCCGCTCGATTGACTTACCTGTAACTATAAATCAAGTAACTGACTCATATGCTTTTAATTTATATGGGTCAGATTCAGAATTTTTTAAAGAAACCTGAAATTTTGGTATGTTATAAGTACATTGAAAGAGGGTCCCAAAACCAAAATTTTAGACCCGAAAGTTTTTTTCGAAAATCCCTCATAACTTTTTAAATACTCAACGCAGGACTAAAAATGATATTTTGGCTTCTTCCTTACAACAAAACGAATAAAATGAGACATCTACAGTAAGGATACGAACTACCGTCATCGAGATATCACTGCGCACATCCCAACCCACGCACACACACACATACAGACATGTGTCAGCAATTCGATCTAGTTTAAGAATATATATGTAAAAGTACTCTACGATTATTAGTTATGAAAGTCGAAAATCGGTCCGTCACAAAGCTTCCTCTATGAGGAAGCAAAATTTATGATTGAAACTATTTGTGAACAAATTAGAAATGATTATATTAATATTTCCAAATTATTTTTAAGTTAAAAAAAAGTATGAGGAAGCTACTTGCCAATATATTGGCAGCGGTTTTTTCAAATGTACGCTAAACAGTTTAAAACTGGTCGGTCGCAACTGACCAATTGATGGCCAACTGACTAGAATTAACCAGTACGACTTCTTAATTTTCTACCGGGGGATCGATGTGATTTTTTTCCTCGTCTTGAACCTTGTAAAGACTTCGCATGTACATAATTTTCTGAAAAATTGAATGCGCTTTCAGAATCCGGGCTCGAATTGAAGATTCAACGGTACAATAAAAAGTTATGATTGTTTGAAGAAAAAAAAGTAAAAATTTGTACAAAAAATTGATTTTAGGAATTTATTTCGAACTAATGCAATGAATAACTCAAGATATAAACATGATCAAAGGTGATCATGGGTGTAGAAGTACCTTGAGAAATTTCAACAGATCTTTCCAAACACTTTTTCTAACAAAATGACGTCTATGAAGTAAAATGTTAATAAATGCATGTAATGCACATGTGCATGTTTCAAATACATTTTTCTCAAAAATTTCAACGTTGACCTACATTTTTTTTACTGATTCTTGTTCGGTAGGCTTCAACGCTTCTTTTGGTATATATAACATTAATTTCTTCCATGAAGTCGTTTATCGAAAGAGCCTCCTGAAGGGGACCGAAGTTGTACATCTGTAGTGACTGTGCTCCCAATTTTGGGTGCTTCTCCGCTTCTCCCACTTACTCCCGCTGTGTCGCTCGGCGCTGTAGTGTCGGTTTGAAAGTGCAGTACGATTTGACTGCTCATTTGTGCTTCTATCTTGTGTAGGCTATGGCTTTAGACATGTGTTTTTTACTTTCCATTTCATATATCATAGTATATGCATACACGGAGAAATATGTACACCAGTTAACGCGACGTTAACGGAAAAGCGGCCTCAAAGTCGGACGTGTTTTCCACAATGTTCTTCCAAAGTTTTCCTTACTTATAATTTACATAAATCGGAAGGAAATCTATTCAGGAGTATTGCGTAAGAATTTCATGTTCGGGAAACCATGGAGTCAATACGGAGTTAATACGTCGCCCTGAACGCTTCACAATACGTTCGACGTGCTTGCCTTAAACTCAACGCGCGCGCCCGCCCTCTCGCGTCGCTGCATCGTGTTTTGTAGTGAGAACTGAGAATATTTCTCCGAATAACCAGTACACGAGAAGACGCCGCCGCGTGAACAGCTGAAAATATCGAATCGTTTTCAGCTATGTATGGTAAAGATTAGAAAGTGTACAATTTCCTTATTAAGGGGACCGTAGTTGTACATATGGAGTGACTGTGCCCCCACCACTTTGGGTTGGGACTTAGCTGCTTCTCGCACTTACTCCCGTTGTGTCGCTCGACGCTGTAGCGCCGGTTTGAAAGTGTAGTACGATTTGACTGCTCATCCGTATGCTTCTATCTTGTGTAGGCTATGGCTTTAGACATGTGTTTTTTACTTTCCATTTCATATATCATAGTGTGCAGTGCATAGTCAGTACACGAGAAGAAGCCGCCGTGTGAACAGCTGAAAATATCGAATCGTTTTCAGCTAGTGATTTTCGTTAAAAATTCAATAGTATTCTTAAATAATAAACTATACTGTGTTGTGTTAGTGAGTGCACAGAAAGATGCAGATCAATAACGAAGGCTCAGATCATCTTAACCAACAAAAAATAAAAAGATTGAAAAGATTCCGGAAAAAGGTAGATTGGGAGATCGAAAAAGAACGCCATGAACTTCTCGATCGACTTTATCCCTTGATCGAAAATTGGGAGGGCGACTACGCGGATTTCCTAGACATTTTTCGACGACCAGAAATCCATCGGCTTCTCACGGATTCCATAAATTATTGGGGTAAAGACGAATCTGATAATAGATTAATAGCATTCATCACGTTTGTTATTCGCACCGGCTTCGAGGACGAGCCTTTAGTTGATAAAGAAGGAAAGCCACTGTTGCATCGCACCACTGCAGTGCACATGGCAGCTCGACGCAGAATCGATAGCAGAATGGATAATCAAGAGGATCAGTCAGATATGGTGACCAATAGACTTTTCTCAATATACAACAAATTTAATGTGAATTACATCGACCAACGTGGCCTGTCACATTTTCATGTGGCCTGCTTGGCTGGCTGTGAGGCAGTCGTCGAGAAATTTCTCGAGTTCGGCCAGGATCCCAATTTTCTCTGGCGAGAAAAAGATTATTCGCCTCTGGACTTGGCTCTAGGTAAATGGACGTCTAATATTTGGAGCAACAAGGATATATTTCAATCGCTGTTGGAAAATGGCGCAAATCCAAATATACCCAATGCAGACGGAATGGCACCCCTGCACATTATTAGCGAGGGAATTTGTACTCAACGTACGGGGAAACACATGGTGGAGATGATTTTCGAGTTCTGCCAAGACAAGTATCGTCCAGTGCAGGTCAATGCCAGGAACCGGCGGGGTTTTACACCATTGCACATTTCTCTGTACAGCAAAAACAAGAAGGCGATCGAATTTCTGCTGAAAAATGGCGCCGATCCAAATGCGGTCGATAATAATGGATATACACCTCTACACACTTTTTGCTTCTTAAACGACGATGTTTCCTTGCTGAAGCTATTCTTCGAGATCAACAACGAGCTCCAGCAGACGGTGCATGTCAACGCCGTGGACAATAAGGGACGAACACCTCTTCAATTGGCGGTGGACCGTCTTTTTCCTGATGCGGTCGACATATTCTTGGATCGTGGTGCTGATCTATCCAATTTCGTTAACCCTTTTGATACAATTGTGAAACAAACTATTTTTTATGAATCATTATGTCATTATAAAATTAGAGACGCGTCTAGTATTTTGCTCATCGTTGAAAGTCTAGAGAGAAGAGGATATCATTTGAACCGAAACGACGCCCTAATGGTCATGAAATTTTTTGCTGATTACAAATTGTTCGAAAAATCATCGAATCTTGTTCAACGTTTGCACCCTGAAAAATATTGGTATGATGACGAAAATTTCACTAACATGGCCAAAAAGATTGAGATAAATCCGAGCCTGTCACTCCACGACCTGGTTCGGTTACAACCAAAACAAGCAGCGAAACAGCTGACATTTAAAAACTACTACGAGTTTGCGTGCTCAAAAAAGTTTCGTAGGCTTCTTAAAATGCATAAAAAGGCTTGTACTGTGCATCTGTGCGAAAAACTATCGAAAAAATTTTTTTGGCGATGGGCACTGGATTCTTTTTTAGAATTGACGCATTATCGACTGCCAATTCTTTGCTGTGAAATGATCATCCAGAACCTAGAGAACGAAGACTTATATAATATTTGCTTGGCGGCTACAAGTCACAAAAACAATATGGATAATAGAAAAAGAAAAAAGACCGGTAAAGGCTGTTTTGAAATTTATAAAAGAATCAAGAAATATGATGATTTGTAGTTTATTTGCTCAGCGACTACAAGCCAAAGTCCTGATGTTAATCATACTGGTGTTAATTATATGAACATATCTAGATGTTTGGTGTATCAATTTTTCCATGTTATTCAAATAAATAAACCTATGTTAATTTAAACTTTTTTAATTTTTTAATTTAAAATTTAAAATAATGCCTTTTATAAAGATGTCAAATATTAGAAAAATTCGAAAAAAATTTAGCAAGGAAATAGTTATTGGAAAATCATATTTATTACATGAGCCATAATATTACAACGAAAATTCGTAATACAATGTTTTTTTTTTGTACAGCAGTTGTTTTTACGTATCGAATCGTCTCATTTCATTATAATTACACTTTTCATCATAATCATTATCACTATCAAATCATATCAAAATTTATGTACAAAAATCTTGAAGAAAAGAAAAAATTATGTTACAGAGTTACATTTTTAGCTACATTTATTTTCTAATGGGTCAGGCTAGTGTTGTTAACTCGATGATATAATCAGCCACCTGAATGAAAGTTTTTCGCCGTTAGTACCTGCAAGTAAAATAGTTTAGCAATTAATAAACTTTATAATTAAATAAATTGTAGAAATAAATTATTCAATTAGATATTATTATTATTATCATTAATATTTTATTCTTATTAGTTGACTTTTTTCGTCAGTTAAACTGTAAATGATCATTTGTTGCGAGAAATCAATTTAGTCATTTTACTATAAACACGCGATTGCAACACAACTTTGAGATAAAAGATAATTAGCTGCATCGTAGAATATTAGTGAATAATAGAATAATTTTCAATAAAGCTGCTTGTTTCGGAGGGCACCGAAATCCGCATGAATTAATTGCAATCCAGCAACCATATTGCGGTCAAAAAAACCATCGTGCAGTTTTTTATACGCCAGCCGAGCTTATGTCTATAAGAAAGTAGGAGACGAAGACCAGCAGCAGCAGCAGCAGCAGCAGAGCGAGAGCTTCGCGCAGAGGATGCGAAGCTCCGACGCGGAGAGAAATGCCTCACCCTTCGTTATTAATTCTCCCGGGTGCAGCAGCGGCGACGTTGATGGGCAGAGCGTTGGACGCGGCTACCTGCAAGCGCGCCTCGACCGGCTGCAGTTGCCCATTGACATTGCCGGAAGAAGCCACCGCCGCCACCTCGTTATTAGTTTGGGCATTGTCATAGGCGCGACTGTAGGCCGAGTAGCCGGCGTTGTAAAGGTTGTTGGCGTTGTGGTTGCACTGGCCCGTCAGGCCGTTGTATCCCAAATGATTGGCGTGGCCATTGACGTAGTAGCCGCCGTCGTTATAGAGCGAATTATAGTCGGAATTGCCGTTATACCTATTGTAGTAACTGGGCCTGAAGCCGCCGTAGTAGCCTCCGTAGCTGCCGCCGCCGTAGCCGCTGCCGTAACCCGTGGCTCCGCCGTAACCGTAGCCGCTGCCGTAACCGCCGTTGCCGTAGCCGTAGTTGTTGTTGTAGTTGTTGTTGTAGCCACCTCTCCAGCCGCTCAGCGATGGGAAGCTTCCGGCGCCGAAACCTCCGCGACCGGCCGTGTACCTGCCGAGTTCGAGATAGACAGCAATGATACGAGGCTTCTTTTTCTCACAACGCAGACTCCGTCGTCTTCGCGGTCATTTCGTAATGTCGTATGCACGCGTGTAATTACTATATGCGGCTGCGATGGTTAACGAGCGCCGAACCGCGACTATGATAATGCGCGTTACACCCATCGTGTCAAATTGCGCGCGCAAATACATTTTTCGCCGAGTGAGAGCTGTCGTTTTGCGCCTAACATAATCGGTTGTGCGCGCGTTGCGTCACGAATAGCCAGCTGTACCGAACGAATTAGTAACGTCGTATTAGCACGTGACGCGTCGTTTTAATTTTCGAAATCAATGAGCCGAACCCGAGTGCAATTTGATGTAATATCGGACATGAAAATTATAGTAATCGATACTCCATTTTATTGCAATTATTTCTGCGTGAAATTTTTATTGCACTTTCATTAATTCTAATGCAAAAGTAAATGAAAAAAATTTAGTTCTGTTCCCAATTTAACGTTTGGATACTGATTTATTTTTTGCGTTGATCGTTAAAAAAAAAGTGTATATAAATTCAATCGTCATAATGTTAGCCTCCACCACTAGATGGCGAGTATCTTTATTTGGAAATCTGCAAGAGGCTAAGTAAAAATGATTCTATAAGTGAAGCACAAGTAAAGCAAAATTGAGAAGATTTTCGTGATGTTTTTATGAATTTAATTTATTTCTTTTTTGTGGTAACCGTAGCTCAATTGGCAGACTAAGTGGAAATTAAAATAGCACAAAATACATAATTTATAAGAACTGACGTGTTACATAGAAAAAGACTTAGTGAAGCGTACGCTGAAATTCGATTGTAATAAATCATGCGAATGAAGCTAATAAAACTACTAAGAGTAATATTTTATTTGTTCTAATGCTTTTGTACTTTACCACCATTTAGAGAAATCAAAAATGTTTTAAAGCAAGTTTTATAAGTTAAACTTTTCTCTATTTTCCGTGGTGTACGAGAATTTGACCATTTTTTGAATTATACAATGTTTAATCTATATCGTACTCAAATATGAACTCAAGTGGTAAATTTCCAAAAAATACAGCTTTCAACTAAGTGTACAACTTACCCTTTAATAGCTCCCACGCCTACGCCCAATCCAAAGCCGACTGTGCCGGCAGCGAGAGCCTTCTTCTTCAGCAACAGAATCGTCCTTTTGTTTCTGACTTGAGGCTCGTACTGTTGATTCGCGTCCTCTTGCATCTGAACTTCTTCCAGGTCGCCGAGTTGCTCTTGCGATCGTGCGAGATCGGAGAACACGGCGATCGTCAAGAACAGAACGAGCAGGGACATAACGTGACACTTCATCTGCATAATAATTAAACGTTTTTACTCATGGTATTATGGATGCATGTGTGAGGTAATATAATTTGTTAGTCAAATTCGTAAACTTTTTATTCGTTTGAAAAGTGAATTCATGCAGCAACATTTTTAATTTAATTAACTTCTAGTATGATGTTACGCGCGCGATGTGTCACCCCAAGTTTCGAAGGATAAATTTTTCAATGTACAAAAATTTTTATCCCGTAGGTGAACCATAATTTTTATGTTATCAAACGAATGCGATTGATCGTTGCACAATTAAAGATATTTTCATAAACTGCAGTAGCACTATTTATTTTTTTTTTCAAACGAGCATTGTCGCAAAAATGCATTCGTGATTATAACAACACCATTTGAAGACACACTGACCTTGAAGGGATATTTTTCAATTTTTTTGTCGTACGAACAAAAAAACACTTTAACAAAGTAATTTGTTAAATTTTTTTCACTATATTTATCACTGAACGCGTACGATGAAAATCTCGGCAAAAGAGAAACAACCGTCGAAGTAGTCGCGTTAGTAGACCAATTCGTGAGATGAACTCCGAGAGCTTAACTGGACAATTCGGTCAGGATGAGCCGGTACTTATATACTACACGCACTCGTACTACGTCTCTCCCACTCAAAGGCCACGAAAATAAAAGAAGCTGCTATTCCCTCTATCGCTGCCCGCGCGAGTACGTAGATTTCTCGTTACAACGCGGGGACATGTATATTATGACAATACGTACTTCCTTTTTTTGTGCGCGCGCGGCTACCGAGATTCCGCAAGCCAATTTCAGCTTAAGGGACCGCCGCCGCCGCGCATAGCTTTATACATATTCATTCCGCGGACGACACTCCTTCGAAAATACTTACTCCTCTCTTTTCATTCAGAGCCGCGGCGCACGAGAACACACACAGACACACACACACCTGCGTGCGTAAAGTGCGTAAGAGACTTTGCACTTTGCCTCCTGTCGTGTGACAGCTCATTGAATAAGTGTGCGTGCGTGTGTATGTATTATTGCTTTAAAAAAAAAAAAAAAAGAAAATCTCGCGACGCGGCCCACTTACTCAATACGGGATGTATACCTTTAACAATGTATCGATGACACGTCATACCGCTCACCTACTTAACACCTTCATCATCGATAATGTAACACTTGAAAAATACATATAAATACAATACTTAAGTATTGTTACTACACATTACATCTTGTGTTCTTTCCGAGAAGCGGAGAAAATCGCACATAAACTTTTTTTTCTGCGGTGCGCCGCGCGCGCGCGTACCTATATTCCTTTATTGACGTAAGGCCTAGAGAGAGTCGATCCGTGAGACGACGCTCAAATAAAGAGATTCTGCGCGCCTATCGTCGTCGTCGCCTTATCTCCTGGAATTCAGCCGCGCATGTTGCAGTCGCGCGCACGTGTGACAGTTTTTATACAACGGCAAAAAGGAAGAAATAACACACGAGGCAAACTGGTATCGCTTCAATTGGCAAATTTTGCGCGCGCCCGGGCTCCGAGAATTTTTGTCGAGCGCCCGCAATTTGTAAGGAAGCTACACACGTGTAAAAAGGAGAGAACAAAAAACGGAAGACGCTCCTGTCGCTCTGCGGCAATTAGGAAATTGCAAAATTCGCCACCTTTTTTTTTTATGCGTTTCGCCTCCTGCAGATATAATCGACTTCACTTTATGTTCTCTGAAAAATATTACAGTATTAAATAATTTCATCTTATAATTACGTTTGAGTATTATTAGAAGTATAAAAAAGTGGATGAGCAAAATTGTCACCAATGTTTTTCACGTAATTGTTAAATTTTTTATTAATTTATTGATAATTTTAAAATACATATTATTTTTTACAGTAAAAAGAGGGTAGTTCATCCACTCGATCAATTTGAATTAAAATAATTATATTTCAAATGCGTGGAAACCTGATTTTTTGGTATTTTAATGTGTTATAAAATAAAAAATTATTGTAATGGGGTTGAAAAGTGAAAGAAATACAAAAACGTATAATCGATTGACAAAAGCTTAAACAAATGTGTAATATCGCTTTCTGAAGTAATTTTTATTTACTGATAAATCAAGTTACCAATCAGATAAGAGATTCTCTTATCTTAGTCAATGTTGGTATTGCTTTTTATAACTAAATACAAAGCTCAGAGTGATAGTTGAAAATGTCAACACTAGTTATGTCTTCCTTACATAACGAAAAAATCATGGGAAGCAAATTTTTCAGGAAATTGTATCATGTATGAATTTAGATCACCTATATGTCTATATTTTCATTGTTTAACTTTTAAATTATTCATTTTGTAAATTTACAAGTAAATTTTATAGAATAAGACTTTAGCACAATAAATATGAAATGAGAATCCTGATAATCTTTCTTCATACTTCCACTAGGAATCTCTCACCATCGTTCAAATGGATTGTTTTGAAATTTTAAAAATGGCGCAAATTTTATTACTCAATTATTTAGAAAAAAATGTATTTCTTTGTATGCCAATAAATATAGAAAAAAACTCTTTTCAAAGGTAAATGCTTTGTATTTGTTCAAGGCGTGGCTAGTGCAATTTTCTTACAAAAAGAAAAATCTGTGGCTCAAAGTTCAGTATGCTGCCTGCATTGAAAGAAGAATAAAATATCAAATTACGCTCATTCGTGTAGTTCTTTTTATGTTTTATTTTACATGTTAACATGAATATTTTAGTTACATTTTTATTACATTTTATTTTCAGCAAAGATTGACAATATTGTGGAATTAATTGTTATATCGATACTTCACTGCAGTGCCGATTAACAGAATAAATTTATAATTATAAAAAATTCAAATTTCATTTTGTCAGCATGTTTTTTTACGGCAACAAATTAATGTATAAATTAAAATGTACGTAAATTGCTCTATTGAAGTAATAGTTGTATTCACTTACAAAGATAGACAGGTCAACCTTTAAACCTTCCAATGTGTAGAATGTAAGAGACCTGATAATTACATTCATTCAAGTATTTATTAAAAAATTATACAAATTTATTAATGTTTGAATTTCTCTTCAATCAATAAACAACATTATTATAATCTTCATTTTTATATAAATTTCATATTAATAAAAATTTCCGTTTGATTAATTATTTTGCATTCAAAACATTAATATAAAATATTATACATTTTTACGATGGAAAAATATTCCATTAGTTTTAAATGTAATAAAAAAAATGGACATGTAATATCATTGAATTAAATTTTCCGTAAAAGAGAATATTATTTAGTTGTTTTCATAATTAATCAAATTTGATAAATAATTGAGAGATGATATGAACAACGCGAAACTGTAACATCATTTTGAACTATCTTAAGTATTAATAGGAAGTTGATCTGAAAAAGTCAATGCAAATAATTATCCTATAAAATTACCGGAAACCTAAGCAAAATATTTACGTTTAATCTATTTTCGAGCGTCCCTTTAATTTCCGTAATCTAATTCAATGACTTCCATGAATGTGGTCGCGGACAATTTTTTTCAATCCGTTTTATAACATGTGTGGAGAGTGAAAGTACAGAAAGATCATTTGAGAAAGTGATTCTGCGACTAGTGAGATCACTTTTTTCTAGTGATTTTCTATAATTACGCTACATTTGCAGACCTATTTACCCGGAACTTACAATGGCGTTTAAAAACCTGTTTAAGAAGTTAACCAGCATCTCTGGTTTGTATAGTATTAACACAATTTATCGAAAATAAAAGCCTTTAAATATTTTTTAATTTGACTCGAATAATGGTATTGTTTGAAGAAAACATTATAATAATTGTTAAAGTACACATTTAAATTTTATTTTGTATATTATTCTTTACAAGTGGCGCAGTTTTTTTTTTGTAATACCGATTACACGAACCCATGATGAACATGAGAATGGGTATCGGGAAAAGAGGGTTCGAAATCCAAGTGATGATCGAAGGAGTGATGGTCCAAAGAGTGATGATCCAAGGAATGAAGATGATGATCGTGATGCAGTTCATGGTGGAAAACTGGTTCTTCGATTATTTTTGGTTTGTATATTGGGCCCTCGATGTATTCAACGTGACGATGAATCGGTGGCGGGGACAAGTATATCCGGTGAACTTTTGGTCCACTGTGGTAGCCATATTTGTATCTATAACCCACGGTTATCATCGAACATTCAATAATATGATTTTAATGTTTTTCCAATTATAAATAATCTATTTATTTTATTAATATAGTTGACCTCGTTATTCAAAACTGAAACAATTTAATTATTTTTTAACTTTTCTACATTGCGATTAATTTTTTTAATTTCTGATAGCAATTCAACAAATCAAAAATTGCGATTAATTCGTTTGTGCTCGAAACGCGCGTAAAGCAAAGGTAAACAGATGTTGAATGCGAGGATTAAGATTAGCAGTGATCGATCGATTCTGTTTGGCAAACTCACCCTTTAGCCAATCCAACTCCTAGCCCGAGTATTCCTGCACCGGCGATCAATTTTTTTTTCAGTAAAAGCGTTCGTTTTGACCTAGCGTGTGGCTCATCTCCATCCTCTTCGTTGAGCGTCAATTGCGTTTGCTGCTGTTCTGGCAATTGATCGGCGTACGTACAAACGACTACGCAACCGATTAATGCCAGAAATAATACACTTAAGCACTGCATCTGTTTTTGGCAGAAATTTTTTTGTCAATTCAATAAATTGAACTATGAACGTGTGTTTAAATAAAAAAAATATTTTAGGCTAATTTTTATCCACGCAGACTCGATTAATTTTAATCATGATTCAAACCATAAATAAATTGATTCATAATCTTTGAACTTAGTCTATATAATTGTTTGTAATTTGCGCTCTTTGCTGCCTAACTGTCTGATTATCCAATTATGCTCGTGAGAATTCTCTTTTTTCAGTGTTTATTTTTTTTCATTGTCTTCAAGTGTTGTAATTATTTCTCACAAATGAATACAATACCCATAACGACAGTTGATAATGGTAAAACTAGTTATGTCTTTCGTGCGCAACGAGAAAAGTTACGCGAGGCAAATTTTACCGGGAGTGTCTCTCCACGCGTAAATATAGATGACCTATATGCTTTTGCTACTAATTGTCTTTTAAATCATTCATTCAGGAAGTATAAAAGTAAATTTTACGAGGCGAGATGTCAGCGCAATAAGAAATTTGATCGAGAATAATAATAGAACTTTTTGCAATTTAATTCCTATCGAGTTCAAAATATATGTTGCATCGATTTGATTTTTCTTGTATTATTTATAATCTAATTTAACGGTCTGAACTCAACAAAAAAATTATTCATAGTATTGATTTCTATATGAATTGTTCAAACCAGAATAATTCATTTTAATTATAAACACAAAAGCTCGGTGAAGCTTTTTTTTCAATTTTCAATCAATTCTAAATTAACATTTGAAGATACACAGCTCTTTAATTTTCGTAGAGTCATTGATAATAAAAAAAAACAAATCACTCTCCGTCCTCAAGTTCCAATTTATAAAAATGTATACACTTTAATGTTATTATAAGAGGCAAAAAAGGCATTCAAAATTTCGGATAAAATTAGAACACAACTTGATCGAGCACATTATCACAAGAATAGTCGCGTGGTAGTGTTATTGAACTTGACGAAGCTATACAAATTACTACCGACAATCGAACGCACATTCACTGCTCTATCTCACCTTCGTATCAAAAGAGTCTCTTTTAACGTTGAAAAATCGAAAAAATAAATAAAACAAATGATTCGTACGCAGGTAACTTTGACGCTTAGCCGCGATATCGAACCACCCACTGCAATTTATAGCGGCGCGACAGGTTCATTTATAATCGGAGCGGTTCCAAGTGAAATGCTCGTCGATTCGAATGCACGCGCACACACGCGGCTGCATCACGCGAAAAACGGGGGATACATTAAATACGGCGTGCCTATACACAGTGTTGTACACGGCACGCGCGGGGTATTACGCACACGCGGCGCGCGGAGGATAGCTTTTACCTCTGCGTTGCGGCATCGTCGCGGTGTCGACTCTATCGCGTATATACCCGAATCTTTGCTTGCCGGTCATGTCCCGCGCGGACTGTTTGTCGATTCCAAATGAGATTCTTCGTTGTACAAAGTTCGCCCGCGCAATGTTGCGTTTCGATGATGCTGCTGCTGCTGCCCATCGGTTTTGGCATTGCGTCGCGCGAGAAATCGTTCTTATTTATTTATTTATTTTTTTTAAGAGTTTTCTGCGAGCGCGTCGCGTTGCTAACCGAGGGGGTTCATTGAGTATTAATTGTGTATTCGTAAGATTGATTTGAAAATTGAAACTAATAGAGCTTTCACTTTTTTCGATAAAAGTTTGACATTGTATCAGCTTTCAAAAAAATTGGTGGAAAAGATGCTTTATGATCTAAGTATAAAAACTTGGTTCCGCGAGGTTGAATGTGAAAAAATAAAAATAATGAAATTGTTTAAAAATAAAAATAACGTTTTTTTTTTTATTTAAAATATAAAAAGGTGAGCTATGGTATAAACAGTCGAGAAAATTTAACACAAAATACTGTGCCAACTATTACTTTAATCTCTTAATAACAATGTACAAAATCAGTTTCTTAGTCTAATCGCTTTGGCAAGTCTTGGTTGGATAACTCTAGTAGGAGCTGAAACGGAAAAACAGTCGAGTTAATTTCATGGGATCGATCAATGCATAATCCGATAAATTTTCGGCAACGAAATATTCGATTTACTCACTAAGGAGATCCGTAAGGAGATCCGTATCCTGCACCAGCACCAGCGTATGCTTGATGACCAGCTGGAGCACCGCCGCCGAGTCCTCCGGCCAAACCAGCCAATCTGTGAGTGAAAGAAAATCAAAGGATTAATTTCGTTTATTTTTTTTTTTCGTAATTTTATAACGAATAATCCCGAGCTAAAGCGCGACAACTTCGTCAAGAGTATTAAAGTCGCGACTCGCGCGTATACACGAGTTCGGCAAACAAAAACTCGCTTGAAAAATAGCGAAAGTATAAACGTAGCAGCAGCAGCAGCAGTAGTAGTAGGGGAGCTTACTTTTTGCCCTTGATAAGGCCGAGTCCTAGACCGACGGCACCGCCGGCCAGCAGAGCCTTCTTAGCGATAATCTTCTTTACGATGAACCTCTTTTGACGCGAGTGCAGAGCCGTGCTGCTGGCTTCCGCCGATGCAGCATCCTCGAGCTCGAGCGGCTCGAGCGCGGCATAAGCCACGGTCACCAGCAGGGCAACGAAGATCCAAAGTTTCAGATACATCTGTAAAAAGTTATGAAATAAACGTCGAGGGATATTAGATACGGACAGGAAAAAAATAACAAAAAATTGCGCTGTTGCGACGCGAAATAACAATGTTACGAAATTACTTGAACTTCAACCGTATCCTAATAAAACTTATAGAAATCACCTATTATAGGTATATGTAACAAACATGCAATGCGCTTTGCTGCACGCGATATGAGCATTATCTAGATCTAATGCTTAGAATTCAAATGATTTCCGAACAAATTAAAAGAGAGAGAGAGAGAAAGAACAATTTAAATAATGCAAATAGCCGCTAGAGTTTCACTTTTTACAGCTCATCGCCGCGCGCGTGCGTTCCGTTCGTTATATAAGGAGGATAGGCTTTTCGTTAACGAGAGTATGTGCGTGTGGTATATCATATCTCAATGAACCCGACTTATATTTTCGTAAAGAGAGAGAAAGAGAGACGCCTTTGTAAATACTATATATACACTAGAGCTGAACTTTGTCTTTGCCCGAGCGCCGCCGCCGCCGCGAATTTTTTCTTCCTCTTTTAAATACATCCGCGTAAAAAACCCGTACTACGGGTAGTATTCTTTTGATACGTTACTGACACTGTACTCTCTCGCACATATATACGCGGAGTTTCGCAATTGCGAATATAGCATCTACTCTATACGTGACGCACCGACACAGGCTCACGAGCCGAGAGAGAGAGAGAGAGAGACACTTATGTACGTGCGTGCCGTGCGTACTGTGTGCGAGTTGTGGAACTCGTCTTTGTTGACAATGTGTGTTTTGGTTAATACTTTCTACGACGACGACGACGACGACGTTGCTTCATTGCTTGGAATTAAAGCGGTCAACTTGGACGATTTATCACCCGTTGCCAATATGCGCGCGCGACGATTGACTTAGACCATATGTAATTAACGATAAAGAAAAATGTATTAATTCGTTTACGGTGCGTCGTGTATGAAAATGTGTGGTGTGTTTGTACACAAATAGCGATTGGAGCTGGCTTTACATAGTTAACGTGCTTACTTTGCTGTAATAACTTCTTTTGCAAGAAAAAAAAAACAGATTTAGTTTTCTTATCGATACCTCTGAAGAACGGCGGAAAATAGAATGTACAATTATATGAGGTCTTTGGAGGAATACGCGTCTATTTGTGGCAGTCGGTCGATAATCGATTGTTATTTAAAATAAGCAAGCAGATCGATTTTTTAAGGAAAATATAACATTTCTTCTAACGAACACAATTTTTCCGATGTTAAGTAAGGGAAGATGAAGAAGAAATTGTAAATTATGTTCAAAATTCATAAGAATACTTTCAAGATTATAATACCTTGTGTGACGCTAGTATAAAAAAATTATCTTTGAATTTCTACCCCGTTTTTTAAATATTCTGCACTCTATTAACTTCACGAAACTTTCTTACATAAATAATAATAGCTTAACTTTTTAAGACTCCCTCACATAAAAAACTTGACCTTTCTCCTTAATTGCCATAAAAATTAAAACTATTTCAACTAACGAATCAAAGTTCGAAAAGTAAGACGAAATGCTTGGATGGAAGTAGCGCATCACAGTGTATTCAACTTAAAAAAATATAAAATTTCAAAGCACTTAGAATTAAAATAGTATAAAGCTTATATTGAATTAAAAAAAAATGTAAAACAATCATTCGATGAATGAAAAAAGCCAGCCGGGCCAATATTTTTAACAAAGCCAGTCACGAGTGCATTTACTATACAAAGCGACAGATCCTTTTTGCACTTTTATTTGATAACTAACTGTCGAAACTTTCAGTAGTTGAGTTTAAAAAAATTAACCAAGCAGAAGTGCGCAAAATATTGTATAAAAATTCGTTACTTCGAGCAAAAAATAGTCAAACAGAAATAACGATTATATCTTATTACACCGCGCAAAACTCGAGGAAACAGAAGACGAGAAGAGGAGAGCGTGTGGCGTACGAACCTTTTCGATACCGTCGTTCGATCACTATACGTCAGTGCGAGGCTTCACGTGCGCTTTTATAAGATTTTAAACGTTAACATCGTTATACCGGTGCGCCTTCTCTCCCTGGTCTCCTTTTTTTCTTTCTCTTTCTATTTTATTTTTTTTCTTTCCTTTTTTTTTCGCAATATTACCTCATCACCCATCATCGTCGTAGCGAAGAAGACGCGCGCAAAGTGGTGTAGTGGGATGCTGCGCGGCGCGGCGCTGCTGCGTGAGCGCGAGAAACGCAAGGTCAAGCTCGTGGCGGTGCGGGGCACTCGAAATTCCTCGCGCCTAAAAACTTACCGAATTTCGAGAAAGAGTATAGACGAGGATACGGACATCTTCTTGTTATTACTTTCAAATATTAAATATATTTTTTTCCGTCTTTTTCTACTAAATAACACTCGACCTGTACGATGTATTATTCGCTCGAAGGCAATTCAATGACAAATAGATCAATGGACTTACAGTTATTAATTCAATATTTAAAACTCAACGAGTCAACGACTTGTTTATCTTTTTTCGTTGCAAATATCCGCCTTTCCCAGGATTTAGTCATTCGGGAAAAATTTAACACTCATGACTATACACATACCTGTTGTGTCTTTATTCGTATATGATTTTTGAGTTGCGCACGTACGCGCAAATACAATACGCATTGAAATCATTTGGACGTATTATATCACAGGCTCGTGGATATGATTCTTTTTCTAATAAATATTAACAAGACGACCAAAATAGATTTTCTTATCATAGTTTATTTGCGTGTGCGATTTTTTTAACAATGCATCAAGGAAATGACATCGGATCCTTTTTAGATAAAAATGCGCTACAGAGTTTATTTTAAATTTAGGAATTTTGTTTTTTATGTTAGGATGAATCGAGAGCCTGAAAATAATCGTGACAAAGCGGTATGCGTCGCGATGTATCTGTTACAAGCCAAATAAACGTTATGTAAGGATGAATTTGAGGAATTTTTGACCTCATAAATATGCAAAAGTTAAATAACTTCTATATAAATTATCCTGTTTATTATCTAAATCGACAAATCGTTTACGTAAAAATCTTCTCGCCTCGTATCTACACCACAGAGTACCGTATTATTTTGTTTATTTCGAGGAATCGAATAAAACCGCGCTAAATTTGCCTATTATAGTATTCCTGATCCCAATAGATGCGCTGCTCGGACGGCTTGGCGGTCTGCACGGTGAAGTAAGGCGGATACAGGGGCCGGTATCCTCCGAGCTTTTTTTCGTCCACGTCCAATTCGCCGTTACTGTTGGCCGCGGCGATTTGACTGGAACGAGAGCAGGAAAAAATGAAACAACAAAAAAAAAATTGGCATTCAGTTTAATTAAAATGTATCTTCGATAATTATGCGCATTCGTCGGCTTTCATTTGTAGCATTTTTTGATGGACGAACTGTTTCAAAGTTCTCATCAAAAAGACAGACTACTCGAGAAGCTTCGCGAAATAGTAAAAATCCAACGATATGAATTCTGGAACGAGAGATACATTGCAAATGAATTATTCCATTCAAGAAATCATCCACATACGAGAACGTAGAATTTCAGTTGCCTTGAAAATTTCTCATTTATCCTATAATATGACTTTTTCAAACACGAGCGAGTAGATCGGTTTTTGCATAAAAGAGTGAAAATAAGTTGCCTCTTCACTTTTTTTTTTATACGAAAAAAGTATTTCTGTCGCATTGTGCACGAGCAGCGCATATATTGATTTTATTTGCGGCCGAATGTCAACGATTTTCTCACCTTAAGATACTTCCAAGAACTATTACTTAATATATGCATAATCGCGCTCGGCCGAAGAAACGTGGAAGTTCGGTTGACTATATACAATGCCGCTTTTTTTTTAATGTATAACGAACGGAGCAAATAGTCGAAACGTTATTAAAGTTTTCGCGCCGCTGCATAAAAATCATATTATAATGCAAATGTACCGCCTTCGTCGGTCATTTACTGGACTATTTTTCGTCGTAATTGATTCGGTCGCTTAAAAATCTCGGTATAGTTTTGATTATCGAGGAGATTATTTTACGCTTGAAAATTAAATCGACGCACCTTAGAATCGAGAAGTCGACGGTGGGTAGTCTGTCGTTTTTCGCATCTTGAATGAGAGCGGCTCCGGACACGAAGATTTGTAGCGTACTCACGAGACACGCGATTATCAACAAACATTTCTGTAATCATTAGAAAAAAGAAATAAACATAATTAAATTTTGATTCTTCGTGTCTAAACTCGTACCATTTTTGAGCAGTGTATGGGAACTCTTTCTTCTTCTTCTTCTTCGGCACTACAATCTTTACTCCTTGAGCACACCGAGTCTTTGAAAAAAGTAACTCACGCGCCACGATATACACTTTGACTACATTAAGAGGAAAAAGCCATTGAAACTTATTTATATACGCATTTCAATTTTTCTCAAGCTCCGCCCAAGAGGCACAGCGTGTTTTCCCTGGGATATTTCGTGTATACCCGTCAGAGGTGTACCTGGAGATAAAATACATTTTTTTTAACAGGAAGTAAATATGTACTCTGAGTAAAAGCGCGACGACCATCCGCGCGAACTTGTATCGTCGGCGCGGTGGTCAATGTACCCAACACAATGATCTAACGCGTCTTTTGTCGCGCGTGTGCGATTTTTCCAATTTCAAACGAATTACTAATCCTTCGAAAAACGATTGCACGATTACGACGCTTGACGCGCGCGTGTGTCAAGGCCAGTGAACCGGTGTGAATATCAATGAGCGCGCGCGCCGCTTCGTTGAGGCATTGCAAAAAAAAAAAAAAGGAATTGCTTAAAACGTTATGGATTTTTAATGCGCGCGATAGGAGGTAGGTCGTGGAATCGCCTATTTAACATAAATTTTCTTCTTTTTTTTTGCAAACAACGCGCCGCTCGAGCCGCTAAAACGTTAGAGCAGCGTTCTGCCAAAACGATTGCGCGAACTTTTAGAAATTCAATGTTTCCATATCGTACGCGCGATAATTAGAATTTAGTCATTTATTTTTTTTTCATGCCATCGTTATATTCCGACCATGAATCAACCGCACCTTTGTGTATGGCGCACGCGTATAATAAAGCACAGTAAAATTTTATAGAGTCTCGTGGCGCGCAGGACTTTTACTTTCAATATCACTCTTTTTTTTTTTCTTTTTTGCTGACGTTCACGGTTGAGCATTCGTTTTTCAAAATGAGACTGCGTTAATAAGGTGCGTAAACATCGTCGCGCATATGGGTATAGACGTCGTTGCTTCCCCAAATATTTGTCAGAAACCGCGAGCGTGCGTGTTAAGGTATAGACGAGGCATTGTGTAAGAATATAATACTGTTTGCAAAACGCGCGTGCGAAAATGACACGCCGAACTGCAAAGCACGAGTACCCTTCGAGGATTACTTAATTTATTTATGAATTTGGTATTTTTAACCTTTCCCCCCCTCGTCTGCGCGTAGTAGATAGTAAATGAATAATTTCAGCACGATTGTTTTCGTTGCGTGGTGTACTTTCTGCGTCGCGAGAATGTCATCTTTCTTCATTTCTCTTTGTAGCTCGAGCGCGCGCGCGAAAGTCGGAAACAATTTCCATTCATTCGCCGCGGTCGTGCCATTAAAAATTTTAAGAATACCTACATCGGTCTTTATTATACCATTGACTCGTGTGGATGTACTTTCAAGTGTTAATTAGCTCTTTATTATTACACGCGTACACGAGTAGCATCCATACGCGATGCGGTCGATTTATATTTCATTGACTTTTATGGGTAAACTTAATTAAAATCCGCGTCCTTGTAAAATATTTTCTTTTTTTCAAAATCTAATTCGAACTGGATCGTCGTTGCTTTTGCAAGTCACAGGGAATGAGAAAGTACACCAGAGGCGATGAGTAAAAAAACAAAGTCCTGCTTTTAATTACGCTCCATTATCATTGTAATGTAGCATTTTATAATTAAATCAGCCTTTCGCGCGAGTTAACCACATCCTGCCGGTGCAAAAGTTAAAGGTAATCCGAAACCCTATGTATATACTTCTACCGACTGAAGTAATTTTTGTAAGTATTTTTTTTGCCTTACTCGGTTTGTAACAAAGTTGGAGCTAAAAAAACTATTTTTTTTATATTACAATTCTAAAATTTAAAATGTCAATGTTATCGCTTACTATTAGTTTTTATCGTAACATACATATTTTCAAGTGAAATCCACTATTATTCAATCCGATTTTTCCGATTATCTTTTTTCTCGGTAAAGAGGTTAGTAAATTACCGCACCAAAATGCTCTTCCGATCGCCGTTGTAACATAGCCGATATAGAAAGTTCGAGCATGGGCAAGCGCAAGGACAAGAGGAAGAAGAAGGGCGGCGGCGTCGATCAGCTGGCCGCGGAGGATCGGGAGCGTCGCGCCGAGCTGAGCCAGGAGCTCGGCCTGGCGGACAAGAACGCGCGCAGACTGCGCCAGTCGTGGCGCGAAAAGCTCACCAGGTCGCAGCTGCCCTTAATCAAGGAGGACGTGCGCATCGCTTGGCACGCCTTCGAGCACGAGCTCGACAATCGAGATTACAGGTGAGAAATGTATATCATCGTGTGCTTTTTCGTGGCTTTCTCCTCGACAAAAGCCATGACTCAATGACTCTCCTCTTTCATCAGCATCAGCATACTGCTCGACTGCCAGAAGGAGACGGCGGGCCGCAAGCACAAGAGCGACTCGCTGCACGCCCAGCAGATCGACCAGCTGATCGAGCTCTATCGGCGCAAGCTGCTGCTCGGCCAGGAGGACGAGTACCGCAGGCACGTGCAGCTCAGCCTCGGCCACGAGCAGGACTTTTACGAGGCCGCCGCCGAGGCTGGCGAGCGCGGCCAGGAGCATCTGCGCGTCAGCCTGTTCGGCAGCCAGGAGGAGAGCGAGCGCCAGCTCGAGCTTCTGCACTCGCGCACCCAATGTAATAACGATGATAAAAAAAGCAAAGCTCTATTTCTCCGAAACGATAGATGTGGTTGAAAATAAATCGTTGCATATATACGCGCGTAGCGAGACTGGACACGCTGATCGAGAGCAACGAGCTGGTGCGCAAGGCCAATCGCGAGACTCTGCGCGGGCACTCGCTCGAGTACAAGCTGCAGCTGACCAAGGCCCTGCAGGATTACGAATCGGAGACGGCCGACAAGCGCAAGGACTACGACAAGGCCAACGCCAAGGACGAGAAGTTCCGGGCGAGCATCGGCCAGCAGGCGCAGCGCCTCGGGCAGCTCCAGCTGCGGATACAGCGGCTGAGGCGCGACTGCCAAGAGTCCAGGGCCCGGGCCGAGGTGCTGCTGCGCGATCATCGCTTCGAGTGCGACTACTTTCAGGCGGCCTACACGGCCATACAGAGTCGGCTGATCTCCGGTGCGACGATGCCCGAAAACTCCCCCGTCGAGAGTCGGCGAGGATGATTCCAATTTTTTTTTCGTTGCCTTTTCCACAGAGCAAAAGTTCGACAAGTGTCAATTGACGCGCAATACCATGGCCTTCGACGAAGCCGTTCACAGACTGAACGACCATTACTCGAAGATCGAGCGCATTTTGACGGTGATCGAGCTCTGTCGCAAGTACCAGACCATCGGCGATTGTCAGCTCATCTATCCGCTGTCGTCGTCGTCGTCGCGACCCATCAGGGAGAGAGACGAGACCTACTTGGATACCGAGAACGCGGCCGATTCGTTCATCGATTACCTGAAGAGGACCGAGCTTTTCTCGAGGAACGACAATCTGTTCCGGTCGTTGCACAAGCTCGCCGGCCAGATTCTCATCGTCGAGAGGCAGAACGATCGCTTCAGGGAGCAAGCTCGGCAGCTCGGTAGCGAGTTGCAACTGTGGAAGAAGAAGCTCAAATTGTGCATCGAATTTTATTCCGAGTCGACTCGAGACTCGCTCGACTTGCAGTCGAAAACCACAAAGTGCGCATGTTGAATCGATCTTCATTATTATTATCATCTATGAGAGTTTATTTGTTGATGGGTGAGAAAGAATATAATGGTTGTTTCGTTGGTGAAAAAAATGACTTTTATTAGGAACTTAATGAACTATGGTGTTTTACAAACACCTCGAAAGTACACTGAGTTTCGTTGAAACGTGGACAAATAAATTAAATAATTTTTCTTTGCGGTAATGATAATTTTTTTCATTCTCGTCCATGTGCGACAAAAATGTTTATTTTTCTTTTTTGCACTGTAGGTAAATTCCTCATCGAATAAATAAACTCATTTTTCTTCATCGTGCAGCGGATAGTTTACGATTCTTTGCGATTTGAGATAACATTTTATTACCAGCTAAAAACGTGATCGTTCCAAGTATCGACAGATATCGCAGTGTCGTGAACATGTTCAATTGTAACCAGAATACTCCGAACAGAACGAAAATACCTGTAAAATAAAAATTTCATCGTTATTATCTGGCGAAAATTGCTTGAAGCGATGAATTGAAATTGAATTTGAATGTTCAAACAACTATGATTTTGTTTTATAAATCTGTAGAGAATATCGGGCTGCAAATGTGACAAATAGTTGTACACTTGTGAAAAATCCTCTTATTAATTTTTGCTCAATTGAAAACACAATGGTATATAGAGATACACACCTGTCAAGCATTGAGCACATACTATGAAAAAAGTATTAAAAATGATATTTACCTCCTAATCCTAAATGGAATGTGATAGCACTGATGGAAAATGGGAAATTGGAAATGTTAACTCCAATTTTAGCCCACAAAAATATCAGTAAGAAAATTGGAGCGATGCATAAGCCTGAGAATAGATTGGAGACATACTCTGGAGGTCGCTTTTCTGGTTCACGGAACATATGCTGTAAATAGAAAAAGTAAAAATGTTATGAATTTGTTTGAAAAGATATCATGATTCTAAAAAAATTCAATTGATAATCCAAAAAATTGTCATCATATTACGGTATAATTACAATAACAATTATTGCAAATGCTAAGTGTAACAATGATTTTTAATCTGTCAATGATTTGGAGGTGGCAAAAGTGTGAGATACTTTTTGTCACTAACGAGCATTGACATCAACAAAATTAATTACGATTATATTTCAAACAATTACCTTAATTTCTGGTTTCTTTGTGTATACATTTGGTTTCTGTCTGTACGTAGATTTATCGGCTACATCCGAAGCACTAGGTTCTGGGAATTTCAATGCAATAGTTCCCAGTGTCCATTCAAATGAGTTACTCAAGATGGCATCGCCAATGATGAGTTCGATTTTATAATCTCCACTCTGATAAGCGAAATTTTTGGATTCTGCTCCTACTTGCATATCAAATTTGTATGTATGAGAAGAATCTGGCTCGGCAACAAATATTATTTCTTGACTATTTTTATTGTTGGAGTCTTTAGTCGATAATCGTACAAACGCCTGATGTACTCGCATTGGTTTATCTTTGAAGGCATCTTTCAACAAAAATCTAATTACAAGTTTTTGTTGAGAATCAGCTTCAATTCTTTCCTTCAATTTTTCAGGATGAGCTACTTTGACTAATTTTGCTTGAGTTGTTTGATCAGCATCGGCAGTTCCAATTTCCAACGAACTGACTTTAACTTCAGTGAGGACTTTAATTAATACTGTATTAGTTGCTGAGCCTGCAGATACAGCAATTTTATAAAACCCAGGTTCTGGGGTAGATGTCATGAAGTTCAAGGAATATACTGTCCTGAAAAAGTTAATCATGACATTAGAATTACCGATTTTAACGCTATGAGATAAAGTAAATTTTTATATCATAAAAATGTTTGTTAAAATTAATGCTTTGACTGCATTGAATCAATATGAGTTAAGCATAATTATAACATTTAATTTCCCCTAAGCGCATAACTGATTTAAGATAGACAAAAACCAGCAAAAAATTAGGGATATTTATATCAACAAAAAATCTTTTTACTTACTTATCATTGGAAGCAGCTTCAAAGTTCTTTTTGCTAACAAAAACGACATCATCTCCTTCTTTGGTAGCTGTATTAGCAATGACATTTGATATTGATGGAACAGGGTTACCAAGAAGATCGCATACTTTGATATGCACAAATGGTTGTTTAACTGAAATAACGACACCATCTTCCTTCAATGTTATGCAAGTTGGTTTGTAAAATTCATTAGTGGCCAAAGTATTAATTGACGACAAAAAGTTAGCGACTCCCTTTGGAGTTTGCACAGATCGCCGAGACAAGAAATAATTGGCTAGTTTCACAATTTGCAATTGAGTTAAAGGTGCTTTTTTCTTCAAAGACTGCGATAGCTTGAATACTCCATTGACAAGTAAGCTTGTAACAGACAAGCCACCTTCAAACTGAAGATATCGTCCATCTACTTCATCAGCTTGCACCATAGCATCTTCGATGTGGTTGAATGCAAATGATCCAGAAGATCCGAGATGAGCAGCAATGTGGAACACATATGCTAGACTACATTAAACCTCGTTAATAAAAGCTTTGCAATTCCAATTTATTATGAGCTATCTATCAGATACTCACTTCAATGGACTATCATCTTTTTTGAGAGCAAGTTGTAACGTTTTTACAAGCTTGTTTACTGTAACCTCTGGAATCTTCTGGTTTAGTAAATTCATAGCGCTAACAGAATAATATAATTCTGCAACAGTAGAACCATCTTTATCCAAAATGGTTTTGACAGACTGAAAATAAAAGTTACATGGGTGAGTTCAAAATCACTTAGTTTTTTGAAAATTAGTTTATTTCTTGTTGTTGCAATCAGTAATTAAGTTTGTCTTCAAAAACTTTGCAGTAGAACGAAAGTTATATTAAACATCATGTAAATTCAGTCACTCATGGACTTGAATGAAATGAAAAAAATTATAATGCTAAAATTATAATGAATAACATACCTTTACAAGATTGTCCAAGTTCAAAGATTTGGGTTGACATCTTTCAGCGGATTTCCATGAGTTAGCTACATAAAACAGCTGTTCTGCTGTTAAACGTGGCTCCTTAGATGTTTTGATGAGATATTCACAAGTTTCCTGTAAAAATATTAAAAAATTTAAAGATTAATATTCAATTTGACAATTGATTATCAAATAAGATGCAAAAGCAAATACTCAGAAAGACTAATCGTAAATTTACATATATAATTTCAATATTGACAATTTTCATCATAAAATAAATCGATTAAATTCAGATTGAACAAATAGTAATTGAATAAAACTCACACCAATCAATTTTATTGGTTCTTTCATGTGCTTGTATCCAACAATAGCATAATGTAAGGAAGCCAGATCCTGGAATTTGAATCCAGGTTCAAGAACTTTCTTGAGACGTAATTTATCATCTTTGGTCAGGTAAGAGTTGGTTGATGTTGGAACATCAGCTGCTATCAACTCACCCACCACTAGGGCTAGGAGCAATATGGCCCCGAAGACTGTAAAATTAAAGTATCGTTAGTCTAATCATGAATTTTGATTGTTGATTTAGAATTGTTATTTGATTCATAATTATTCTGCTACTGTGTATATTAATTCGATTTAAAATTATGATTCTGTACGTGGCATCATAAGAGTATGAGTACGTTTCTAACCTGTACTACTTTATGTGCTTTTTCTTGAATCGATATTGATAAAAAAAGGATGATTAAGTATATTACTATAATTCTGAATCAATATAAATTGAAAGTTTGTTGTTAATCAAGATTTAAATGTAATCTTTGCAAATGTTTCATTCAAAATGAGAGTCAAAAAGTTGCAGCACATGCAAATTTCCGAACAGGCAAGAAAACCACAAGTTCGCGATAAAAAACAACGGTCGAGCAATAAAAACGCACAACGATATTAGCGTCAAATTATCCGCTAACGATTAATGATAAATATTCAATTATTATTACTCACAGTTCATGTTTGCTGCAGCAAAATTTGCTAGCAAGCCGGCCGCCACGTCGGCTTCTCTCGGAATATGGCTCTTCACTCATTGCGCGAGTCGGTTAAAATGGACGTTAGTTCGCAACGTATCGCGACGAGCTTGACGCGATAGCTTACCGGAAACTGACGTAGCGGCGGCCTCCACAAGTTCAACAACCTTGACGGCGTTAAGAGTTTCCGTTTGGGACCACGCAGAATTTGAAATGAACCAAAATGATCTTACGAAGGATTGTCCGGACTATTTCACCCAATAACTGTTGTTGATGCCAAAGTATGCAATCATGGAAATGCATTTCAGCTGCTAAAGGCAATAAAACATTTTGTTGTCATTCGTTATGTATGGAAGTGCCAAGCTCTAAAGATTCGTAACGGGATGCATAATTATATTGTAAATTCCTAAAACTTTTTCTTAATTTTCACTATTTTGAATGTTACTATTTAGCCTTCAAGGTAAATAATTTTAAACATCAAGAAATTTGTTGAAAATTGTAACTTTCAATTACTTGATTAAAAGCTTAAAAAAAGTAACTTATAATTGCCAAACTGTAAAATTTTAATTGTTTCGTGTAACCCTTTATCTTGTTACTTTTCACAGATTAAAATTATGTAATACCTACATCTAAAAACGTTATTAATTGTTGGTAAAAATAGAATATTTAAATGGGTTTTCATATCAGTATTATTAGTATTTATTTGCTTCTTGTCATAATAAAAAAATTTTTACATTAAATGTACAATAGGTAAACTAAGTTTGCTTTTGAAATAGTTTACTGTTAATTACCATCTAAATAGCCGTACACACTTTAGTCATTTAAATGGCTACACGTTATCTGTATTTACGTGTATCCAACATAATTTGTAATAATCGATTTGAATTTCTAAAAACTGGTCAATCCTTATAATAAACATTGTATAAATAATTTTCGTGTGTATCATCTACGACTTAAATGAAATAAATACACTTAAACGCTACAATTGAAAATCTGCTATTAAAAATGCTTGCAAAATGTATCAATTATTACACATCACACAATCTTGTTTTATATATTTACAAAAATGATATCAATATACTGCACTGAACTGAAAAATTATACATTATTATGATTTGTAAACGATATCAGTAAAATAGATTCAATTTACACAATCTACAAAGAAGTATATATTGAACCTTACATTCACTTAATGTTTATATTATTTATATTATATTTTATAAACTAAAAACATATCTCTTTGTCGTCGCAAGTTGCCTTTTTGAGAAACCCAATTTGAAATAATTGAACACTTGTTATTTTACATTTTGTACCAGAGTTTTTGTATGGATTTGATACACGTCACTCCAAATGCCACTTCATTTTATACTTTGTGTAGAAAGAAAAATATTTTAGGTCCCTGAAGAAGATTCACGCATTTCCATGGCAGCTAACTCTTCTTCTGCTTTCTTCATAATATCATAATCGCTTAATGAACTTAATGTACTCTTTGTTTCTTTTTTAGACGAAGATTGCACTTCACCAAGAAGTTGATCAGTACTAGCTGTTTTAGTTAAAGCAGGTGGAACACCCTCTCCACCCGGTGATGTTAAAAATGTCGCGCCAGGTTTGGGCAAAAAAGTCTCTGCTTTGGTACTTTCTTGTCGTTTAACGTTTGCCAAAATTTCTTGAAGATCTGCTGGAATTGTAATGTTAGAAACTTTTTCTAGTATTCCTTGAGGTGGTGGTGTAAATGACCCAGTATCGGTGGGACTGTAAGCTTCAGTTGCCTTGGCAGCACTTTCTGGAGGGTCTAAACCCAAGCCCTGAAACAGCAGAAAAGTTGAATATTTTTTAAGTGAACGACTATTTAACAGATCATTGAAAGTATAATAAATTTATTTAATAAAATTTTACCGGTAAAGTTATACTGGATTCATTTAAAAACGACGAACTGATGTTTTGGATTTGCATTTTCTTTTCTTCAATTTGCCTGCTGAGTTCTTCCATTTTTCGTTCAAGTTCTGTAGAAGGTGGATTCGATTCTGATGACTTGGAGTTTTCAGCTCCTTCATCATCTAGATTCAAATCAACTGGCGCTCCAGGACTATACGGTTCGTCGTCGTCTTCTTGACGGAACGCAGTAATCGAATCATCTGCTTGAGGAGTTTTTGAAGCAATGGGTGATTGCTTCACAGCAGTTGCAACTCGACTGTTCATCAACTCAGACGACATAGGCAAGGCAAGATCGTGTCCCGATGACGATGGTGTTGAGGGAGGAGGAGTATAGCTACGATCAGTTTTCAACATTTTAGTTGGTACAGGGGTCGTGGCGACCGACTGTCGCTTTCGACGATTGTTTGCAACAATGATGCCCAACAGTAAATGTCCATCTTCTACAAGACCTGGTGGTTCTAAAGGCAATAATACAGATGGTAACTGACTTCCATGCGATAAAGGCATAATGTAAAAATCTTTCACAAATGGAGACACATTCCCAAGAACACCAAGACGATTGCGACTATCGAGGTAGCTATACAGAGTTATATAGGGGATTTTTTCCTCGTCATTGATGGCTGTAAGTTTTATGACAATGATCTCTTTGTTATAATTTTTCTTCATTTTTCCAATATAATCCCAAACTGTAGCAGGATTGATCCGACCAACGACTTCGAATGAATCTGGTACTTCTTCGAGCAATTCTTTGGAATTGCGACTGACGTTTTGGGCCGTGACATGGAATTTAGCGACATCTTTCATATAAACACAGCCTTTCCATACAGTCTGAACAACGGCAGCTTCATTGCGCTGTTGTTCGGTGATGTCAGGTGTGTGAATGGTGACCGTTGAACTCGGTTCACGGTCCGACAGATCAGACTCATTTCCGTCAGTTGGTGCAACAAGTTGGGGCATCGCCATGGGCTCATCCTCGATGTGCTTCCAGAGTCTTGGTTCTTCGGTACCTGATTTATCTGCGACATTCGATCCGGTCGCAGTTGGAACGCCAGATTCAGATTTTTCGGGTAATTCCTTACCCTTGTCATCGCGCCGATGTTTACGATCTTTGTGTGACCTCGAATGACTACGTTTGCGTTTCTTTTCGCGCTCTTTATCTTTTTTGCGAGAGCTTTTGTCGTGATCTTTTTCACGATCGCGATCTTTATGCTTTTTGCTTGATTTGCTTCGATCTCGATCGTGACTGTGCTTACGTCTTGTGCTTTTGTCGCGCGAATGGCTACGCCGCCGTTCTCGTTCGCGATCTTTTTCCTTGCGACGACGTTCCTCTTCTGGTAACACCTTGGCTTTAGTTTCAGGCTCTGGTACAGTGGAACTGATAACTTCTGGTGTGTCTAGAGCAGTCTCAATTTCTTGCACTGTAGGAATGTTGTCTTTGCTTTCAATAATTTGTTCTCCTTTGTGAGATTTTAAAACGATAGATTTTGCTTGAGCCATCATGTCGAGTTCATTCTTTTTTATCATTTCAAGCTGATGTTTGGTTTCATTCTCGCGCCACTCCGCTAACTCTTGACTTGCCATTTCTTCAGGACTGAGTTTCACAAGAGCTTCGGGACTGATAGATCGATCAGCTATTTTGCGAAACAATGTTAAATTTTTTGGGTCTTTGATATTGAATAAAAGCCTTCGATACTGCGCTTTATATTTGGCGCCCGTATCTTTGAAAAACTTAAGGAGTTCAAGTTCGATTTGTAAAACAAGTTCGTTGACTTCTTCTTCGCTTAGCTTCAAATCCGAAGTTTCCTTAATTCTAATCAACATCATTTCTGCGAGAGTTTTTCGTATAGTAATACGAAGATTTTCAGGTTCAGTCGGTTTTTTCACTTGCGGTGTTTTAGTCACAACTTTGTTCGTTTGTTGTGATACTCCTGGAGATTGATGTTGTTGAGATGTTGATGCCTTAGGTTCTTGAATTTTTTTAGACGATGTGACTTTAGGTGTGGATGTGGCTGGCAATTTTTGAGACGATTGAGGAGTCTTTACATTTGCAGATCTCGCATTTGGTGTTGAAATTCGAGATGGTGTTGCAGCATTAGCTTGCACTTTATCAGGCCGTTGCAAAGGCGTGGAAATTCGTGACTGAGGTGAGTCCACTTTCTTAACATCAGCAGCAGTGATAACAGTTTGTTTAGTGCCAGGAATTTTGGTAAATACCATTTTTGTTGTTGTTTGATTTGTCGGTTTCCCCGGAGAGATTTTGTTCTAAAAATAATTCAGGTACAAAACTTGTTAATTAAAGAACATTCACTCGTATTTTCAACACTGTTACAGCAATATAGCGGTAAAAACATTTAAAATTCGTTAAAAAAACTATTAGTTAAAATTTTTTATAAATTAATGAACTTACGATTTTACTTCCTGCAGGTTGAATTGTTGCAACATTTTTTCCTCCAGTTTTTATTTGAATAGTACTCAGATTATTTGAATTGACCACTTCATATGATGGATGTTCTTTAAGCCATGTTTTCAAGTTGTTTGATGTTGGAGCACTGGCGCCTGTAACATAATGAACATTTATAAAAAACGCTTTAATAAAGTCTATACACTAAGGAAATATATGAGACTATATTTGCCTTTCAAAATTTTTCCAGTACTTTTTTGGTAAACAATTATTTTTGCCTCTGGTTTTATTTTAGGAGTTTCAATTTTAGTTGTTTTTATTTGTGGTGTACCTGATTTTTCTTTCATTGATTCTGCGTGTACTAATATACATGCGTCAGAACAATATATGCTCGCTTTTCTAGCTTCTTTTTTGCAAACCACACATTGAGTACCTCCCGATGGTGAAACGACATTTTTTCCAGTATTGGAGTGATGTGCTTGCTTTGGAGTAGTTACATTAGGATTCGAAGGAGATGGAGTTACACTTTGCTGATTCGATTGAGTATCGGAGCTACTTTTTCTTCGTCGTGGAGTTGATTTAGCTTTATTTTCTTCGTTCTTTTTAGCTTTGCAATTAGGACAAACCCATTCAATTCCTTTCTTTTCCATTTCCTCACCTGTTGAAAGAGAAGATAGATCTGCGTTCAAGATATAACGAAAAATTTATTAAAACATATGCAAATTAATCAGTATTGTTTATGACAATGAATGATTAATGTGGTTGACTGCTACATGATCTCAAATTGTTTTTGTGGAATCCATAAATCGTTTTCCATTTCGACTGGTTTTTGGACGAAAACTTTTTGAAACGACTCAAATAAAATTTTATTAAATAATTTTATTTTATTTTTACATCCCTCTACTTAGAAGCTAAAATACAAACCTAATGTTTTTGCATTCATGCAAAATTTACTAATAAATAATTATCATAATTTATTAAAATTCATTACATTGTAAATAAAATACGAAGCATTGCAAATGAGCTAAAAGAAATCCTTTATCTAAGAATAAAATTACTAGCCACCAGATATCAGAGGGTAAGCGTTTTTTAATGTAAATCTTAAACAAGAGTTTAATAAGATTTTTATGAAAATAAAGAATTAACAATACAGCATATCATTATTAATTGAACATAATGCATACTTTTTAAGAGAAGTAATTGCAAATTGCAAATAATAAAAGAAATACTAAAAAACAATTTCAACAGTCAACAGAATGATGATTGATAAATGAAATGGAGAAAATATTATTTTTTGGAAGAGATTACACATCAATAGCGGGAAAAATACATATAAAAAATTCCACTACTGATATTAAGTTTTTCAAATTTAAAAAGGTTAAACATTAAATTTTAGAAAACAAACGTGTATAAGACAATAACCATCTGTTTCTTAAAAAATTAATATCAGTGATTCTAAATTAATTTTAATCTTTTCATAGTTTAAAGCATAATGTGAAAATGAGAATTATAGAAAGGAATATATAATCTCACTCAAAAAATATATACTAATAAAAATGCGATGAAATTTTAAGCAGAATGTAATTCAAGATTATCTCACCCATTGCCGTTGTAACGTGAACGCATTTTCCATGAAACCATTCTTCACAGATATCACAGCATATCATAAACCTATTATTGTGCGGTTGTCTGCATATACACCACAATTTATTGGGATCATCTTCCTCTTCGCCTCCGTCACCATCACCTCCATAATCATCGCTCATATCATAAATCATGTCTTTCTTTTGTAAGCTCACTTGAGATGGTGTCCTCCTAATATAATATTCATAGCATTAAAAATAAAATTTAAAGTTTTCAGCTTTTCAAAATAAAAAAAATACAAACATTGTTCTATCAGTTTTTATTGATTCATCCATTTTAGTTTGTTGCTGAGTTTTTTTAGATTGTAATTTTGAGTTTTGTTTTTGGGGAGTGTCTGTTTCAAACATTTTATCACATTTGGTTTCTTTTACATCTACTTTAGCTTGTAACTTTTTACTGCGAGTTGCAGGAGCTTCAATTGGTGGGAGAGTTATAACTCTACCACCTCTAATAATTTGTCTTGCTTCTTTCACAACTTTTTTTCCTGATGGTTCAGCTGCTGATGATATTGGTGTTGATGGAGTACTAACACTAGCAATAAGTGAAGTATCAACCTCTGAGTTTGAAAGTTCTGCAGTTATTGTTGAAATAGATGTTTCAGTTATGTCAGGTAAAAGAGAATCGCCAGCTTCAGGATGTGGATCAACCAATTCACTCTATAAATCATGTAAAAACAGTTTAAAAGTGTAATCGAACTTGAATCATAATTTTAAGGCCTTCAACTAAACTTACATGATCCAAATCTACCCCTAGAGTTTCCTGTAAAATTAACGCTTCAGCTAACAGTACTTCATCTTTTGGAAGTTGTTTTTCAGCCTCCATTCCTAATGTAGCTAAAAGATGTTCATCACTGTCAATGCCACCTGTAATTAAAATCGAGTTTATGAATATGAAATAATATAAAAAATAGACAAACATGATAATCAGCTAAACTTGAAGAATTTTTCTATGAAATTTAGAAGTCAATAATAAATGATTTTATAATTTCCTCTGAAAAACTTACTTTCTGAAATATCGTTATTCAAAGAATTATCCCTTTCCATTATTGGACTATTCAAATTATCATGTGGTACGGAATTTGGAGCTAATAAAAAATAAAAAAAAAATTACATGCAAATTAAAAAAGAATAAAAAGTCATGACTTTTTTTACAGAAAAAGTAAATAAAACAGCATTATATACTGATAAGTTACAAAAGCTACCGATTAAAAATAGTAAATTACTTGAATCTAATGTTGGTTGCAATAAATCAGTAATTTCCATTTTTTCATTGATTGGAGCATTGGTAGCAGGATCAGATATAGATGATCCAGAATTAGGTTTCATAGGCAAACCAATATTTTCAGAGTCATTAAGTGACATATCTTGTCCTTTCAATATATTTGTTGCATTAAATGTTTCCATAGGAATATTGACAGCTGCAGTAGGCTCAGAAGAAGTTGTAGATGTTACTGAATTTGTGTTCAAATGGTTGGTTACTGTAGATGTGGCCGAGCTCGTAGAGACTGATGATGTAAAACTTTCAGATACTTTCATATCATTATTTGAACCAACTCTTCGAATAATATCTGGAGTAGAAAATAACGCTGGACCGAGCGCATCAACTACAAGTGAATCGGATTTTCGATGTTCCTTTTTCAAAGGTTTTTTTTGTACAGCTCCTGAAAAGAAAATAATAATTTTTACTCAATGATTTTCATTTCTCTTTGTTTTCCATTTCCAAATTTGCTTACCACTTTGAATTTTAATTTCCGGTTTTGGTAATTCTAATGGTTTATTTACTTCTACTGGTGAATCTAATTTCTTTTTTTCTTTTTTAATTTCCATTGGTTTCATCTTTAATTCTGTTGCAACAATTTTTTGAGGAATTGTTATATTTTGGGATGTGCAAGCTACATTTTGAACTTCTGTTGGTAAAGCCTTATGTTGTACATTTGATGGCATTTCTTTTACTATTACTGGAGTCGTTAATGTCTTTATCTCTTTGAGAATAGGAACTTTTGAATTAGACAATATTAATTTATCTTTTGGAAGCATGACTTGCTTTTTTATGATATTTTTACTATCATGAAGATTTGCTGCAATGTGTTTCTGAACAATTACAATTTTTTGATTATTTCTATCGGCTCCTGGTTTTGTAAGAATCATATCACCTTTAAACATATTGGCACTAATCAAATTAGCTTTCACTTGATTTGTTGTTTGTAGCAAATTGGTTTCTACAACTGGAGTTTCTTTGACAATAGGTACCGATGGCAAAACTTCTTCTTTAATCTTACCTCCCATTGTTTTCAAAGTTTTTTTAGTTTTAGCAGGAATAGACTTTTCTGGTGTAATTTCTGATTCTGGATTGTTCATTGAATTGACCGCAGCTGACATTTCTGTACTTAATCTTCGCATTTGATCATTATCAATCAATTTGTTACTTCCTCTTCGACGCGAAGAGCTAGTACTACCACCCCTTGTTGTTAAACCTCGTCTACCACCTCTTGACCTTACTGTTTTTCTTGAAGTTCTCGCTCCAAAATCACTATCATTATCAGATTCTGTTTGTTCTGAAGATTCTGATAGAGAGAATAAACTTTCATCTTCCACTTCTGCAACATCTTTGTTATTTTTAACTTCGCTGGATGAAGAATTCAATGCAGCACGTTGATTTTTGCCTGTAGATACTTTTGGTGCTGTGGCAACAGGTGTCATTGAAGTGGAAGCTCTGCGTAAACGACTACTCGTCGAAACTGGCTGTTTAACAATTTTTGGAGGTGATGCTATGGACTTAACACTTGGAGGTACTGGTGAAGAATTATTTGCGTTAATGGAAGAAACTGGCATGAGCATGGAAGCTGTGGCTTTATCTGTACTAATTGCATTGTTTGTATTTGATGAATTCATGTCAAGCATTGAATCAGTTGATTTAGTTTCAGCTGGTGCAACTTTATTCGTGTAACAATGATCCAGCTCTATAGCATACCGAATATTATTCTGTTGTTCCTCTACTGTCAACATATCTAAAATTGAAGAAAAATCTAATTTAATAAAACATAATACAAAATTAAATTATATGTATATAATTAACATACCAAGCATAGCAGTAACATTTTCTCCTAATATTTTTTTAGCTTCTTCACTCTGTAAGGCTGTCTCTAGCCTTTCTAATTGTTCAGGATCCATTTGCATTAGTGGATCAAGTAAACCACTAGAATCTGTTGCATTGTGATTAGCACTATTTTCAGGAGGAACATATGATGGAGGATCCACTGTCAGAGTTAAATTTCCTTCAGAGATGTCATTACTAGTTTGAGTCATTCTGACTACACTCACATTGGCATTTGTCTGGTTAACTAGAAAAATTACAGTTAAATTAGTTTAAATTTTATGCAAAATATAAATCTTATCACATTGTTGTTTATCAATTTTAACAACAATTCTTGCGTCAGATTAAGTATTTTTTACACTCACTTATGAGATTTTGGAGAGTATCCTGATCCACAGATATGACGCCATTGTCATTGACCATTAAGATGAGGGTGTCGTCCTTCTTGGAAACGCCCTCCGGGCTTTCCATCACAAATGAATTCGACATTTTTCTGATCTGTCAATCGAGCAAAATGTGTTAGGTTATATAGTAGGTTATAACGTGTCTAAAATCATTTTACTAATGATTCTTTGTCTTATTGCAAGCGATCGAACTCAAGCGCACACTCGGTACTCGAACTCGGTACTGGGAAATTGCAACTATCTCTCGCGAACCGGCTCTATACAAGTCAAAAAAGAAAATAAATGAATGAACCTATGTGCGCTGCTCTATACGCATTGTTGTAAACTGGGACGTGTGCGGGAAAAAGTGCGCGAAACCGCCGGCACGCGAGTATCTTAACGCGCTTGCAGAAGTTCAAAATTACATCAATAGGTGTCTTTTTTGACTTTTCGATTTTGACACATTCGTCTTTTCGACCTACACTTGCTTTTTTATGCATAAATATGAAACAGGGAGAGCACGTTGTGTGCGGCAATATTCGAACCGCAGCGACGATGTCGCACAACTCGAACCCGATGTTCGTTTTTATTCCATTTCAATTTCAAAATCACATTTTCGTATGAAATTCGAAAACTGTAACTAGCCGTTGGGGTAAATATTTACATTTGACTCGGAGTAACCTTGCGATGAATACATCAATAAACTTCGCTCGAGTCCGAGGAGATAAACATCATAATTACTTTTTACACCTTTCGACGCGAAAAAAGAATAAACACTAACATTTTTTTTTTAAGCGAGCCACATCGATATATTCAATTTTTTTTTTCTCACAAATAAATCATGCACACACGTACGGCTAATGTGACACTTACATTTTTAATGCTTCGATTCACAATTCATGTTTTTTTTTTCTCTCTTTTCACGCACACGCTCGTCGGGTATCGTAGTCGAGGAAAAAATCTGTCATCGGAGCATGAAATAATCGTGTACGTGTGCGTGCGTGTATGTGTGTGCGGTTTATTTATCGCGAACTCGCGAAGCAGTCACTGCACGTATTATACGTATACGTATATACACACGGACAATAGATCGTAATATCGTGGGCAGCTCACAACACGACGAGCAGCAGTAGCAGCATATAAGCGCAGATCGTGCAGTCGAGATTATTTAGCGGCCACAAGGCGTAAAATGTTTTTTTTTTTTTTGCAGTCACAACGCACGAATTTTTATTATTTTTTTTTTTTTATTTATTGCCACAACCGAACATAGTCTGTGTGTCTCTTTCTCTCTCTCTGGCCTCGCGCACGAGTGTGCCGCCGACGCACGACGAACTCTGTGTGCGTGCGTGTGTGTGTGTGGCTGCGTTGTCGTGTGTTCGTTCGCAATATTATTTGCACAAGCGACGAACTGATGGCGAGGCTGATGACCAGCGGCGGCGGCTCGAGTTCACGACTAGCGTTACGGTACGGCTCGTCGGCTCGAGGCCTGATTTAGCGTCGACGAAGTAGAAGAAGCCGGTGCCGTTTCGCACTCGGTCGTAGCTGGAAAACATAATGAACTCTTTCCCTCTCTCTCTCTATACATATAACATGTATGTAACGAATGCCGTGGCTCGCCGACGACGACGCACAATAATCACACCGAGTTATGTATATTAACGTCGAAGCACTGCAAGCGAGAGAGTCGAGGCACTGTATAATGTGGCGGCGGCGGTGGCGGGCTCGACGATCAAGGAAGACGCCGAGAGCCCGCGACGAGCAGAGAATTCGCACTACTACTCTCTTATGCTATGTGTAATATGCACAGGCAAAAAAGTTGGCGGCGACGGCGGCAACGCCGGTGATTTAATAATGCATGGCCTATGCGGGGAGCGAAGGCGTTGCAACAATTTCCCGCGTAAATGGCCGCGGGTTCCTCTCTCTCTCTCTCTCTCTCTCTCGCTCTATGCACTTGCGTTGCGCGTGCAGGTCGGCCTCGGCAGCTAGCTAGCTTAAGCTAGGGCCTGGCCTGGCACAAGCTCTCACGCACACACACGCACTCTCGCAGCTGCAATTCGCGCGGAGCTCTCTCAGTCTGCGATGCGATGATCTACGGAAATAGAGTAGCGCGAGTAGCCTCGTCGTGGCCCGCGGCCGCCGATGATACTCTCGAGACGATCGTAGTCGTCGTCGTCGTCGTCGCTGCTGCTGCTGCTGCAGGCGCAGCGGGTCGCACCAGCGGTGCAGTATTGGTATAAGCGGAGCGGCCGCGAGCAGCGAGCAACGCCGCCATCTTGTTATCAGTGTTGTCAATGCACGACGCTATATATATGTATATATCGGTGGTAAGTAGTAGTAGTAGTAGTAGTAGTTGCGAGTGGTGGTGGTGGTGGTGGTGGCAGCGGCGGCGGCGACTCCGTTTTTTTTTTTTTGTTGTTGCGTGTAGGCGAACCTTATGTACGAGTCGTCGTCGTCGCCCGTCGGTGGCGTCACTTCGACGATATGCCTGCGCGCGGCCGGGTTCGGTCGGTCTAGTCGGCTGCACTCGGCACTCGCGCACGGCTGCAAGGAGCGATCGCGATTTATTATATCTATCTAATACACTGCCCCTCTGCTGCTGCTGCTGCTGCAGTAGTAGCGGGCGAAAGGCTTTGCTCTATAGCGCGCAGATTAGCGCGACTCTCGCAGCTCTCGGCGCACGTATATTTGCATGTACATATAGATATACGCGACAATATGCTCCTTTGTATATAGCTATATAATAAGTTCTACTACTTATGTGGGGAGTGCAGTGCTGCAGTTCGCGGCCTGCTCAGCAGTTGCACTGCAGTCTGCAGCGAGGCGCCGATACTGTAGGTGTGCCCGCGTTGTCTCGTAACTCTTATTATATGCATTACGACACGACCGAAGTCCGGCGCAAAATGTTATCCCGCGAACCGCAGACTGCAGCTGCGCGATCCGCCCGAATTCCTCGAATGCTGCCCTGCACGAAAGTTCGCAGACTCGAGTAAGTTTTATATACGCGTGTAATATTGGGCTCGGATGTGGAGCACAAAGGGTTGAGAGTCGCGCGCACGCAAATCTTGGGCAAAGAGAGCTGTTACAACGCCGTATACGCGATAGTTGCAAGCTGATGCGGGGGAGGGGGAGCCAAGCTTCGAGACGAGCGTCGTCTACGGGAGGGAACTTTTTGTACGCCACACCCGCGCGAGTACGAAGCTCGAACTGCCGTGTCTGAGCCTTGTCGCAAGTCGCAACTAGCGATTTCAGAAAGCATCCTTATTTACAAAAGTTCTCTGAATAGTAATTGTTACTCTTTGCCGTGACACCGAATATTTCAAATTAATCAACGAATGTATTGAAGTATAACTTACCTAAACAAAATCTTCACTTTCAAAATGATTCGAACGTGTGAGCAGAGATGAATTTTAAACGATTATTATAGAACGTCGATACAATGCAATTTTTCAATAAAAAAGAAGACGAGAAAAACTGCGAGCTAAAATAATTAATTTAGAACCTTTCGACTCTCGTCATCTTGTTACGAACACAATATTATGACTTATAAAATCATCGTTAAAATTCGAATATAGAATCTTTGAAAATTTTTCATGGTTTAATTAACTTCAAATTTGACCGCCGGGCGCCGCGTCTCTCCGATTACCGTCATGCGTCATGCGTACTGTCACATGCGTACAACACACCGACGCGTCAATCATCAATTCATAGTCTTCTTTCTACATGTGCGCATCGAATACACAGCAGTAGAAGCTAATCTTTAACCTCGAAAAAGAACTTAAACTTGTGCGGTCAAACACACGTTGTGTCGTAAAAAAGTGTTTTTTTTTGTGTTGTAAAATAAATAAATAATTCACAATGTTGCGAAGGCAAGCGCGTTTACGCAGAGAGTATCTCTACAGAAAATCCAAGCAGGATCAATTGAAAACGATCCAAAAGAATAAGGATCAAGTGAAGAAAAGTCTTGATGAAAATCGTGTTGTTCCCACGACTTTAAAGGACAAAGCTTTGTATCTCATGAGAAAATCAGAATACGAAGATGCAGGTCCTCAATTATCAGTGGCTCATGGTACAGAAATGGGTGGTGCAGCTGGCACCAACGAAGATGATGAATATCGCTGGGCTGGTGTCGAAGATCCCAAAATTGTCATCACAACATCCAGAGATCCCAGTTCTCGTTTGAAAATGTTTGCCAAAGAGTTGAGATTGATTTTCCCCAACTCACAGAGAATGAATCGTGGTAATTATGAAATGAAGCAGCTGATCGACGCTTGCAGAGCCAACGCTGTCACAGATTTTATAGTAGTTCACGAACACAGAGGCGTACCAAACTCATTGGTTATTTGTCACTTACCTTATGGACCAACTGCCTACTTCACCATGGCTGATGTCGTCATGCGACACGATATCCCTGAAATTGGAACAATGTCAGAACAATATCCACATTTGATTTTCCATAACTTCAAGACCAAGCTTGGTTTAAGAACAATGGACATTTTGAAGTATCTGTTTCCAGTTCCAAAAGAAGACTCCAAGCGAGTAATTACTTTTGCCAATCACGACGATTGGATCGTGTTCAGAAATCATACTTACAAAAAAAACAAGAAAGATGTCGAATTGGAAGAAGTAGGGCCAAGATTCCAATTGAAACTCTTTAAAATCATATTGGGAACTTTGGAATCGACCAATGCTGCAGACTCAGAGTATGAATTGAGACCTTACATGAACACCAGCCACAAAAGAAGATTCTTATCAGAGGAGGATGGATGGAAACAAGAAGACGAAGAAATGGAATAACTATTTCCATTTAAATGTATATAGAAAATATTTAAATTTGAGTTTACAAATTTTATACATTATATATACTTGTAAGCTTGATTTAACATTTTTATACTCATTCTGTACATATAGGATAGATTAATTTTATAAAAGAAAAAAATAAAACATAGTTTTAAATTAAATTACAGAAATTAACATACTGTTATTTAACTCGCCAATCACTTCATCAAAAAACTCATTGTGTATCAAAAGCTAAATGATTAATGAAATTATTAAATTCTTCACTAGTACAGTAAAATTATTCATTGTCATTGAGAAACAAAATAAGACAAAGATCACATAAAATAATATATTCTTGAATTGAGTTTGATAAATGCAGCTGTATCTATAATAAAACATTTCACTTCACTGTAACATAATATTGAACAGTGAAAAAAATAATGAAATTTGAAAATACCGATCGATGAGATTATACTCATTCAAAACTGCAGTCACACAATGCACGACCCAGCAGAGGCCATTAATCACGATCGATCTTTCAAATCCTCGCGCTAATCGAGTGACGTCGCGTTATAAATCGCCGACGTATATCGCGCACGTAACAACGCCAAAATCGCAGTACTAAATATCGGTAAGTATAATGCACATGTCGCGCAGAACTATAAAGCACCACTGGCGCGGTGGGGAGTCGGATAAAGAGGGATATCATATAATAGGGAGGCGCGTTGCGAGCGGCGTAATATAAACATTGCTTGTCGCGCGGCGTCGTCGCGAGTACACATATTATTTTGCACGTGCGACTTTTTTCCCCCTGTCATCGTACACACCGATCGACTGCCTGTTGATTGCTATATTATATAGAGAGAGCACAATTTTTCCATAAATTTATTTAGGCCCTGTATCGATTCTTATATATAGGGTGTGCACACCGCAGACGCAAAACATTGTATAAAACATCTCCGCGAAGCAAATGACAAGAGCGTAAGCACACGCGTAATATTTGAGGCTATGAAAATTCGTCGATCGTAACTGCGCTTTCACGGCCGGATAATTTCGATTTTCTAAAAAAGAATAAAGCACAAAATTTCCAAGTGTCGCGCGTATCTTGTGCCGAGTGGGGGTGTGTGGGTTAAAGCCGGAGAAAGAAAAATAGTTTTTTCTGAAAAATCGCAAATTCGTCGAATATATACAGCAGAGAAGATGGAACACTACAGATACAACTGCATCGGTGGCGTGTGCCCCCGCAGGGTGAGTCCGAAATAATAATATTACGATACGATTTATAGGTAAACTGTCGAACTATAAGAATTTCAAAGCTCGTATCGATTATATCGCGAACGTTAATTGAAACGTCGAAAGGATGTTTTGCGTAGATGTATACGCGATTTCGAGATTGAAATTATTTAAATAGTTGACTATAATATTCGATTTTTACTGAAATGTCAATCCAAATACGGCCCCGCGTGTACAGGTCGAATTACGCAACCAATATCAATCTCTTTTCCAGCGCGTGTGTGTCAAAGCTCATTGAAACGATCATCGGCTGCTGCTGCTACTCATCCAATTCAGCTTTGTTATAGCGCGCGGCAAAGGTTTCCTCGCTTTTTGTAATTCGTTTCGACAATTACATCACGCGTGGGTGTGCTCTGTATAGTGGAAAAACGCGTCTCGCCTTGAACGCGTTTTTCGCATTCGATCGACGCGCGCGCGCGCAAAAACGATCGCGTACATATAAAATATCTCGATGGTTTCGAGTGTTATACCGCGACGCGAGAAAGACTTTTCTATAATTAAATAAAACGCTACTGCACCTCTGCCTCTTCTGCATTGCACACAAGGCTGCTGTGCCTCTTGGACCGAGCGAGCTCGAGCTATAGTATAGCTCTGATCGCATTTGCGGCATTTTTTCGTCGTCGCGCGTCTTTGTGTATTTTGTGCCGCACAAGAGCTATGCACACGGCTTCTTTTAATTATATCCGAGAATAGAAAAAGATCGTCATATATAGAAGCTGACTTATATGAGATCCATAACTCGCGATAATATAATTGTCCTCGCGCCTTACAAAAACTCGAACTTGGAGCATATACGCGAGCGAATAACATTTTTTCTTCCGGATAATTAGCATATATAAATCGATTAAATCTTCGCTTCTGCACTTGTATATACGCGCGGGGGCGCGTCGTGGAAAATATATATACCTAAACGCGCGATGATCTCACACACGCGCCCGCATCGTTGACGTATATCGTTTTACGCGCGGCCGGAACCGATCGATAGATTTATGTAAACGCATTGTCGGCACATATAAATATAAAATTCGATCGATGTCATTCTCGCGTGCTTCTTATCACATATATATCGTTTATATGCTAATTAAATTTCGCCGACTGGTGCATGCTTGACGTGCAGCAGTCGTGTAAAATCGGTATATAAATTTCGACCGTTGCTACTCCAAATTTCGCAATCGACCTGTGCCTATATTATAACACACCGTTGTTATTGTGTGTGTATAGGTGTACGCATCAACTATAAATAAATATATACACACAAACACAAACGCGTTCTTTCTCGCTCGCATGCGAGACATTGAGTGCAAATTAGAGGCCGGCGCTCGGCGGCGATTCTCTCAGCTCTCTCATATACTCGTCGCGAGCCTCTCGATTCATCGCAGGCGCACGTTATTCATATTTTACCTATTTAACACAAAAGTCAATTGGCGTCGCGTCGAGCAGCAGATCAGCATCGGTACACAGCTGGAGTATTATATAGAAGAGCCGATCACGTTGCGCGAGGATTAGAGAGAGAGAGAGAGTCGTACCTTCGTTCGTCATGAAGAGCACGTGGAGAGACAGAGACAGAGTAAGAGAGGCAAAATAGGATGAATTAGTACCTGTGTAACTAGTATAGTGGTGGTAGTAGTACCCCCCCTTCCCGTGTCTGTACTTAACGCGCGCGCGTGTACCTCGACGACTCTTTAATATTGTTATTCTCGCGTTTGCTCCGATTAACAGATATACAGTTTTCCGTGCTACTGTGTATACCTCGTGCGTGTGTGAATTTTTGGAGCGAACCCCCCCGGTATCGAGAGATAATATATAACGTGTCGTCACCTTTGTCGTCGTCGCCGCAACCCCCTCGATCATGTCACAAGTGGTAAAGCCTTTTTTTTTGTTTCTTACGTATAGGTACGGGCGATTTTTGGTTTCGATCAGGGATAAATCGACACGTCACGCGATGGGATCGCGCGAGCCGCTTGTATATATACAGTACGCTGTATATAGGCATAATAAAATAAACGCACGGCTATATAGTTGACGTTAAATTTCTCGAAATAGATCTCGTTTGCGAACGAACGCGTGGGAGGAGGCGCGCGCGATCTGTCAAATTTCCAAGTCGAGCGCGCGCGCCCGCGAATATAACGCCTATAGTCAGTAGTAGTGGTACAGTGTTTTTTTTCAAACGACGAACGATCTTTTTTTTTTTATTTACAGGACTTTCGCAGGCCGCTGGATAAGGAGACACGGGCCGAGGACCTGATCGTCGTGCTGCACACCACCTACACGGGCCTCAAGGGCCTGCCCGGCTACAGCGTGAGCGCCGACGGCCAGGAGTACTACGACGCCCAGCGGTACATCGATTGCGACGAGGTGTATCCGGGCGTCTTCATCGGCGACGGGTAAGCGCGACCGCATGATCGAGCTTCTACGCGATGTTATCGTATTTTATTTATTTATTTTTTTCATCGCTGCAGACAGACCGCGTGTAACAAGCAGTACCTGTGCAACCGGATCCACGCGACGCACGTGCTCAATGCCGCCGAGGGCAAGTCCTTCGGCTACGTCAACACCGACGCCAAGTACTACGCGGGCACGGGCATCGAGTACATGGGCTGCCACATGATCGACGCGCCCAGCACCAACATCAGCCAGTACTTTTACCCGGCCGCCGACTTCATCGACAACGCCCTGCGCAAGGGTGGTAAGCACCCTTAATTTCTTTTTTTCATTACTCGATACGATATTATGTGTGATTTGTAATTCACAGGCAGGGTGTACGTGCACTGCGTGCAGGGCGTGTCGCGCAGCGCCACCCTCGTCGTGGCCTACCTCATGATCAAGAAGGGCATGCTGGCCAGCGAGGCGCTGCGCACGGTGACGCTCGCCCGCAACATACAGCCCAACAGCGGCTTCCTGAGACAGCTGGCCGATCTCGACAATAGCTTAAGAAGATCGCGATCGTGAAGAGCGCAAAAACTTACCAAACGTTATCCGCATCGCGAAGTATTTTTGTTTTCTCGATGTTCTACTATATATACACTTATTGTTGTTATTATTATTATACAATGTCGGTAGCGATTATTTATTTTTTGTATAACAAGCATTGATCGCTATTAGAAAAATCGTAAGTCACGCGTGAATCAAAGTTGTTATTTATTCCGATCTTATGAATTTTAAAGGACGATGATTTGTATAGTTATTTTTTTTTTACACACGTGTTAAGTTGAAAAATTCACTGTTTTCGGTTATGCTAATTGTTTAGAGGTATTTTTGTAAGTATCGATTACTTCGTTTTTGTACGATCACTACTAAAAAGAAATACTCAAATAAAGAAACATTCAGTATGCTAGATCGATCTGGTAGCTCAATATTTATATCCTTGAATGAATTCACTGAATGAAAACTTTTGTAAATTTCAAGTATCGTTTAATAATATAGATGTATATGTACACACTTATGTATTTACACTGGTTTTCCATACTTTAAGGTATAATGTCAATTATACAAATTTTGCTACAGATATTTTGTGGCTTCCAGTAGCAATTTACACCTCAGATCTTGGGAGAGTCTGTCATGTAATTCTTCAAGTAGTCTTCCACCCTCTAAAAATCCCTTCAAGTTATGCAAAGATCCATTCTTTAATCGATGGTCTGTTATTCTGTCTTGAGGATAATTGTAAGTTCTTATCTTTTCATGGCGTAAACCCAGGCCCATTTGCTGCCTTCGCAAAGATGTAAAACTTTCTGTCTGTATGCTCATTTGCTGCTCGTATAATTTGGCTCTCAATTTCACCATTGCCATTTCACGATTTCTCAGTTGAGATCTGTGTACTTGACACTCGGCTACGGTTCCTGTTGGTAAATGAGTAATTCTGCATGCAGAGTTTGTCGTATTCACATGTTGGCCTCCAGCACCTGAAGCTCTCATAACGTCTACTCTGATGTCCTTAGGATCAATATACACTTCTATTTCGCTAGGTTGTGGTAAAACGCCAACTGATACAACACTAGTATGAATTCTGCCTGATCTTTCAGTAGCTGGTACCCTTTGTACTCTATGAACTCCAGCTTCGTGCTTTAATTTTTGATAGCAACCTTGGCCGGAGATCATTAAACTTCCATGCCTAGTTCCACCTTGGCTTGCCTGATCAAGATCAAGGATGTCAAAGTTATAGCCAAGATAGTCTAAGTATTTGATATACATTTCCATAAGTTCTTTGAGGAAAAGCATAGACTCTTGTCCACCAACACCTGCTGTTAATTCCAATATTACATCATTATGATTTTCGACATCAATATGATTGTAAACAAGGTCGACCAATTTATCATCTATTTCTGCTAATCTTTTTTGATTAATCAATTTTTCTTCTTCTGCAAGCTTTTTAACTTCAGGATCACTTTCTGAAATTGAATGCATAAGTTTAATTTCATTTTAAATAAATTAATATGTAATATGACATGTGCGTACCTAATTCCTTCAAACTTTCTACATTTTCTAGAATAGTAATTCGTTCATCTAGTAGAGTTTTTATAGGATAGAATTGAATCAAATCTTCAAAATCAGTTGTTGAACCATTACTATGCGCATCTACCAAGTGGTTTAACAGTTTCTTGACTGCACTTTCTGGTACAGACAGTTCAGCTATTGAGGAAAATTGTCTATGAAACAAAAATCTTCACAAAGTAATTATTAATTTATTTTAATAACGATAATAATTTTCAAATAAACTTACAAACCTATTGTTAAATTGTTCTGCTAAAAAACTTGGACTGTGAGGGTTAAAAGCTCTGTGTATAGTTTTAGCTCTGCAAAAACTTCCCCAAATGCTCCCTATCTCTTTCCGCCGACAAAAGACTTTTCTTGCAATTTTATTCATAATATTAGTTTTGCAATTGACATAAATCAAAGAAACATCGCACACATTTTCACAGCAAACTTATCGCGTTACGGTCACGAATTCTCGCAGTCTTGATTTTCACGTGTGTAAAAAAAGACTTCTGCTAGCTTGTCAGCATGCAAACAGCAAATCACGCAATTTTGAAGCTCCTAAAAATATAGATATAAAAAGTTGTACAGTTCCTTGTTGACAAGTTTTAGAATTCGAATTCAATCATGTTAAAAATAAGAAATAACATATTATTTAGCTTTAAGCATTCTGCAGACTTGAAGAAGTGTGCCCTTTTGAGACATGCATCTACCGGCGTAGGCGTTTGGGTAGGGTTAAGCTTTTGTATTATCAATTGAATTTTTGAATTATCTATCTTATTTGAAAAATTTAAGAGATTTTTAATTATTTCTTTTTAAGAATGATAATCTTACGACCGAGCATAAACATGAAATCGAATTTTATTGGCGAGATAAGATCCATAAAATTGATGAATCTTCAAATAGCAAGGATAAATTTTATGTCCTGTCAATGTTTCCATACCCCTCCGGATCTCTTCACATGGGACATGTTCGTGTTTATACCATCAGTGATTCAATTGCTAGATTTTATAGGATGCAAGGTCAGTGTCAAACATCTGTCAAAATTCAATAGAAAGTCATGCTTTGCTCAGCACAATTAAAAGGTTTATAATTCAATAGGTAAAAATGTGATACACCCAATGGGATGGGATGCATTTGGTTTACCAGCTGAAAATGCTGCCAAAGAAAACAAAGTTGATCCAGCTTTTTGGACCAAAGAAAATATCAAAGCCATGAGACAACAGTTGGCAGATTTGGGTTGTACGTTTGACACTCACAGAGAATTTGCTACCTGTGACCCTGAGTACTACCGCTGGACTCAGGAACTCTTCATCAAACTATTTGAAAATGGTTTGCTGTATCAAAAAGAAACCTTTGTAAACTGGGATCCAGTTGATAAAACAGTACTCGCCGATGAACAAATTGATGAAAATGGTAAATCTTGGAGGTCAGGGGCTCAAGTAGAAAAAAAGCTACTTAAGCAGTGGTTTGTTAAAACTACAGCTTTTGCACAGTGAGTTTTTAAAATTGCACAACATAATGACTTCTAAAAATTGTTATTTATGCTGGATTTTATGATTAGGTCTTTATTAGAAGGTTTAAAAGATAAAACTTTGAAGGAATGGAAAGATATTATCAAAATGCAAGAACATTGGATTGGTGATTGTTCTGGAACAAATATTGAATTTCCAATAATTTCAGATGAACCAGGATATCCAAGTTCCTTAACACTGTGGACTGATCATCCTGAATTTATAGAAGAAGCTAAATTTGTTGCAATCTCAAATAACAATATACTTTCAAAAGTTGAAAGATCTGACTCTTGGGATCCTAATAGAAAGTTGAAAGCGACTGTTATTAATCCTTTTACTAACGAAAAATTACCAATATTTGTTACAGAAAAAGGTATTCATTGTAATTTATTCAATGTTGTCGCAGAATATTCGTAATCAATCATTTCTATTTTTTACAGAAAAATTACCATACCCTGCTTTTAGAGACGATTATTTAGGCATTCCACGCATATCAGAGGCAAACGTTTCATTTTGTAAATCTGCAAAAATTAAATACGAGAGTCCAATCGTTTATTCAGCTGCAGAAATTCAAGAAAAGAAGGCGGAAATATTAAGAATAGCAAAAGAACGTAATATCGGTGGTCATTTAGTAGGCTCAAAATTGAGAGATTGGTTAATATCAAGGCAGAGATATTGGGGCACGCCTATACCGATTGTTCACTGTGAAAAATGCGGTCCTCAGCCTGTACCGAGAGATCAGTTACCCGTGGAATTACCAACACCAAAGACACCAAAGAAAGAAGTATCATTGAAAAATGCTCTCCACTGGATGAAAACCACATGCCCGGAATGCAATGGACCGGCAACGAGAGAAACCGATACAATGGATACATTTGTAGACAGTTCGTGGTACTTTATGAGATACATCGATCCAAAGAACACAGAAGAAATGTTCTCAAAAGAGCTCGCTTCTCGTTATTTACCAGTGGATCTGTACATCGGTGGAAAAGAACATGGTACTATATTTTCTCAATCAAAAGAGTAAAGATTAAAAATTTTTATTTACAATTTACGAACGTGTCATTCCAGCGACGCTGCATTTGTATTATGCCCGTTTCATCAGTCACTTCCTTTATTCGTTGGGCATGCTGCCGACCCGTGAACCGTTCAAGCAGCTCTTGGTGCAGGGCATGGTAATGGGTCAATCGTACAGCACCAGAGACGGAAAGTATCTGAAAGCCGACCAAGTGACGACCAACGCGGCAGGGACTCTGGTAGAGAAGTCGAGCAAGGAACCGGTCGTAACGGCTTGGGAAAAAATGTCCAAATCGAAGTACAACGGCGTCAGTCCTTCGAAGATGTTTTCGCAGTACAGCACCGATACCATACGATTGTTGATACTCGCCGATGTCGCTCCCACGTCCAATCGCAACTGGTCCGAAGACAGTGAGTGAACGAAACCGATCGAGTTGACAAATGAATGAATCCATATTATAATTAGAAAAAAAAAACAATTTTTCTAGCTTTCCCGGGCATATTGAACTGGCAGCGCAAGCTTTATCAAATGATCACCGAGTTCATCGCGGAGCGATCGTTTCTCAACCCGGAGGTGTTGGACGCGCCGCCGATCGACGATCCCAAGTTCCAAGCGGACGAGGCGCTGATGTTCGACGCGCGCAACTACTACGTGCACGGGGTGACGTTCAACATGATCGGCTCGCAGCAGCTCAGCATAGCCATCTCGAAGATGCTCGGCCTGACTAATGACCTGAAGCGAGCCGCCAAGCCCTGCATCGGCCTGGGTCGCGAGTACGAGCGCGCCCTCGCCGCGCAGATAATAATGCTGGCCCCGTTGGCGCCGCACTTCGCCTCGGAGCTGTGGGCCGGTTTCTGCAAGGCCCCGCACAGGCTCGTCACGGACGGCGAATTCGACTGGGACAAGGACGTGCTGCAGCAGAGGTGGCCCGAGGTCGACATGGAATACAAGCTGAAACTCAACGTCAAGGTAAGAGATCGTCTTGCGATGGAGCTTCGATGGTTTTTTAACGAGCGATGATTCATTGATTTTTTGTGCGTAGATGAACGGCAAGGAATTCTTGAAATTGAGGGTGCGTCGACGAGACCTCGAAACCATGGACGGTGATGATATTCTTCGAATCGTCGCCGAAGAAGAGAAGTTCAAGAGATATCTCGAAGGGCGCAAAGTTACGAGAGTATTTTATAATGCGAAGAGAAGCGCTGGAGCCGAGATACAAATCACGGCTAAGAAAAATGTTACAGCTGTTTCGCAAGAAAAAATTGTGTAAAACTATAAAGCGACTCATTTTTGTAAATATGTAAATACATTTCTTCATACGTTTATGAATTAAAACAACTGGCTTTTGAACATTTTATGAAATCAATACGTTTGATCTTTTAAAGTATAAAAAACGGACTTTATAAGGTTAACTAACAATTATATTTCTTTCATAATTTCAATGACAATTAACTCTTCATGATATTAGTATAGAGATATTTTACAGTCTTTGGTAATAACAATAATCTTAATAAGTTTTATCATTTTAAATTGATAATTGGCGAAGCAGCAACTTTAAGACCAATTCTGAAATCGAGAAAGAAAAATTATTTAGATCAGAAAAAAATCTTACTTAAAAATTTCAAATTTATTTCAATAATCAATTATTCAACAAGTATACTCACAACTTCTACTGTTCCATTGTAACCATTGTGTTTGAAAGATTTCAAAAATTCAATATATTCATTGGGAAGATTGAATTCTTTTGCTCCATTAATCATAGTATTCCTGAGTAAATAGTTAATTCGTTTTTAATTAAATATATTCGAAGATTATGTGAGATACGCTACGACGAGGGTAAAAACTTACAAATAAATGAGCGACGGCTGTCTATCTTCAGGCAACGAACCCGGTTCAATATGTTCCTCTGGCAGAACACATTGCTCATAAACGTAGCAGTCAAAATTTTCACCGGCTTCAGTCGTGACAGTTACATTTTTACGGTAGTATAGATTGTCTTGAACGTTTTCTTGCCAGTCGAGAGCTGGTAAATCGCACAAGTCGATTTCCCACACAACGCCCCAAACTTCGGAGCCGGGAGTAGGTGCTACGGTCGAGGCACAACCGCCCCATCGTTTCGAGAACCAAATGAAGTCGAGACGATGATCCTTGAAAAATAATTTCGTTTTTATTTTGCATTGCTATCCGTTGTAAAAAAGTTCAGTTTTTAAAATATATCCACCTTCAGTACACCGATGTGCTTTTGCACGGCAGTTGGATTATTTATGTGAATTCGTTTGCTGAGCATGTTGCTCCCGTAGGCAAAGTAGAGGAATGTGCCTGGCATGTTTGGATCTTTAATACAAGAGGACTCCTAAAAAAAAACAATCGATCCTTTTTTAATAAATTACAAAGATTAAAAAAAAAAAAAAAAAAACGATCGAGAAAATCGGTATGGATTTTATAATCTATTTTCTGAAAAACCATACTAAAAATTGAGAATATACTTACGGTTGGCGAGCAATTCAGCTTCCCAAAAAGAAAAGCGAATAGAATAATTGCACGAAAACTCCCGCGAATCATGGTTGCGTCGATCGAAAAGTAGCAGCGATGAGGTATGTCAACTCTCGACTACGAGACAGCCGAAATCAGCCCTTTTTATCGTGACAATTATACATTAACAAAAGCCGATCGGCCTATCGAAATATCGTGTATCACAACTGTCGAGATATATTTTGCGCAGTTGGCATTATCACCAAAACACTAGACGATAAGTCGCTGCACTGCAATCTAAGCGTGTCGACCGTTGAGTCAACTCCGTGCATCATAGACAAAATTCTATCAGTTAATTGTACGCATGGATGCTTCGAATTTGCGCTGTTATAATATCGACACGAGCTAGTACACACCTCTCATTATTCTATTTGCTGATGAATAATTTCCGTTTTTTGTTACAGAATAAGGTATTTATTTTGATCTATTTAAGATTTCAATAAAGTATTCATCGTTAATTGTTAAAAGCACAGACTAATTACAGCATCCTGTTATTTTGAGGATGGTAATTTAATCGCACATCAGAGGAAAATGCACATGATTCACTGTAAATTAATGTATATAGTTCACACAATTAACAACATTAAACAATCGATAAATTATTATCGGATTTCTGTTAATATAGAAAATTGAATGTGTAAGTTTATTTAACATGTATATTTTATTTTTCCACGGTTATTTATAATTACATTTAATTTTAACGTATATAATATTCGTCCATATAATTTTAATAACGTATATAACATTCGTCCATGATTTTAAAAATTGAAACATTTATGCATGCTTTAAGTCACTTAATTCTTAATCTCATTGTTACAGATAATTTACAGTCACTTAGAATGAAAATAATCGTAACGAGTGTCAACATTTTAAATTGGCGATTGGCGAAATAAAAATTTCACGGCTAGTCATCAAGAAAAAAAAAATTGTTGCAATGAAATTTAAATTCCATAAAGCGTAGTCAAAGGCCATAGCTAGGAAAGCTGCGTTTTCGAACCCATCACAGGGCTACCTCGAAGACTCGCCTAATAGAAACAAGCATACTTGCACACTTCGAGTTTTCACTTTAAATAATCAATTATTCGAAAGTATGTCTACCGTTCCGTTGTAACCATTATTTTTAAAAGATTTCAAAAATTCAATGTATTCATTGGGAATGTTGAACTCTTTTGCTCCATTGATCATAGTATTCCTAAGAAACGAGTTGATTCATAAAAATTGAGGCATCGAATGTTTATCTCTATAAGGGAGCATAAAAACTTACAAATAAATGAGCGACGGCTGTCTATCTTCGGGCAGCGAACTCGGCTCCACGTATTCCTTTGGCAGTACGCATTGCTGGTAAACGTAGCAGTCGACATTTTCACCGGCGTCAGTCTTGATCGTTACGTTTTTACGGAAATACACGTTGTCTTGGACGCTCTCTTGGCGATCGAGAGCCGGCAAGTTACTCACGTCGATTTCCCACACTATACCCCAGACTTCGGATCCGGGAGAAGGCACGATGGTCGAGGCACAGCCGCGCCAGCGTTTCGAGTGGTAAATGAAGTCCAGACGATGATCCTATCGATCGATTTTTTTTTTTTTTTTTTTTAGTTTTTGTATCGAAAATTTTCATTCCGTAAAACGTATATATAGCTTACCTTGAGCACGCCGATGTACTTCTGCACGGCCGTCGGATTGTTTATGTGAATCCGTTTGGTGAGCATGTTGCTACCGTAAGCGAAGTAGAGGAATGTGTTCGGCATGCTTGGATCTCTGACGCAAGAGGACTGATCCTGAAAATATGATTAATTCGAAATTTCAAAAAATCGTTCGATAAAATCGGCAACGATTTTTTCGTGAAAAAAAACCGAGTATCGCTACCCCCATTCGCGATTCTTTCGTGTATTATACTCACAGTCGGCGAGCAGTTCATCTTTTCGAAAAGAAAAGCGAAAAGAAAAATTAAATAAAAGCTAGCGCGAATCATCGCTATGAAACTGACAGCCCTTACCGCGACTACGAAGCTGTTATTTACAGAAAAGCCGGTGGCCGATATGTAATTTTGAGTACTTCCCACAAGCCAAAAAAGAAGAAGAAGAAGAAGAAGAAGAAGATTAAAAAGCCGGTCAGACAGTATCACGTCTCGCGAGATGCTTATATCTCTACTTAGGGACTTCCACAAACTATGTAATGGAATTTTTCACGACATTTGACCCAATATAATTAATCGCATGACAAATTCTATTATTTTTATACTGCGAGCTCGGATGCTTTTATCCATCTCATTGTCAGATCACATCGTGCAGAACGAGAGCAACGAATAATTAACCTTAGCATAACAATCAATTGTCAGATACGTAATTGTAATCATTTTTCTTAAAGACGTTGTACTTGAATTTGAAAAATCCGGCCTCGTAAAGGTTAACGATTATTACATCTTTATCGGAAATTGCCGGTTCGTTTCATTTCAATTAATTACCAGTAAAGTTGCTAAACGGCCGATTGACTTTGACAGCGAGCCAAACCTCGGCAGTGTCATTACACTATACGAAAATCGTTAAGTTAACGAGAACGTAAAAAAAAGTTTTCTTTGTTTCTGACCTGCGACCCACCCGCGACTACCTTTTGTTCGCGGATTTCAAGACAATGTCCTCGCCTCGATTGTATTTTCACCGGTTTCCGCAAAGTACTTAAATACGTGTGTAATATTCCACTGCCACATTTGCGTGTGTACCATATATCATAAACAACAAACACGTCGACGTCAGATATGTACACGAAACGTCTGCTAGGAGCCTCAACAGCTGACCGTCAAACGCCCGACCAATCGGAGCCATGCCCGCGAAAATCTACGCCGTTGTCGCCTGCGCGCGTAAAAACCGCGGCGCGACTCGCTGTGGAATGGCCGTATACAGTGTGTTGTGTTTATATCGCGTGTGCCGCAGAAGTGAAATCTAACACCTCTCTGTATCGTGCAGAGATAAGCGGCCCAAAATGCAACTCCTCGGTGCATCGGACAAATGAAGAGGAAGAAAAGCGTCGACAAAATCGAGCGTGCGGATTTTCTGCGTTTATTTGTTGTTTCTCCCCCGCGAACATGGCACTCGAGGCTTTGCTACCCTCGGAAGTTGCTCGACTCGTTTACGGTGAGAGACCACGAATTGTTTTCGTTTATACTCGCGCTAACCTCGCAACGAAAGCGAGGAAATTTTCTGAAATTTTCTTCGAATCCTGGGGAATCGTATGAACTGATTCGAGAACTATATTTCGTGGATCGTGAATATTATCTGCAACTAATACAAACCATGATCCAATAACCTTTACTGTAACCCGAAAAAATTTTTATCCTCTGCCAACCCTTATGACTGCAATTGAAACGAAGCTACTGTAAAAGTTAGTCAATTTAATGAAAATTTTTTGCGCAGGTTATTTAAATTATGAAAAATGTACAGAATCAGCTAAAACATTTCTCCACGAATCTCCACATTTGGAAGAATGTCGTACTGTTGTTTCTTGTGGTAGAAGTTTTAGCTCACGAGTGAGTGGCTACACTTTGATGGACATTTTAGAGCAATTTTGTCTCGTTAGTTCTATTGGTAAGTTTCATCTCTACTCAAATAGAATCTTAAACGTTTATATTCTATTATACATTTTATGTTAAATTATATAGTACAAGAAAAAATAATACAGATAGATGATACTGGTAAATTGAAAAACTGCCTGAGTCTGATATACAAAATTAAAATTCTTTTACAAGAGTATAATAAAGAACAGACTAATATTCATAATACTCAAGAGCATTCAAAGGTATCAGAATGATTTCTTATTTTTATAAATATTTTAATGAATGAACGTTTATAACATTTTTTAAATTTCACAGAATAATGAAACGTCTAAAGACACAGTATGCTCTCCCAATCAGAAAACTGACAATAGAATTTTACAGAAAGGTATTGAATCTTCTGATCAAAACCATCGACCTAATAATATAGAGATTCCATTGTTGAATGGTTTTACTAATGTGATCAATAACTCTAATGATAAATGTACAGACAAAGTACCAAATGAAAAGACTGATAAACCAATGCAAAAGTTGGTTGAATGCAATTCTGTGGAGAACAATGAATCTTCTCAGCAAACTGCCAAATCTCAAGTATTAAATTCCAATGCATTAGACAATAAGCTTTGTAGTACTTTAGGAAATAGTAAAAGTTCAGAAAATGACCAAAATATAGAAATGTCTCTTGGCCAATTTTCTGGAGACAAATTTTCAGCATTACCTAGTAAAGAATCTGTCAATATAGTGGAAGTAAGTATGAAATATATCTTCAAATTCAAGTATATTTAATGCTTAAATTTGGATAAACTAATTGTATGTTTTTAACTGTGTTTAGAAAACTAGCAATCCTGAGTTTACTACACCTAGTGCAGCATCAACCATTAATTTGAACACAGGCAAGTCTGTCAATATAGAGTTTGAACAAGTTACAAAAAACAAGGTTGAGAAAAAATTGGCTGAGCCATGTGAGAAAGATAGCCAGTACAAAGAACCACAAAAAAGCAACAACGAAATTATGAATATGGAAATAGAAGAGTAAGAAAAAATATTTTTTAAATTTAAGTTGTAATAAAGATGTTAATTTAAATTAAAAATTTCAACAGAATCAGCGGACAGCAAAAAATTATTTCAAGAGCATCAAATGAACTTGAAAAGATTGGTACAAATAAAATTACACAAGAACCTTGTGTATCGACTGCAGAGATTACTAATCAAAATAACATGAACAGTGACTCTTTAAACTTGAAACTTTGTGGAACAAATTTTAAAAATGTTATAAATAGTAAAAATACAGAAATTGAATGCGCTACTGAAAAATCTTCATTGGTACAAAATCAGAACATTGTTGCAAATAATAATGCCAATTATGTGACTGTTCCACAAGTTTCATGCCCTCAAACAAATGTAAATCCATTGTTTTTCAATGCCAATGAAACTTCTACTCCCATCAAAACTTTTGCATTTGATACATGTGACTGGTTTCCATCATCTATTTCTACGTCTGCAGGTAATATTCAAGACAATTTAAATTATAAATTTCTTTGTAAACTTGATGAAATTTTTAATATGCGACAAAAATTTTTTTTTTTTTAAGATTTGACAAATTGTGTGAGCACAGCAGCTATTTCTGGACCAACCATATCACCAATCATTGCTAAAAGTAATATTACTTTTTATTAATTTATATAATTTGATTACAAAGATTTAATTCACTATGAATATTTTAGATACATCTTTACATCTTGGAACATTTAATTTAGGTTCTCCATTAAAAAAAGGCATGCTAACTTTTAATAAGATTTAATTTTTATACTTCAAGTATGCCTTTCGAAATTTTAATTGACTTTTTGTCTTTTATTAGATCAAACTCTGCATACACCAGATATCAGTTGCCCACCAAAAAATCGTATTGTAAATAATGCTAATGCAGATGTTCCTGTGTCAGAATCTCAAAAAATGACCAAAATGGATTCTGGATTATCTGGATTACAAGACATTAATGATATCATCATGCAAACTTTACAGAAGGCTGATGGAATCCCAAATTCCATACCGACCTTGATAAAAAATAATAGCGAAGTGGATAAATTTTTTGGTTTAGATACAATAAATTTGTATGGCACGGATAGCGATGGCCCACATACTATGCAGCAACATATTGCAAATATTCCTGAAATTAGTATGGAGAATTCTATATCTTTAACGGGTACCGGTTTGTCCCCATTCTTAAAAAAAAATAAAACTCCATTTAGGAATGAAAAAATTGGTGATATGAATTTAGTAAAAAATCCTACGAATAATGCAGAACCGGAAAAAAATGAATCAAATTCAAAAAATGTTGAAGTTTTCGATCCTCGTGACTTTGCGATAAGTGCAAGTCAAAATCTTAAATTATTTGAGAAGTACAAGTGTGTAAAAAATTACTTTAGTTTTTAACTTACTTGAATTTATTAAAAAACGTATGTTTATTTTTTTAGCAACAGTATTCAATTGAACACACCAGCGTCATTGGTGATGAATTCAGCACAGGATAACTTTACCCAACGCAGTCGTTCTACTCCTAAAAAATGTAACAGTCACGTTCGTGTTTTAGATTTTGATAGACCTTGGAATCGAACAAGATCTGATGGCAATTTATCAAATATAAATCCTGAATCAATTGACACATTGAAACAATCTCTACCAAAGGGCTCGCATGTTTCTCATCTTTTTCAATCTCCAGAAATCAATAATGAAGTTATAATCGAGCAAAAACTAGAACCAACTACGCAAAATTCTTCTGCAAAAGTACCGACTGATCAGAAAGAAGTTGAAGAGGCACCTGCTGCTGGAAATGAAAAAACAAACGTAGATTTGCCGATTAATCAATTCCAATCAGAATTTGAAAATACCATTGCGTCACCTGATGAGAAATCGGAAGCAACCAATGTTGAGACTTCAGATAACGAAAACGGCAAATCTACAGAATTTAATGCGTTAGAAATTGTGAAGCTGCAAGACAATCTAAAACGTTCTGCAGATTCGGCTATAGACAGTGAAGAAAAGGAGAGTGTGAAAAAATTTAAAAAACACGAAAGAACTCCGAAAAGACCGAAAAAAAGCTCTAAAACGCCAAAGAAATCCGCGAAAAAACGGAGTCACGACGAGAAAAAATCATCCAGATACGAGAAAGATCGAAGTAAAAAGAATTCTTCAAAAGACGACAAACACGACGCAAATAAAAAGGAAAAAATCACTCACGAAAGTAAATATAACAAAAACGTAGAACACTCGAAGAAAAAAGATGATCATAAAAAAATTACAAACAAAAATGACGAGAAAAAGTTACACAAAAAAGAAAAGAGGAAAGAAAATTTTTTTGAAGAAGATCCAGAAATCGTAAGCAAATTGAATATCAGAGATCAAGAAAATAAACATTCATCCAAACTCAATGAGAACGGAGTAGAAAAAACGAGAGATCAAAAGAAAAATAAAGAAAATTCAGAAATTGTTAAAGAAAAGAAAAGTAGTAAGAGCTCTGAAAACAAAGATGTTCCCGTGAGTGAAAATAAACAGAAAAATTTGGATAATAAAACTCATCATTCTAATGAACAATTAAGTGGCATGAAAAGTGCAAACGAACCTCTGCAAGAGTTGGAAAAAGAAACAGTCGCTAAACAAAGTATAGAAATGAAAAAACACGACGAACTGAATAACTTAGGCGAAGAAAATAAAAAAGAAAATATCGAACTGAAAGAGAAAATTTCTTCAATAGGGTATGCACAAACAGAAAATGACGAGGACAAGAAAAAAGATACCAAGTCAAATAAAGAGTCCAAAGAAAATTCATTGGAAGATAACGAAATAAATTCAAGTGACAGAAATAAGAAAAAGCCCGCATCACATATCGAAACTAAAAAGTTTTCTCAACTGGCTTCGAGTACAATGATTCATCAAGATAGTCCCACCGCTGGATTTCAAACAACTTTGGGAACAGAAACGAGTCAACTCAATGAAACGGTATATATAATTGATTATCTTTTAATTAAAAGGAAAATTAATATTATTCATGTTTTTTTTGCAGCAATTGAGCACAGAAAATTCATCAGTAACATCGATTGATTATAAAAAAATCGAAGAACAATTGAGTAGAATTACCCACGAAAGCATTGAATCTGAATCTGAATTATATGTTCACGTCGAAAAAATGGAGGGTGGAAAAATGGTCAAGAAAAAATATGCCAAGCTCAAGACTCTCGATTCCAGCAGCGTAGATTCACGAGACCACAATCCCTTGAACGATTTTGTTCTCGACTTCGGGACGCCGCAAAAAGAAGTCAAAGACGTCCCGCCCACTCCCAAACTACTCAGTCCCGGATCACTGAAAAATTCCGATAAACCGATGCAGATTGTGAATGAGGATTCTAAATCTGTGCTAATGTGTTTACCTACACCGACAGATTGTCCACCCACGCCAAAAATTTATCTGTCACCGCCGCGAGGTCAGGATAATGCGAAAAGACCACAGGTAAAAAATTGTTCAAAAATTTCTAAAATTAGGTTTAAAATATGTGATTTTATCAATTTTCCATAAAAATAAAAATGGTTTTACGTTGCAGAGAAATACTCCTGAAGGTGCTCCATTTTACAAAATTCATCCTATCGCTTTAAATAAAATTGAAGTTGTATCGAAAATCACTTATTTCAAAGAGCAAATAGAAGAAAATATGGAATCGAAAAATCATGCCCCTGAAGAGAGACAAAACGATCAGGACGAAGAAAGTCATCATGGCTCCGCTGAGATACAAAATTGTGAGGAAGAGGAAAGTCCTGAATTCTCCGAAGCTAGTCATTCTTCTGATTCATCTTCATCATCTAGCAGCTCGACGTCATCCAGTTGTTCGTCTTTATCATCATTTATATCTAACGATGAAATTGATGATGAAAACGCAGATTCGAGTAAATTAAAATTTTCATATTTTATTTTATTTCCTCTTATCACGTAATTTAAAACCTTTAATTTTTTTTTATTCTAGATAATGTTGTCGAGGACGATCAGTCAAGCCAAACAAAATCCTTGGCAGATAAAAATGAGAAAAATGACAAAGATACGCGTGTTGCTATAAGCGAAAAAGATGCCATCAATGATAATTTGACTAATAAAAATAAACACGATGCCCAGCTTGAAGAACTTCGGCGACAATTGGAATCTTCACCGCAAAAAGTATTTTCTGTCAATAAAACTGACGAAGAACTTGCTCAGATCGACAAAGAAACTCCTGCCAAGGAGGAGAGTAATCATCCAGAATTAGATATTCACGAAACACCATATGTGTCAAAACCGGCGGAAAATACAAATCTTCACGCCAGAATATCGGAATTGATGATCGAAAAGGAACGCGAGAACGAAGAAAAGCTCAAACCACCGCAAGAAGCAAAGGGCAAACCAAAAATTATCAAAGTCGAACAGATTAAGCCTGCAACAACTATGAAGCCGCCACAATTACCCAATTCATTAAACTCTTTACTGGTTGATACTCAGCTCAAAGCGCAAAAACTTAAAGAAGAACAAATAAAGCATCAACAGAAGCGTATTGTCGTTGACAAGTGTTCCGAAGAATTGGAGCAAGCCGTCGAAAGTATAACAGCAGTTCCAATTTCGAAGAACGAAACTACGCCCGAAGAGAGCAATGCCATTCCACCGAGCCCTAGCAAGGATCTGAACGAATCGACGGAAAGTGCCAAAATCGAACGCCTCAAGGCCGTCGAAAGCATCACACGGTTGGATCGGGAAAACGATCTGAGCGAACATACTGATGACAGTGACAGTGACACAAATCTACAATTGGTTCTAGACGAAGAGGAAGAAAATGAGAATAATTCAAAATCCGATGGTTCAGTTAGCAATGAAAATACAGACGATCGTTCTCGCGATGGAGAATTCCAAGCGGATGAAGAAATTCCAGACGTGGAGTACGCCGATAATATAGAATCTTTCAATAATGAATTTACTTTCGAGTGGGATGAAAATAATTCGATAAAAGGTAAAAGACGTCCTCGAGTGAAGCATTATACAAAAGAAGAGCTTCAGTTAACCTTAGCTTTTTGCGATGGAGAACCCGTCTATCTGCACCCTACAGATCTAGAAATGATAATCGAATTGAATCCGGTAAGGAAAGGTTCTAAAGCTGCTAAATCTGCTACTAACACAGGTATATTTAAACGTTTTGCTTTAACGCGAATTATATTATGTCTGATATTGTTAATAATATAAACATAATTATTTTTGTTTTAGTAACTGAGAAACCAAATTTGAAGAGGAAAAGTACTAACGTCATTTCGATCACAAGAAAGAGGCGAAAAAATGCCTTCATCCTCTCTTAGAAAATGTTGTAAAATATAGAATTTTATACTGCAAAACCGGTTTGAATGTTGTTTAAATGGCCATGGAAAAACTCTACTAGTCAGATCTGAATGTTATTAAACGAGCCCTGCTATTGCGTGCTTTTATGAAAAGTACAGTTATTTCAGAGGAGGACAACAATTCGTGTACTAAAAGTATTATAAAGGGCATCCTCTGTGTGCATGTAAAACTCTTTATCAATAGTTCGTCGTGACTTTGTACTAAAAAATTTTGTACAGCAGTTTTGAATTGTTTAAAAACCTACAGGATTTAACGGTTTTTGCAAATGATTTTTATTAGAAGAACAAACGCGAATTGAATTGTTTGATTACTCGATCATCAGTATGTACATCGTTATAAATAGATTTAGAAAATAAAAATGTTAATAATCGAGCGTTACCTAAATATTTTAGATATTGAACCTATGATTTTGATGTCTTGTTGTATATATTTATATTATATATTTATAGATTTATCGGACGATCTTGTAATGTTTTTTAGACTGCTGCTAAGAGGTGTGAGACTTAATGTCATAAATAAAAAGTGTATATTTTTATACATAATCATTAAATCTAATTGTTCTTAATTAGTAGAATAAAAAAAGTTTGTCATACATATATTGTTATGTAAAAAAGTCTATTTTTGTAACTCATGAAAAAATGATCTCTAATACACGCTTTTTGAAATCTATTGTTTATGATGTTCAGTTTATTTATAACGTTTATTTTACGAAATAATTTGTATTTTGATATATAACCTATTAGTATTGACCAATAATGGAAAAGTCTGAGGACTCGAAATTAAGTAATTATATTTTTAATTTTAATCCATCTACAGTGGCTCGAAATTGGAATTTATCAAAAATGTGTGCATAGGTAATGACGAATTTTTATCAAAAATATGGCAACACTATTATCCTTCATTGCCCGAAGAAGTTCAACCACCAACGAGTATAGAAAAATTAGATCACGAAAAGAGAAGATGTTTGTCGTTAAAAAATTCAAACGTTCAAAAGGGTTGGCAAAAATTCGTAAACGATTTGCCGAAATCTCAAAATGAAATCATTCCCACGCCATCAGAACAGTTAGTAAAGTGGATTGTTCCAAAATAATTACGAATAAAAAATTGTTCTTCCCACAGGTTTTGGCGTTTTAAAATGTATAAAAAATATTGTCCCGAAGAACCAAGAACAGATTTTAGAAAAACGATGAAAAGTGGTCCAGGTTTTGACAAGTATGGATCACTACCATTGACTGCAGAAGATGCGCGTCTTTTTCGGTCATCTCCCAAAAATCATAAATATTGACAACATAAGTAAAATTTACCAACAATAAATTATTCTGTTGCTTGACCCTCAAAAAAATGGTTCATAACAATAAATTTTAACTAAAATCATAAAAAATGATTTATTAGATCTGTAGAGCTAAAAAATATAATACAGTGTGACAAGATAATATTTATCTTATAATATTCACAATCAATGGTAAGTAATGACATTAATCAAATTTATAATTTCTGTAGACTTCTCGGAACATATCTCGACAATTAATCTTAACATTCATTTTCGCACATAATAAAAACACACCCGATAATTTTCTATGCAAACTATAAATTTCTTCTGGAGGAGGACAAAGTCTATGGTGTACAATCGTTGGAACTAAAGCTTGAATTCTGTGGAATAAATGAAATAAGAAATAGATTATTGTTTTTTTTAATACAGCATTTAAAATATAATTTTTATGTACCTCCTAGTAACATCTTGTCCACCAAAATCAAAGTATTTGTGATCTCTATCAAAAACTTGACCCAAAATCATTACTGCATCTACATGAGCTTCTTCCATAACTTTTGACTCATAGCCGGTTAAGAAACCCATTTCTCTTGAAATCTGAAGAACTTTTCCTCTATCCCCCTCACTGGCACCATTTATAACTTCTATGTACTTATCCATAAATTCTTTAGTGTAACTACGACATGCACCAAAATCTAACAAAATCAGCTATAAAAATAATGGACATCAATTATTTTTCAATTGAAAAATTATATTATAATTGTTTAAGAATTAACATACTTGTTTGGTTTGTGTGTTGTAAAAGAAATTTGACCAGTTAGGGTCTGTTTGCATGTACCGAAATACAAAAAGTTCCTTCAAACATAGCTCCATGATGAGTCTACAAATATGCTCTCTTGTTTCCATATCTGAATCTGCACATTTATCGATTGGAACACCCTCAATTAGTTCAGAAGTAAATATTTGGTTAGTACAAAATTCATCTGAAACACCAAAAAATGTATTATGTTTCTTTTTCGTTGGAGCAGTAGTTATTTTACATTACCTATGACTTCTGGAACATAATACTCTGGATAAGGTTCAACAAGCTTTCGATAAACTTTTGTACATTCTGCTTCTCTGACATAATCAACTTCCCATGATAATTCACGTTTAGCAACTTCCACAACATTATCAATGAACATTCCTTCAGGAAACATATTCCAAACCTAAAATTATCAATTAATGTAGTTGTGCAAGATACTATAGAAAATTTTCCATTTCATACTAACTTTCATCACACCAACTAAATTTTCAATATCACTTTGAATACCAGCTGCAACACCTGGATATTGAATTTTCATGGCTACAGGCCTACCGTCTTTTAATGTAGCATGATGAACTTGACCTAAGACCCAACAAGATTTGAATAAAATTAGTAATGTGAAGTTGTTTTGTTGTATATATTATATTATATTATTTAAATAAAATACCAATTGAAGCAGCAGCAAAAGGCTTATCATCAAAAGTAGCTAATTTTTCTCTCCAATCATGACCCAATTCACTAGCAAGTACTTTCTGTAATAAAAGTTTTTTCATTTATAAAAATGTACCAAAAAATTAAGCTAAAATTAGCTATATGTGAAAAACTTTACCTGAACTTGCCAAGTTGGCATGAAATCAGCACTTTGTCTAACACGCTCGAAAGCTTGTTGTAACTCTGGGCTGATAATTGTATTATCCTGAATGCTAAGAATTTGACCAATTTTCAATGCTGCACCTCTGACTTTGCACAGTGTAGCAACAATTCTTTCAGCATTGGCTTTTGTAAGGAACATGCTATCCAAAGTTTGACCTACACTTGCTTCTTTAAAACCCAATGACCTCCTTGCATATTCAGCTAAAGTTCCTACACCTAGACCAACTCCAAGAGTACCAAAGCTGACCATTCTTCCTATTCTTGTTGAAGGAACTTTTCTAGCCTTTGCATTTTCTGAGAGCTACGGGAAGATAAAAGTTAAAAATAATTTTTAAGCTGCTTAAAACAGAAACTGATTAAATGACACTTACTGTATCTTTTGGTTTAGAGTACGAAATAGGCTTACTGTATACTTTTGGTTTGGATTTCAAATTTTCTTTAGGGTCTGATTGAGAACCTGTTGTTCCTGATGATTCAGATTCATGACCTTGTTGCTTTCGAATTTTTTCTTCATGCTCGATTTCTAATTTTCTCAACAATTGTTTATCTCTCTCAGACAATTCAACTTTTGGTATTTCAGAATTCACTGCACTTATAGTTTCTATTTTCTCTTTTACACTGGCATACTTAACTGGAGATTGATTTCTATTTATATTACTACTAGATTTTTGTACATTTTCATTAGATTGTGCTGCATATGATGCAGTAGATGCTTGGGCATTTTCTGATGATACATTGCTATGATTATAAGGTACTTCCTTAGGATCTTTAGATGGATCAAATACTTGCAATTTTTTTCCTAAACTACTTAAATCTTCTTGCAATATTTCTGATAAATTTTTAAAGCCTAATACTTCTTCGAGCCGAATTTTAGAGTACTGAGATAAACCCTTTTCAATAACGTGCAATTTTTCTGCGAATTCCTTCAAATCCTTCCCTAATTTTTCCTGAAAAAACAATAGATAAGGATACAATATAGCATGATTTTTCTTCCTCGAAATTCTTAAAATGCAATAAAATGACGTGAAGTTTCACATGTGAAGCACTTGAACTGTGAAACGGGAAAAGATTCTTTTACAAGCAAAATTTTATCAGAAACTTACAGGAACCTTACTTGCATCTATATCACCAAGTAATTTCTCCAAACCCTTGAAGCCTTCGTCGGCATAATTTTGAACGTTGGACTGTTTCATCATGTTGGGAAACTTCTTTTCCTGCTCCCTCAGAACTGCATCCACGACAATTTTCATGCCGCGAAGAACGGCGACGGTATCGGAAATTTTGCGAGACATCTTGCCTGCGAATCAGAGAAAAGTCGTTTTATCGTGACATTACGTAAATTTCATTGACAGTCGTCGATCGCACAAAGAAGAATCCAAAGTTTTTCACTGTTCCACAACGTGCAAAAAAAAAACAAACAACAAATGGTGCAATACCTGTACGATTTGATGGCGAATTATTAATTGATCGGACCAGCCACGAATGATAACGGATAATAGAGAGTCGGTACTGATCACACGAACGTCAATCGAACAGCCAATTGCTTTCAAAAATATGTAACATCCGCGTCCGAAAATATTGTGCAAGTGGACAGAAGTCACAAGGCACGCGAATTTGCTGCTGCTGCTGCTGCTCTAGCAGACGCCACTAAATACGAGCGCAGACCTTGAAGCTCACAGCCGCCGCGACATATACCTACGGACGTTGCATATTATGTAATTTCAATCGCGACGAGCGCGACTCATTGTAGTCGCTCAAATAACCCGTAGATATTTCTTTTTTTTTTCTATAAATTCTTTTGAACGTATCGGACATTTATTCGAAATCGATCAAACTACATAAAAGTCCTTTTTTTGCCACATTTGCAATAATTTAAATTGATACAATCACCCATTCACTGCGTCGGTGCACGACGCAACGAAAGTCACTAGCGAATCGCGCGAGTGTGCAAAAATATTTCGCGTCGTTACTTGCACGCTTGCAGATTCAAATTGATAAAATCACCAGTTTTCTCGTGGTTGCCTGAATATTTCTAATACTTACTTTTTTCATTTGAAATACGTTGGAAGAGAAAGGGAAAAATGATTTAAATTACTCTTGAGTTGATAGAAAAGAGGAAGTTATTTTAATAGTAATATTACATGATGAGATTCGATCTATTTTACTGTTAACATAATTTACTCGCAACTAAAGTAAAATTGACTAAATGTAATATAATTATAGTTGAATAATAAATTGCAGTTGTTATAAATGATTGGAGATTTTAACTTAAAAAATGTCAATCGTTGAACCCCTCCTGCATGAATTGCTGTATGATTTAATTTCCATTTTTTCAAAAAATATACCATCTAACATTGGCCATAATTCTTTAAATTCTGAAGGGTGAAGGGTACTTCTAGTCTTTCTAACGTTTGCACTAGTTGAAGGTATTGGCTCTCTTAAATATTTCACAACTTCTGTCACAAATTTGTGGTTTGGTACCCTTGTTAGACACCAATGTTAGAAATTTCAGGATATACATATTCATTTAGACTGTCTTTTTTTTTTTAATATTAGAGTAGTAGGTCCTGGTAATAATGCATTAATTAGACCTTCTGGCAAGTCTTGCGTGTGTGTCCAATTAACAATTTCATCTGGTTTCGATAAACTAAAATATACATTGTTTATTACAAACATATTAAGTAATCAGGAATAAATTCACAGAAAAAATAATTGGAATTGTGAAAAAAATTACCATATAGCTAAAGGCTTCTTGGAATCTCTTTGTTTGATTTCATATAATTTGGATATAGATTGTTCATTTTCCACCAGTCCAGCTATACCATAAATAGTATCTGCAGGTAGAGCAATAATTTTTTCATGCCTTCAATAATTCAGCTGCAATAGCAGCAGTTCGGATACCCCCACAAAGTCACTGTTTAGTGTGTGGTAAATGCTTAACCATTTCTTTGGCATTGTTTAAGGGAAATGTAACTGGCCCCATGTGAATCTGATCCATAATGAAAATAACCAAAATTCAATTAAAAAAAATTTATTAAATTCCCTAAATTATACATGTCATGTGCATAAATAATTATCTTATAACAGAAACTCTTTTTCAATAGAAATATAAGCTACAATCACAACTGGAACGTACCAATGAATCAGAAGTAGATTTTAGTCTCGCCAGTTATGACAGCACTGTGCATTGCAGCATCTGTAAAATGTCGTCATAGGCTCATCGGCAGACCGAGTTTGAATTTGCATGAAATAAGCTCTAGGATGAGCGCATTTCGGACAGCGCTCGTCTGTTGCATCCACGTTTTCCCAAGCGGCCGATCCTCCTAGTACATCGTCGACTTCCTTTAGCTTGGGATACGTGTAACTGCGTATGGATCCAGTAACTTTACAAATGTAAGGACAAGTTCTGCATCTAAAACGAACTCCTGCATGGTCGTCATGTATTTGCAACAGATTGCTACACCAGGGGCAAAATTTGAGCATCTTTTCGTCGACTTCTGAATTGAACGATTGATACAGAAGCAATTCCTGTAACAATATATTTTTGTTGAGATTGGAATGCAGTCGTGATTATACATTAATTTTTTTATAACAAAAACTATTAATCAGGCCATTATCACAACAATGAAACGATTTTGAGAAAACTTGAAAAATAGTTTTCTGTTTTCTGTTGTAATTTAACCTTTTATGATCATTTTAAATTTTCTCATGATGCACAAAGTGTATAGAACGACATTTGACATCAAGTACAAAATTGTGCGAAAAAACTGAATTGTCAACATACCTTTGACCTTTTTTTTTAAATGTTATTCGTTGTTTTGATTATTACAGCACCATTCACTGATTGTAATAGTCACGTGTAGTGGAAGCGGAACTCTTTTTTCGACTGATTCGACAACACAGCGGCTTTATTACACCATGCATGTCGAGTTTGACACAAGCTAAAATTTAAGCGCTCGGCGCACGAGGTCGCTTTGGTAAAGCCTGCCTGCATTCGTTGATTGACGTGTCATACAACCGTGCACTTAGGTACAGAGAGTGACATTTCCATAATTATTGAAAAAGGTGTAAATAGCCATGATAAACTAAAACAAATTTTATTTGCTGAGAAAAATTGGAACATTTGGATACTTGGTTTTGGTACAGACGAAATCAGGCCGTACAAACGATCAGGAGTAACAGAATCTCATAAACAGAGATTCGCACTTATACGCAAATGTGTAAAAAATTATTTATAGTTTTAAGATGACAAAAATAAAATAAAGTACAGAGGACTAATCTCAGGGCTAATAAAGTACTAAGATTATTTTAAAAATCAACTAATGGAGCATAATTTAAATCAATCGAACTACACATTGCGTCGATGCAGGACGCGACAAAAATCACTAGCCGAATCGCGCGAGTGTGCAAAAATTTTTCGCGTCGACGGTTGCACGCTTGCCGATTCAAATTTAAAAAATCACCTCTTTCTCGCCGAGTCGTTATTCCGCGCGGTTGCCTGAATATTACTAAAACTTATACTTTTTTCATCTGAAATTCGTTGGAAGAGAAAGAACGATTTAAATTAGAATTCGATTGGCGCCTCGAAAAAATGTAACGACACATGTGCACCGCAGTCGGAGACAGGCGCGGGCGGCGGCCTAAGCCAGCGGGATCAAGAACCCACACCCGTCTGCTCGCGAGCATTTCAAACTCACAAGGAGCCTCGAGCTCGGAAACTATTAATATTCGAATCTAGTCTCGGTTGTCGAACCTATATATCGTTATAGTCGTGATCTCAACAAACATGAGTTTATCGTGGGGAATTATGCGGCCACGGGACGATCATTGCTCGTCGTCGACCGCGGAAAATTCGTTGGTGCAAGACATCCAGTCGCTGGACTTGTCGTCGTTGAAAAGCCCACCAGTGCAGCAGGATTTCCACTTTAACTATAACAATTCCATCGAGATATTGAACGACGATTGTTTGCTGGACGTCATGTACAGGCTGCCTATCCAGGATAGAATGAGATTTTTACAAGGTAAGTGTATATAGTAGTTGTGTACCATTGACACGTCGATGCACACATGTGCTGCTGCTAGTTCTTGATGCATTGACTATTTCTCATTCCTCTACAGTATCTCGTAGATGGAATAGACTGATCCAAGAATCGTTCAAACGAGTGACGCCGCATCAAGTGCAGCGCTTCATCGAGGATACCTGCCACCACACGAACATCGCCGTCAAGGAGATAGTCAGGATAGTGCTGTTGTGCATCAAGAGAATACGTCGCGTGGTCGTGAACGTTCATTACGGCAAACATCGTCAAAATTCCCGGGTACTGGATGTATTGCGTGAGTGGAAAGGGAATTTATAAATATTTTTTTACTACCCTGATTTCGAACTACTTTGCATCGTAAAAATTTTTCAGGATCGTTGAAATTGGAAGGAAGACCGTCGAGAGGTCAGTAAACTCTCTCGGCTCGAAAATAAAAACGTTCTCTGTGTATTCCTATATACGCTACGATGACACGACAGTTCTAGGAAGAACTAATTCCCGCCACTGTGTAATGCGTTTTTTTCAGACGACACGCGTGAAATGTAAATAGTGAAAAGTGTACTATAGACCCCAGTGGAGATCCGCGAGGAATATGTAATTTTACGTGTAAGTCCAAATTTAGTCCAATTACCATCAATTTTCTCAGTCATTATTGTATTTTTTCATTAAGGACGCGCTAGTACACACGTGAGCGACTCCGATTCGACTATAATATAACCTACCGCTATATCATTAAGATATTATGTTGTCGCGTAGAAGAGGCTGTCGATGCGTCGAGGCATGACGCGGGACCGATAACGATAGTGCATGAGTTGGCATGGGCGGTGTCCCTACCACACTAGATTTACGTTTTATATGCAGCTGCCGCGAATTCGAGTCGCTCTGCGGTGGTTACGATGCACGTTATACCTCACTTTTGTACCTGAAAGTCGATAAAGGTCGACGACGATCAAAGATTAATTATAAAAAAAAAATGTATTAAAAAAATAGGTACTTTTGTAATTGTATAAATTAGTTAACTAATTTTAATGTACATAATGTTAATTAATTTATTTGTAATAAAGGTTTGTAAAATCTTTATCCGATTGCCTCTCTTATCGTCATTTTCCCGCTCTAATAGATTCGAGATACAATTAATCAAGGATTCGCTTTTATCTTTCAGCCGCACTTGAAAAGTGTAACGACCGAATTAACACGTGGCAGAGCTACTATATATACGACTGCGTTTCCCCAAGAATCGATCTACAGTATCCTAATCGCGAGTCTTGAGATTATTCGTTTGCGACGTCAAATTATCGAATGTAAAAACTACTCCGTTTTGAAAATTTAGATTATTTCGAACGATGGGATTTTAACTTGGTGAGATAGGATCGATACCAATTAATACCTGTCATTGCTTTATTAATAACTCCAAATTGATTAAAAAATCTTATTCGAGGAATTAGGCTGTCGCTGCGCGCCAAGTGTAAAATACTTGCGGGTCTGTAAACGAAGTAGGTTCTTGCAGATGTCTCATATAGAAATCGGAGCAATTTTACATTATCTTAGAATTAAATACTACCCCTCTGGTCGGTATTCGTATGGCTTTTGATCGATCCATTCACTTGGAAAAATCGTAGAGAACTCGTTTGATAATTTGTACTTTCAAAAGCCATACACTTTTCAAAATTAAACTACTTATACGCGCGAGATATCAACGCCTTCTATCGCATCGCCCTCCCCGAATCGACTTCAAATACGCTTCAATTGACATTTAATCGTCGTTCGGTATTACAAGTCGTGAAAGCAAGTGGATGTATTTATCGCGCGGATCACGTGTGTCGCGCGGCGACGCACAATGCAGATTAGTAATTTAAAATTCTTGAATTCGGATCGCTTAAATAAAAATCGCGACACCGAATATAGACGGGGGTATATTATACCCCCACCACTACCACCATTGAATGGGCCATTCATGGGCCCTGCGAACATATCACTTCATTGCAAAATGCACAACGCGCCGATGTAATATTTATAAATGTGTAATTTACTTGCGTCTTTTCTCTCTTTTACCCGTAACGATATATAGATTCGTGTAATCTCGGCGCGTAGAATATAATATCGTCGAGTCAACCAACCGTCAACGACGTCGATAGTATAGTTGCTTTAACTTTTTCATTATATTACACGTCGATTGTTGACGCGAACGCAACAACAACAACAGCAGCAGCAGCACGAGCAGCGCACCGACAGTAGCAGAAATCATATAGGCGCCCCGGTGCAATATTACAGCAACGCGCTTACAGCGCGCCGCGGCGTTGTACAATATATACACATATATATAGTCGGCAGCAGTGGCATATACATACTTATAAGCATCATATATATATTTCGCAAGTGCTAAAGCGCGGATTATCTCGGAACTGCCGCGTTGTAGCTGCGTGTGCTGCTGCTGCTGCTTATACTTCGCGACTCTTTCGTGGCTGTGTGCGGCTCTCCTTATACGCGTATATACTCGGCTCTTTCGTAGCATCTCCGCCGAGGCAGTTCGTAGATACGTATTATACAGACTACGTTACAGACTGTTTGGACTTTGGAGTTGGCCAGCAGCATAGTAGCAGCAAAGCAAAGCAGGAGTGTCTCTTTCTCTCTCTCTCTCTCTCTTTTCTCGCAGTGCTTCGCTCTCTCGCACTTTCGCGCACCTATACATATATATATTTATTTCTCTCTCTCTCTCTCTTTCTCCGCCAGTATATACTCGCCGGAGTAGTTAGTTCTAGTGTATAACCCAGGACACACCGGGATCACACACGGTGGATCATGGCGGTGCCCAATACCGGTGTTGGTTCGTAATCAAAAAAACTCATCATCATTTCACCCCGTTGTGTTATTTAGGTCGTAATAAGCGCGAAACCGGACGAAACGACGTCGTCGTCTCCCGGTCGCCGCCGCCGACGACGACGACGACGTCCAAACTTCGGAGCACGAAACTCGTGTAATTTTCCATGCGATTCCGTTGCCTCGCGATACGGACTAAAGTGAGATTCCGCGCTGTGTTTTGCTCGTACGCTATGTAAAATGCCAGAGACTACGACCGACTTGTGTGCGTGCACTTTTGAGGGTTGGGTTTTGCGGAATTCCAGTGTCGACTGGAATTATCCCGAACGAATGCGGGGGACCTGCTTCCAGCAGGACGACGACGACGTCTTTCAGGATGAAATCTCGACGCGATTGCAATATGTATTTGATTCGTCGTGCACGTCTAATTCGAGCTCGAGTCCAATAGCTGCTCCATACAAAAATACAAATGATTCAAATCGATCAGAGCAGTGCTTTTACGCTTACTGCTTCTCGGTATTTTGATAACATCTGTACAGTACTGTTGATTCATGTTTTTTTGGCTTAAATAATTTTCGGTAATTAAAGTGACTAATTAAAAGGATTACGCGATTTAAATACCAATATCAATAAACTATCCAGCGGAGGAAATTATTAAGCTAAATGTGTACTCCACTTGTGCAAAGCATTATTATTCTTATTATGAATTTTATGTTCTTGTATAGTTGTTCCAAGGAACTTCCGACTTTTGGAAGAACTTGAACAAGGACAAAAAGGAGTAGGAGATGGAACTATTAGTTGGGGTTTGGAAAATGACGATGATATGACTCTCACTCATTGGACAGGCATGATCATCGGACCACCAAGGGTAAGAAAAACAAATTATGATTAGACTATCCAAACACTTATGAGCCAAATAATTGTTTTAATTATTGAGCTAACCAACCAAAATAAATATGTTATTGATTTCAGACTCCATATGAAAACAGAATGTACAGTCTCAAAATTGATTGTGGGCAAAGGTACCCAGATGATGCTCCAAGTGTCAGATTTCTGAGCAGAATTAATATGAATTGCATCAATAGTACTACTGGAGCAGTACGTATACATTTTCATATATAATCTTGCAATTACCCAAGTTTTTAGCTCATAAATTTATTGCATTTTATAGGTAGATAATAGAAGTGTACCAATACTTACTAAGTGGCAGAGAGAATATACAATAAAAACTGTTCTCACCGAGCTTCGTCGTTTGATGACTCTAAAAGAAAACATGAAATTATCTCAGCCACCAGAAGGCAGTACATTTTAGCCTGAAGTTTCATAAAGGCATTATTTACTCTGGTACTCAAATTAAAAGCTAATGTATGTTGTGAAACTACAGTATGGGGTACTTGAAAATGAAACATCCTTGTACCCATTAAAACTTGAATGGATTATAAGTAATAAAAAAAATGTTGATAAAACAAAGCAAGTATGCTCACACTTTTATGAAAATTTAAAAGTGACTTGTGAGCAAAAATAATGGATGGTCGAATCTGCGCTCTTGAAGCCTGATTAAGAAATTAGATTTATTAATTAATGCTAGTAATTGTTTCATGCCATGAAGCTTTCAGAAAAAGTTCAAGCTTCAAATTGGCTTAAAGAGATATAATAAATAATTATTCAAGCTGTTTGCAAATAAAAAATGCTTTTTTCATATGGGCCAAAAAAGAAGTACCAGATTTGACTAGCCAGTATTTATTATATAGCATGAAGTCATATTTTGAATCTTTGAAAAAAGATCTACTGGAATCATGAGTTGTGGAATAAAATTGATATTCAGTAACAAAATGGTAAATATTTTCCAGCCTTATACATTTTTGATCAAACGACCTATTTTAATGAAGTTATCATCTTACTCGTAAATAATGCCTTGATGAGTTGAAATTTGAATTAGATGCGCGACGTGCATTTGATTTCAATTTGATTTTTATCATATTAGGCATTGAGAGCACCACATTCACAGTCAACTAATTATTAATTTGTTAAAAATACCATACACAATTGAAGGTGGAACAGCATTTAAAAGCATTTGTTTGTTAATGCAAAACTAAAAGACTTAATATAGCAGTTGATGAATTTATGATTATAGAATTAATTTTATTTGAAATTCTAATTACTGACAGGTCTCAAAGTTATACCTGCTTTAAATAGTGTTGTAATAGTGTATTCAGTTATTCATTTTTTAATAAGTTATATTTATCTTCAATACTTTTTTATCTTAAACAACTTTTTAAAATGATATGAAATTTGAACCAAAAAAGCTATCACTGAAATGTAAGCTTGGTATTTTAACTAACCAATGTTCAATATAATCAGATGATACATAAAGATAGCTTATAATTAAGCTTTTCAAACTTATGTTCATATTTTAATTATTCTGTAAGAATGAAAAATATATGATTTTTTTCTTAAATCATATGAACTCTGTGTTGCGATTTATTCATCAAAACAAGATGTTTAATGTTCTATTTATCTAATAATATTGGTGTCCTCTTGCGTCTTATTTTTTCATCAAGAACTCAAATTTAAAATTTTTATATACTTTCTCACTGTAATCGTTCGGAAAATTTTCGAAAAAATCTATACCATCTTCTTTTCTTATGCTATGAATTAATGAAAATCAAAAAATATATCTATATCATGGAAATTTGATTTAGTAATGAATGCTGATTTAAAAGGTGGTATTATTTTCTTAAAAAACTATTTATCTCATTATGCTGAAACACATTTTCAAAATCATTTATTTTTACTGTCATTTTGAATAATTATTTAAAAATTTCTTTGTAAATTAATAGAAGAGTGTAGCATTTGCTTCATGAAACTAAACTGAATTAAATCATTTAAAAAGTCCGTAAAAATTAGAATATTTTGAGTTCTTCATTTTACTTACGTTAGATTATCTTTTTTTATGAAGATAAATTATGCATAAAAAGTCTATTAAAAAACAATTTTAACACTAAATCTTATTTCTTATAAGTATTGACGATACTTCATTATTAAAGTAATTAAAAAAGACGATTGCTTTTTATTTTTATTCATTTTTTTAAATTTATCCTTGACAGAACATTACATTATTTGACTCATAGGCTTTTAAATTTATTTATAATGCTCAAACATGTAAAAATGAATTCCCGGTAAACATTTGGAAATCATTTACATTTTTGGATGAAATTTTTTTTCATGTTAACAGGAAAATAAAAGTCAGCACAAATTGAACAAAGGTTTAACTAGAATAATTAAAATTTTAATTCGACAAGACAATGATGATCATTGCTTGTACTTTATGTACAATGTACAATTTATTGGCGCTGATAACAATCTCGTCAATTACAACAAACCGATGTAAAGATGGAATATTATAATGGCACGGCCATTAAAAATCATAATTAATTTAAATTATATATAAAACTACACATCGGTAATCAGAACCACTTGGTGTTCCAAGCAATTTTCGTGATCTATCGAATTAAAAAGTAATTTCGGATCAATTTTACTACTTTTTCTTCGGTATAAAGGCTAGCTTGGTGTTCTTAACGTGAGAGAACTTGAATCTCTTAAGATAGAACAAGAGAGCACACAACAAGCTGCCAATTCCAATGGTCTGTAAATAAAAATGAAGTATTAAATTATTAGGTTTTATGCTTTTTTCATTATTAGATGAATTAATACTGATTCTCTTACTTTGATGGCTAGTACTTGTCTGTCATCGTACTCATGATTAGATGTCCACATAAGGAATGCACAGACATCTTTCGCTACTTGAGAGGCAACTGGTGGTGTACCATCTTCAAATTCTAATACTTCGTCGTAAATTACCTGCATATTACAAAGAATATTTAGTAAATTTAAGTAAATGTAATGCTTTTGAACCAAATCTACGAATTTTGTCTTACCTGAGCCATACCAATAGCTCCACCAGGGAAGTATGGGTTGAAGTTTTGACCTTCTCTAAGCACTATGCCAGCTGGTGGATCACAATATCCGGTCAACAACGAGAATACGTAGTCCTAAGATAAAATCATTCAATTATTTAGATTGATGCAAAATTCAAGGGCAATTGTTAGAGCACAGTTAAAATTATAAAAAATTTTTATCACCTCTCCTCCATGCCGAGCATTGACGATGTATGATAGATCTGGTGGATAAGCTCCATTGTTAGCTGCTCGAGCTGCTTCTTCATTTGGATATGGAGATGGAATATGATCCGAAAGTTTTCCAGGACGCATAAAGTAGTTACCCTGGTCATCAGGGCCATCTCTTACCTGTTAGAAAATGAAATAATTTATCAGTATTTTAATTTATGCATTTTTTGTTGTACTTGATGAAAGTTTAAAAAATTACTTCAATTTCTGCAGCTAAGGCTTTGGCCTCTGCTTCAGTGTGAGTTACACCAACAAGGTGACGGTAAGCAACATACTCTAAACTGTGACAAGCTGAACAGACATTTTTGTATACTTCCCATCCTCGTCGCATACTGTAAATGATAAAATAATTTATACATGAGATTATTTAATTTTGGAAGTGAAACTCCTTCCTCCTTAGATATGTTTGGTATAAGGAGTTAGGAAATTAGATTATGTGAATAATATTTTAGAATTATTTTTACCTAGCATGATCCAATGATTGAAACAGACCAGTCCAAGGCCAATGGTAGTGAGGTGCATGTGCTACGATTTCAATGGCTCTAACAGATCTATCTAAAGAAAATAGAAGAGCACCGATGCCACCAGCTGTAACACCTAGACATGCTGTCAACTGTTTAAAAACAGAGTTGATTACACTTTCATTCTTTTTACTTGAAGTTTGGTTTTTAGATTAGCATGGACTTACAAGTACAGGTTATAGGATTGGCGTAGGAGGTTCTGCTTTTTGGATTTGGAAGGTTACAGGAATCATATTGAGTACAATGACTTACCAACTTTCTGCCCTTTGACCACTCTTTTGTTGTTGTAAAGTTATTGACCTGTGAATGATATATTGATTTATTAAAAATCCAATTCATGTTGTCAACGTCAAATAAGTGTATATTTATGAATAGTTGTTTTCAATTTAATTTAATCTCAAATAAGTATTAAAATATATTTCATAATTGATAATCTAAAGCAGATCTAACTTTGTTTAGAAAAATATGTTATTTGACATTAAAATTTTGGATGCACTATGGCACATGACATTTGCTGTACGCTAGAATACTCGACATTAATGTCAATAGAAAATGTGACATAACTTTGAATGAGAAATATATATTTCAGGGCATAGTCGAGTAAAAGTGATCATATTGCAAGCCAAATAAAAGTGTGCTTCAAACGAGAGCAGAAAACTGCAGCGAGCAAGGATAAACAATGTGCTGACATTATTTGCATAATCAGAAGTAATGTCTTGACATATAACAACAACGGTCTATATCGCGCCTCGAGCACGGTTTTGGCTAGTGGCAAAGAGACAGGCATAAAGACGTCAATGATTGTGCGTCCGATGACGATTATTACTCGCGGAGAGAGATTCGTGTCATCGCGAGGCAAAAACTCGTGAAGCATAGCCAGCCGAGAAGTTGATATTCGGCAATTGTGTGTTACATAACGATAGGCAAAATTTCACGCTGTAACGCGCAAGTGTTGACGCGAGTTCGCATCGACGAGGGGATGATGTGGTCAATTACCCACGGAGGGCGGCATCGTGTACGATGGGTCATAGAGTACAGCAATAATGCGCAATCACGAGGTGTCCAGCGATGACCGCTGGCACCGTGTCCCCCCGTCCCCCCCTTGGCGCGCGCGAGAGAGAACGCATAAGGCCTTCTCTAGCAGCCGACAAGTCGCGATATCGTGCGACGGAGACAGATGCAATAATGCATAACCCGCATGCTATTTTCTCGAGAGCGCGTCGCGAGGAAGTCGCGGCACACCAGGTTATAACACACGAGGGGGGCGCGAGGGGTTCTCAATGGGTTACCGTACCTGGCTGTAAATCGGTCCGCTGCTAGGTTTCAGAAGACTCGTCGTACGGCATATTCGACCCAGTGATGCCGCCATGTTGGCCAGGACGTTTTCAGCGCTGCTGCCTCGAGTTGTATATCGACGGATAGAGAGAGTTTCGCCAGAGACGAGAGCCAAGCCAAGCTCGTAGCAGTAGTCAGCAGACAGAAGTTTTTACTTTATATTACACACACACTCTCTTGGCGCAGCGCGCAGTCAGCAGCAGCTATATGGTTATAAAATGACGAGGGGCGCTTGCGTACGAACTGCGCCTACGACGCGAGCTCGACTGATGGACTGATGCAGGCTCACTGAGAGCTGGCCACCACACTGGCTGCTGCTAATGTATATGCTTGCACAGAAAGAGCCAGCCACGACACGACGACTCCGCTTTCTGCTGCTTAGTGCTGCTACTCGCGCCCAATATCTTGAAACTATATACAGGTATATATATCTGTATGTTATATAGAGATATTTTACTGTCGGGGCTATGTGTCGCTATGTGTGGCTGACTCTCGCGCGGATCTTCCTATTCCTACCGCATATATATAAACACACACACATCGATGTGTATAATACATGGTATGCTCTTTAAAGCGTCAGCTTACTTTGTGAGTGTCTGTGCAGAAACTTCATCTTAATTCTTATAGTTCTGACCAAAAACTACAAGACGCTCATTAACTCGTCGCGTTAAATTATTTATCAACTAATAATCATTCTCTCTTGAACTGTCGGATATTAAAAAAAAAACAAGAAATGAATGACTCAGCAAGCATCGTATGAACTCATCGTTAAAGGGATAAAAAGTTTGTTTTAAAAAGCGCAAAGCTCCTAGGTTCGAAATTACTCCGTTCTAGACGTATTATTAAATACCCAAACAAACGGAATTATGTTTGACGCATCGGGACCCGCGCGCGCGCGCTCGTCCGCGTTGGATACATTTAATTTCTCCGAATTCCGAATAATCTCAACACACGGTCCAAGTACACTGCGTCCGTATTAAAGCAGGATTGATTTCACGCGACAACAATCGCTATATGAGAAAATCGTATACACACACTTTAACTGTGTGCTCGCTTGCAGAGTCTCGAGTCTCGAATTTTAAATCGCGAGGCAGCAGCAGTACGTGTATGTGTACAACGGCAGGTTTTTGATCTCTCCCGCGCGCGAGACTTTGTATTTAATTCGCGTATCGTCGCGAGTATAAGCGACGGCTACAATCGCGCGCAACGTGTCGGCAAAATATCGTCTCGTGCAGCCTCGTGCGCGGCGTCGCACTACTTCTGCGATGCCTATGTACGATGCGTGCTCCAAAGTAATGTAACTACCCCCATCTGACCCCATCGACCGCGCGGCGACTCGTCGTACATACGTATGTGTATATGCATGTATACATACGTCGCAGCCAGGGCAAGTGCACGAGAGTACGCGCAGACGAGGCAACGATCCTCTCCACCTTTTTTTTTTTTAATGCAAAGCATATGTCAGCACTTGGTAGCGTATGCACAAAATATCATTCGCCCGTACAATCGGCATTTTTCGCCAAGCACGCGGATCGTATTTCGGAGTTCGTTGGTCCGCGTCGTCTACGCGAATCGTCCTCGTCGCATCGCCGGTGCTTTCGGAGCTACGATAAATAAATACTCTACTGGCATGAGGTTATCATCGAGCTCTCCTCTCTCTCTCCCTTTGCCGTTGTTGTTGCTGTCGGAAGGGGGGGCAGAGGCACTCGGACGACGAGATCCGTCTCGTCGTTCGCGGGAGTAGTACATCGGCACCAGATTCGCATCCGCTGCGGGGAAAAATTTTTATATTAGTCGCCGCTTGCCGCCGCCGCCGACGCCGCTGTTGTTAGTACGACTGCTTGCCTACGTACTACTGTACTTTACTCTGTGTACGTGTGTGTGTGTGTGCGCTAGAATTGGTGTATACACTGTACAGTGTACCGTACGTCTCTTCATAGGCCCGACACCGACACCGACTCTTGTGTGTGTGTGCGCAGTGGTAAGTGCGTCTGTGCGTGTATCGGCGGTGCGTGCGTGCGGCGCCTCTCTTGGCTCTCTCCGTTGCTGCGAGCTCCTTGCGACACTGCACACAGCGCAGATCGACTCGCGTCGCGAACTCGTGCAGACCTCTCGAGAGCTTGGTTAAAACAGAGCAGCGCACCGTTAGCCGTGAGGCAGCAGCAGCAGCCACAGCCGCAGTCGCGCGATTTAGCATATAGTCATATAGCTTCTCCGTTATAATACGAAGTTTCGATCAACACCTTTTCATCTCCTCGTTCTCGTGGACGCGATATACTCTCAGCTCGCAGATCACTCGCGAATCCGCGTGCGGATCCGTTTTCCTCCGTATTACCCGTATAACGAACGAGTTTAAAAGCCGCCAAGATGAGCACTGGAATGCCGGAGCTCGGCTCCAAGATCAGCCTCATCTCCAAAGCCGACATCCGCTACGAGGGAAGGCTCTTCACCGTCGATCCCCAGGAGTGCACCATCGCCCTCGCCAATGGTAAGTACATGCGATTCCATTCGCTTACTTTAGACTTTCTTCATTCCTCTAGCTCGTTCTTTGGATCTGTGGCTGTGCCAGTGTAGTATTTAGCCCCGTGCTATATTGCTCTGCACACAGACAGACAACACACATACACACATGCATGCATCTCTTTCTCTATCTCTCTCACTGCCTCTCGCTGTCTCGCTTTTTCGCGTGCTCTCGGCTATACCTGTATTTATCTAATTTTCAAGATGGATGCCGGCCACAGCTCCCCTTTCTGTGCGCGTGTGTATACGTGTGTGTATACACAATTCGCGTACGTACATTGCATTTGCTCTGGCACAATACACACTAGCCGTATAATAAGAGCGCGACGCGATGCTTCTGCCCCATGTCTCTCTCTCTCTCTCTCTCACTCTCTGGCGAAATTTCTTTCTTTGCTCCGATTTAGCCTGCTGCATACACTTCGTGTCGTTATTGCTCGTCTCTTACCCGTAGCAGAGCTTGAAAAAATCCATGACTTTTCTATGGCTCTCGTTGGCCGCGTCTCGCGTTCGGCGTGCGATGCACTTTATTTGACGCTGATACGAGGAATTCGCGATTCTCCGAATAATAACAGCTCCTCTCGCGATATGAATCGACGTGTATACGCGTTCCATGACCTTTATCTCTGGCTAAATTCTTACTTTGAGAGAGAGAAAGTAATGCTTGCGTATCAAGTACTAAATTCTCGTTTGAAGAACTTTGAGTACGATTGAAACGCGTGGGCCATCCGATATTGTTGATGCACCATAAATTGAGCGAAATTCAAGATGGTTGAGAATCAATTAATCCAGTAATTTTAGTCGCGTGAATCGGGAAATCTCGTTCTAAATTCAATGCCTCATTATCTCAGAGTTCAATGAATTGATGAAATACCAAAAATTTATGTATACAACAAGAGCCAAGATAATGTTTACACTGTCCCATGCTGCTCTCTGCATTGGTTCTCCTTGAAAATTTTCTATTACTCGTAGCATCAAGGTTTATTTTGTTTTTGTAGAGTATAATCCAAAAGAGCTTACGAGTGTGTACAAAGTGATTGTACCAAATTATGAGCAGTTAAAATCACAACATCTTTGTAAATGCTATATACATTTTCTTTTCTGTTAATTGAGATGAACTTTAATAAAACGGTAAACTTCTCATTGGCTACATTTCAATTTTATTTTTGAATAATTGTTTTCTTTCTCTTTTCAATTCAAACAGCTGTATCAAAAAAAAATCATTTCAGTTATCTTAGAATTGTTAAAAAATACACTGAAGCTTTGTCTGAGATTGACTGTTACAAAATATACTGCACTCTGTTAAATTTTTCTCTTTATAATTCATTTTCCAGTTAAATCTTTTGGAACCGAAGATAGAGAGACACAGTTTCCTGTTATGCCTCAAAATCAAGTTTATGAGTACATATTGTTTCGAGGCTCTGACATCAAGGACATTAGAGTCGTCAACAACTCTTGTACCTTGCCCAATGATCCAGCCATTGTCCAGGTAACTACTTGTGTTTTTATTATAACAAGAAAGTGGAGATTTAAATTGAAATTGATAGATATTATATTATTGTTTTACAAATGCCGTATTTTTAATCATATCTACAGGATAATTATATTCATGGTTTATTTTTTACTTTTATTCATAGATGGCCATGCAGCCCAACAGTGCCGGAGCTTACAACTCTCATTCTACCAACTACAATATGATGGGGCAGATGAGTCCACACTACGGTGGCCCACCCTATGGTATGAATATTGGTCAGATGAATCCTATGATGGGTATGGGTGGCCTGCAGAATCGTCAGCCAATGAATAAACAGCCAAGTGAGTTGGGTCTGGGTCCTGGTGAACCCGGTTCAATTATACCAAACTCTCAAACGGCTGCCAATGTTGATTCAATGCCCAAAGATCAAAATTTGGAAGATGGTAAACTGTTTTTGCTATATATGATTTCTGGTCCTTTCAACCTGCCATGGCGTGCTTACTGCTGAAATTGTCTACTGCTATTTTTTTTAGAGCTTGGTGTGCTTTAAGGCTATTTTTTATTTAAAATTTTCTACTCTCTTCTAAGAAAAACTTTTTTAAACAAAAATCAGATTGATTTAATTTTAACAGTTATGACTAATTTTAAGTGTTTGCTTTTTTTTCTTAATTGAAATTTTTTAACTCAAACTTCTCAATTCAAATTACTAACCATTTAATTTTATGAAAAACTTCTTGTTAATAACTTGAACAGTTTGCAATTTGTTGATTCTTGCATATTTTCATTGCAATGATTAGTTCTATAATTACTTATTTGTATATAATAATTACAACTTTTGAGAGTATAAGTTATGCAGTTTGAGACATTTTTTATAATATTGTTTACAAGACCAAGTTATGAAATTATTTTTTTTTCAAAGCTTTTATCAATCACGTGAAAAATATCACAATTTTTTTGGATTCCACATATTAGAGTAATTTTTAGTAAATGAATAACAATTTGAATATGATAATGATATTGCATGATATGTGTAATTTTTATTTTGAAGATCTAATAGTTCACATAGAATTTTATTTATTTTGCTTCAGTTTTTCAAAAGCAAAAAGCCATTAGTAAGTTGAAATAGAAAATCATATAAACAGGTAGCAACAACAATTTTATATTGTTCCAAATATTTTTTTGTATCATTGAATTTACATCTTTTATTTTAGTATCTGTATTATAAATGTTTCATCTACTGTTGGAGAAAAAATTAATCCTCATTTATTTTACTTGTGATTTTGGTGTAAATTTGCATGTATGTGCTACAAAAGTCATGTTCTACATTAATTCATAAATTAAAATCATATGTTTTGTACTGTAACAGTTAGATACATCATGTTTCTGTGACTCAAACTTGAATTATTTTAAAGGTGTTTTGGATCTCATCTCGGGAAATTCACGCTCGAATACCCCAGCAAATATGATACAAAGGTTGAGCCCTACAGTTGATCAAGGAGTCCAAACTGCCCAACAAGCAGGTGCTAATAAGGCGAATAAGCAAAACCTAAGAAATGTACTTGGGCATCAAGATCGTGATCCGTAAGTTTTCATCTCAAAGAATCAATTAATTAGTCGAACATATAGTTAATTTAAAATATTTTTGCTATAGCCATGGTAGTGGTAGAACTAGTGGAATGTCGCAATATAGCGAGGGTAAACAACAACATAATCAGAACAAGGAGCATTACCAGGGCCCAACCAATTTGCGTAATCGTGGTGGAAACAATCAAGGCTGGGGTAATCAGCGTGGAAATATGCGTAACCCTCGTGGACCTGGTAACGGAGGACCCGGACCTCGCGGTCGTGGCAATTATAGAAATGCTTTGCCTGGTGGCAAAGCAAAACCAATCAAGTTTGACAATGATTACGACTTCGAGCAAGCTAACACAGAATTTGAAAATCTCAAGTATGTCAAAATTATTTTAACTAACATAGACACGGTTATCACACATAAGAAATTGAAATTATCATTGTTTTTTCGATTATAGATCACAAATAAGCAAAATGAAGATTGACGGTGAAAACGATAAGAATATTGACAGCGGCAACGAGACTGGAGTTGACAACCATGAGATTGAAGAATCTGCTGAAGAATCCGTTTGTTACGACAAGACCAAATCATTCTTTGATAACATCAGCTGTGAAGCAGTTGAAAGGAGCAAAGGGTTAGTATCAACGAATTGGTTTTTTTTTTACAGCTCATTGTATAATTTTTATTAATTTGATTTATTTTTTCGTAAAATAGCCGATCTCAACGTACAGACTGGAGGACTGAACGTAAATTGAACTCTGAAACCTTTGGTGTTTCGTTAACGAGACGCCCTCCTGGAAGTTACCGTGGAGGCCGTGGCTACTATAATAACCGTGGAGGAAATATGGGAGCCTATCGAAATAACCAAGGAGGTAACCAAAATTACCGTGGTGGATACAGAGGCAACAGAGGAAATCAGAATCGTAACAAACAACACCCCAACCACCAGCAACAGCCTAACAACGCTCAATCTAATTCCGTGAGTACTCCTATTTTTTTCGGTCATGAAAAAATCTATAATGAATATTTGATTTTATTTTAAGTGAACATTTCATTTCTAGGGCACCACGCAATCAAACAACCAAAGCAACCGCAACGCCACGACTGAAAATAACACCGCCAGCGTATCCGCACCAGCGGCAGCGAGTCAGCCACAGCAGAGTAACCGTCTTGTCACCGGAACTGCGTAATTATTGTTTTCCCCTCGCGAATCTCGACTTTTACGAGAAAAAACTCAATAACTAGCTCTTCTACGCGAAAATTAAATAATAACACGAAGGGGTTTTTTCATAATGCTAAGGTGAAGTACAAGTATATTAGTAGTGCGATAAAGAAAATCGAGCTTTGTCTATCAATTGCTCAATGTTTTACGCTAAACACAGAAAATGATAGATCAAAGTTCTGATTTCTGTGTCTAACCCCATATACATTTGATGACTATGAATATAGAAATAACGATCCGTAAATGCGCTACTAATTTATAAGTATTTATTAATAAAATGTAAGATTTTACGGTAATCGCGTGCGAGTCTAATAATTTTCAGGCTGGAAATGAGATAAAAGCATGATAATGAAATGTAAAAATAAGTAAAAAAGAAGGTGTTTAGATGAGTAAGAATTTACGAGAGATGAAAATTAAAACGAAATATAGATTCCTAGAATTATTGTAGTAAAACTCGTGGGAGTACAGCGAAAGTTTTGTTAAAAATGTAGTAGACGAACATTAAAAAGAGAGAGAGGAAAAAAAAATTGAAACTAACACTTGTAATTGTAAATTAGTAAAGCAGGTAGTTTAACTATCTGCGCGCGTGTGTGCGTATGTTAATAATAAACTCGAGGGAAGTGCACCGGATGCATTTCGATTTAGATTAACAGATGGATTATATCCATTTTTGATTTTTTGTTTGATGAATGTTTTTTTCATGATCAAATTGAAACGCCACACAAACGCACGCGCACACCACGGCACATTTCACACATTATTTCGTCTACTATTGCACTACCAATAATTATATGTATATGTACGTACGCACCGTCGTCATATAACTTTATTTTGACAAGGAGAAACGTGATTTAATAGAACTTGTACAAAGAGATCGGGAGATATTTTTAATGAATTTTTTCAATGATGGAATGGCTTTTGGAAAGACAGGTGACCCATGGCATAGTTGGATTGTATCCGCATGACGGAAGTGATGGCAAATGATAATCGAGTAAAACTAATCGATAATTGTAACTTAACGAATATTTTAATTCGAAATATTTTTCGTAGTAATCGAATGTGATTCGAATCCTTCATAAATCATGTTTCTCTTTAAGTAAATTGTGTTTAGTCCAAACGGTGTTAACAGCTGGTTTTTACAGAGACGTAAATGAAACTCTGCGTAATTATGTAGTAGTTAAGTATTAGAGGATAGCTGGGACAAAATATGCCTCTAGAATCGAATGAATGCGATAAACTCTCTCTCTTTTTTATCGTGCCGTGGTGATAGCATTTTGTGTAAAAAAATAAGGAATGGAAAGTAAGGAAAAAATTAATAATCAATTATTTCGATTATAGCTGTAAATCTTAGTAACCTGCTTTAATAAGTCGTCGTATAAAATGATAATTAACAAAAAAAAAAATTAGCTTTTCTATCTCGGGAGAGCGTTCTTATTGTATTTAAAGTTACCAGTGCCTGGTACGACTTTTCTTCCAATATTACAAAAGAAAGAAAAAAAAATTAAAAAAAAAACTGGTGTCGTTGGTGCGCTTTCATCGTATCTTCTCGCTTACATAATATCAATGTTGTTTGTAACAGAACATTGACCTCAAACTAGAGTAAAGGTAGGGTGAACGCGCTATCAGCGACGCTGACCAAAAAAAGACTTTGTAAGTGCAGGTTACTCCGTGAATGAGAATGATGAAGTCAGAGGTGTTATGTTCCGGACGAGTATCAAGGCGCGCGCGCCAATTTTGATCAACGTGTGTTTTTATCACAGAAGTGCGTATGTTATACAAAAGTGTAAGAAAATGGCTTGGAAGCGAAAAAAGAAAATGATGATTGTAGTTTTCTTTTTGCACGTCGTTTACCGATATAGATTATTGGATATTTACGGTGCGCCGTTTTCAAACTTTTTCAAACAGTTTGATATATTACATTCTCAAAGTAACACGTAACATATGCGATACAGTGTAGCAAACGAATGGGGGCAAATATGAAAAAGTTATCTGATAAGTCGTATAACTTGTATTAGCTTTCCAGACAGTTTTGATTAAAATAAAGAATTCGTTTTTTTGAATCGAAGGGACGCACCAAATTATTTTCGAATCGATATATGTGAATATATGTCTATGAGTACTTATGATTGAGTGTCATGAGTTCCTTTAACAATGAACTTATCAACCGTTGATGGATGATCTAACTGTAATTCGAGCAAGCATGCACTTTAACGAAAGGCCAATTAATTGTTACAATTTTATACAAATAGCCAATATGTAAAATTATTAATCGCTTGTAAACTCATGATATTTGATTAAAGTACAAAGGTTGTAAGAGAATGAAACATGTGTTATTATAGAATACAAGTTAGTATCGTACGCTGCGTGAGTATAAAACATAAATTCATGTAGTTCGAAAGATGACGCTCATTTATGACTGTTATTTTTGTATTACCCTTAAAGGGTCCCCTCCTACTTGCAGCAACAATTATGAGGGCTAAAAAAAAATTCAAGTACGTCATTCCAGGCAAACAATGTTGAATAAAAGATCGATACGAAAATCGGGATAAAAAGTCAACGTGATGAACGTCGAAATAGTAAGTAATTCTATTAAAAAACCAATTGATAGGAATTCGGAAATGATTTTACTTCAGAAAAATGGCCATTTATCAGATTTCTCAACGTGATTCTTGCAAGACTTAATATAATGGAACACACAATATGCACGAATTCCTGACGATATATGTTTTTTTTGTTTTGTACAGCGGACATTGTGATTCCTTAAAAGAAACTGAAATAATACAAAAATAATAATTAAAATACATACATTTTCTATTCATTGTAAACCTTGAATTCCCTTTGAATTGTCATCTGTAGTGTAAAATAAATGTTTTACATAATTTCCAATTAATACTTTGAAACATTATACTGAAACACTTAATACAAATAAAATGCAAATCATTCAATAAAGTAATTAAATGATAAACAAGTTATATATTATTATAGTGATAAAATTGAGTCAGTAAATGAAGCATGTTATGTTAACACTTCAACTTTTTCGACCGCATCGGGCCTCGCGCAATGCATCACGATTTTAGCGCACAAGCGGCCGACTTTTTGATGCGCTTTTGCCCTTTAGGAACTGCACAAGTACTATATACAGCATATATGTATATATACAGTAGTGACAAGCATCCAAGATTGCAGGGCACAAGCAATCTAAGGATTGTTTACATGGACGTACCCTTCGATTTTTATCAGTATTAATCCCGAATGCTCGTCGTAGAAATTTAAAAAAGTTTTAAATAATCGATATAAAAATTAAATATTATATAGTTTTTAGTGATTAACTATTAATTTTATAATATTTTATAACAATTCCAGTGAAAGACTTTAGGGTTAGGTAGATAAGCCATATTAATTTCCCTATAGTATTGCAATTGAATGTGAATTTTGAAATAATTAATTTTGATTACCAAAAATCATAGTTCAACCGTTAAAGTATTAATGGTCTAATCATGGGTAAGACTAGTCAACGATGGTAAAATTATTATCACATAAGAGTATATTTAAAATTTTTATTCAAAAAACAGATAAAATAGCACTAAAAATTGAGACGATGCCAGATGGAACAAATCAACTTTTTGCTCAACAAATAATGTGTGAGTGTTATTCCAATGTTTATTATCTTTGTTATAAAATTATTGCAAGTAATCTAATCTCAATTTTTTTAAATTTCAATATTTTAGCTGCCTATTCACCTAATTTACGGTTTAATGCATTAGGTAAAGATGAGTACATTATAATATCTGATGATGCTGGTTTATTTTTTGGTAAGTATTTCAAATTTTGCAAGTTATTTTTTTATCAAAATAAGTATTTTAATTTTATATTGTATTTTAGATAAACAGATCATAGCTAATGTACCAATTATTCAAGATATGAGTGAATTTCAAGGCATGGTAGGAGGTATACATAATTTAATTCAAACGATATAATGTTTGTAGCTAAATTTTTAATTACTCTAATTTATTTATACTATGTTTGTTGTGTCAGATATTGATGTTCATCAAAGTAGTACAATGCAGCTAACAGAAGAAAGTAATATACCACAGTCAATTCAAGAAATTGATACAAACGTACCAACTCTTGGCGCAGAGTTAATAATTTCTCAAGGAAGAACAAGTGAGTTATGAAAATATGATTGGGTAATAATTAAATCTTTCTATTGAATTTGATAATACTTTACAGAAATCAAATGTGAGCTGTTTTGTGTTCAGTGCAATAAAATTATGGATGAGCATACTATTATTCAAGATGCAGAAAATCTTGCGTGTAAATGTTGCCATACTCAACTGTTGTTTAAATGCAACAGTTGTACGAATAGATATCAACAACTTCGCGGACTACATAGACACATTAAAAATGAATGTAGTAGTATTAAGCGATACCATTGTGCTCAATGCCCTTTCAAATGCATAAAAGAAGTTCATCTTGATTTGCACATGAAAAAAAAGCACGATGCAGAATTCAATTTTAAATGCTCAAAATGTGGCAAGGAATATGATAAAAGGTGGTGTTTGAAAGAACACGAAAGGTCATGTGAAATGCCATTGAACTGTGAATTTTGTTCTTTCAGAACAACGCAAAAACAAAGTCTTAATTATCATATAGGTGCTATACATAAACTTTCTCACAATATAGTTTAGCCATTTGAAGTGTTCATAGTTTATAATTACATATCAATATAGTTTTATACCGTCAATTAATCATTTTTTCATTGAATCTGAAAACTCTAATGAACTGTACAAAATAGGATTGAAAAATATTAAATCAATCACTTGCAGATATATCTGTATTTTGGCAAGTTCTCTCATGTGCATATATAATTCACATGAATTTACTAATAATTTTAGTATAATCAATTTAGCATAATGTTTTAATTAATTTACAAATCACAACCGTTTCATTTTATCAATGACGATAAAAGTTACGACTGATAACAACTAGGTGTATACTCTTGGGTAGAAAATTTCTTCGTAATAAATTTTTATAAAAATATATGATTCATTATTAATAAATACTTATACAAAATATTTTCTATAAACACATCGTTGTTGTATAATTATTTTCAACTTACACTTCGAATTCGCACAAACGTTGTCATACTTCAACTAGATTTCTCGTGTACCTCCTCGTTCTTGCTAAAACGACGAGTGAGGGTACAATTTGATTTTCGAATTTTCTTTGCCGAATCTCCAGCGCGCTACCAGCGGATACTTTTCATTGAACCAGTAAAGCGTCAAGAGGTAGTAGTTCCAAAACGATCGTACGATCGTTCCGACTAGAGGTAATCCTGAGGGATAAAAGAGATCCTTCTAGTGAACCATAAAAAAAAAACATCACGATAAATTTGGATTACCTATTAGATAGAAAGTTATATTTCGGTAGAGAACATTGATCCAGCTCCATAAGCCCAAGGACTTTGTATCTGAAACAAATGGAAAAAAATTATAATCATTTAAAATTCGCAGATCGATCGAATAAAGGCTTTACATTTGTCGTTGTTCAACGTATAAAACAGAGTCAGAAACGCGTCGACGTCGACCATGGGATCGATGCTCCTCAAACCGTCCAACGCCGCCTTGGTCAGTAACAAAAAGCTCGGCTCGGGCGCTCGCAGACACTTCTTGTAAACGTCGTCGCGTACGCGCCTGCAGAGCCGCGTGGTCTCCTTCTCGTTGCCTCGGCACAGATTCAACCTACAACAACAAACAAACACAAATACATCGTTGACGAAAAAAAAAACGGAAAAATCGTGTTATAAATCGCGCGTACTCGTCGGGTATACCGAGCAGATGTCCGACGACGCGCCAAAAGTGATTGAACGCCTGGCGATCGTCGCGGCCGTCGGTCAGCGACAGCTCGCCGGGCGACAGCAGCACGTAGCCGACGAATCCGAACTGCGTGAGCACCATGTCGCGGTGTGTGATGCCCTGGTCTTTTCTGCTCAGCAGTCTGGCCGAGGTCGTCGAGTGCTTCCACCGGATGGTGTTGAGCGATTTGTAAAATCTGCAATTATTACAATACCTATAGTACGCACGATTCGAATATTACGACGTCGTCGCGGATATATCTTACTTGGACTTGGGATCGAGAACGTCGCAGCGATGCATGTAGTGGATGTGCAGAAGCGTTTGGAAGTATCGGCGAAAGGCCGCGCACGGCGTGGAGCTCTGATTTGTGAACGTCAAGACCTGCGCGCAAAAAAAAATTCGATTATAAACGCGCGCGCGTAAACGATCGTTATTGTCTCTCTCTTTCTAGTTACCTTGGCTATCGTAGGCACTAAAAAAACCGCGATGAGTCCGACCGAGTAGGCCGTGACCACGGCCAGCACGTTTTTACTGTAATAATCCTGTCCCCTGCGCATACACATAAGAAATCATAAAGAGAGATGCAATAAGCGTCGATGAAAGTAAAAAGATAGATGCCTGACCGTTTGAAAAGCTCCGCGTCGAACCAGGCCGGCAGATGATCGATTCTGATTTTGGAGGCGTCCGAATCGATGCATCCTTTGCTCGCTAAGATCGCCTCGAAATGATCCTCCACGGTGTCCGCTTGCGCTGTTATAATCAATGAAATATAACGAGCGTATTTTTTTTATTTAAAAAAATTGTCGATGTTCGTTCACGGAGTTATATCATTGTAAGAAGTGCATGCACAGCGCTTGCTGCTCGCTCTCTCGGAAAAACACCGTCTAGCGTGCATTAGAAAGTCCTTTCTCGCTTATCTAATTCAATGTACTTTATATATACAAGACTCACCGCGGTCGATTTCCGACTTTTTCTCCTCCATCCTCACTGCTTGAGCTGTGTACCTATATTTACGTCGATTGGCCTCGCTCGGTTTAGAACCAAACGATGCTGCGCTTCATTTAATAGATGCGAGCGAAGCACGCGGAGCACAAAACCGGTTTTCCTGCCTATCAAAAGGACGTACGCAGTAGTGGAGCGTCGGTTCATAGGCGAGAAGCGATATCGAAAAATGTATATACACCATCCAAGAGCGAAGTCAATCGTCGACTGCTGCAGCTACTGTATACCACGGCTGCTGCCGCTACGCGGGATCGGAGACACAATCACTTTGCAACCGATGATGCTGCGCTTATTCGTCTTGTTTGTTGTACTTACACATAGACACGTACACGCGCGAGTGTGTAATAAGATATCGCACGAGCACAGCTCAGCTCGACGAGAGTCACACACAGCTGCAATAGCAGCAAAGCCGAAGTAGTTATATATGTGGGTAGCAAAGTACGGTGGTAGTAGTAGGGGACGTATATACACACAACTGCGATGCAGCGAGCGCGGCTAGAGAGAGAGAGCACGTGTAATTACGCGGCGAAACGTCACGGCCGCGTGCACTTCTTCTTCTATATATATTCTTGCGTGTGGACGTCGCACGCGACTCGTGCCGACTTCGCCCGATGACGATCGTTTTTATGAGAAAAACGATTTTTGCGTATAGAGGTGGAAATAAATGTTATACTTGTCGTTGAAAAATCAAGATCTGTTGTTATTGGTCATTTGTCTTATATCAAAAAATATAAAGTTTACAAGATTTTAAATTAATTACACATTTAATCTCATGTATTCCATCACAATTGTCAACGCTGCTCCGTTATTCTTTTTTATTTCTTCTTACGTCGTTAAATGCATGTAGTATCGGTGAATATCGTTAGAGGAGCAACGCTCTCAGGACGAGGCTGACGCTGATCAACCAAGTCATCATCAACGACGGAGTCAGATTCGAGCCCGCTCCGTAGTAAAATTTAAAAGTCCTCTCTGAAACGAAATACAGGAAAACAACGTCGTTAGTCGTTGAACGGTACGACGACTCGTAATCGATGCGATCGATTACCTTTATTTTTCTGCGACTGCCAGGCTTCGCAGAGTCTGTAACCCAGCGTGGTTTTGCGCTTGTTCGGCACGTAGCCGGGAATCGCCAAGCTCGGCTCGGCTTGCTTACCGGTCATCAGTAGCCTATTGAAATCTTGCTCTAGTTTGGCGACGATCGGACCTTGGGATATATAAAATATTACGATTATTTCACGTCGATCGAGTTTTCTTTTACTCTCTACTATTACTGTACGACTCTCGCTTACCTTTGAAGTGCATCAAAAATTGTATGCAGTCGCCGTTGTGTAAAACTTTGGTTTTTCTATTGTCGAGCGACAGCATCCACTCGGGAACGCCCAGAACCTCCTGAACTTCCTCCAAGAATTGAGCCCTGCGAAACGAGTTTCGAAATCGGCGCTCACGAATAAATGGTAAAAAAAAAAAGAAAAATTTACTTACGCCACGAATCGCGGTGGTTTCCTTATGTTGACGTACTTGATGATGTCGTTGTCCGGCTCGATGTTGGCGCAGGCGAAGGGATAGTGGCCGAAGTCGGGCTCGAGAATCACGATGGACTTGCCCATCGCGGTGACCGCGCCCTCGAGCGGGAAATTCGGATCGACGAGCACCTGGCGTCGCTGGTCGATGTCGATCGGGCCGACGCGCGCCGACACGTCGCCCACGTGGCAGCGCAGCGGCAGGTCCCGGCCGCACTCCTGCCTGTACAGGTCCTCCTGCGCGAATCGAGATATATATATGAAATCGGTTATAAGGCTAATCGAAGAAGCGACGATGGACTCACGTTCAGTGGATCGGCTAGCTGGGTGAAGTAGGGATTCCATCTGTAGCCGCCCGCGACGCATCTCGTATTTCTGACCTTGACGGTGGCGTCGACGCCCACCGGATTCACGTAAATGGCCCAATTGTGATTTCTCGTCTGCGTTGCAAAAAAAAAAAAAAGATACGTTAAAAATCGTAATTATCTCCGTGAAAGTTTGTGTAAAAGAATACTCACGACGTTGGTGTTGTACTTTCCAGGATGTCGCAAGTTCACCTCGATCACGGTGTCGCTCTGGCTTCCGTCTTTATAGATCAGTTGAGTCTGCGCGAGAAGTAAAATACGAAAATTACGATAATTTGCGACCAACCCCGACGGGAAAAAAATCGTTCAAGATAAATGTAATAAAATGTAAAAAAATGTAAAACTAGCGATTTCGGACAGCCAATGCATTAAAAAAGGCAGCATAAAATCATATGTTTTTACACTTTTTTACATTTTCTTCAATATGCTATTCACGTGTGATCACATCTACCGCAGCAAGTGATTTTCGTGAAAAAAATGTATTGATTTTTATGAATAAATTAAGACAGATTATGATGGATATGTTTATAAACCAAATTCAGTCATTTCGGTACTCCCCAGTACATCTATGATGATATTATATAAGGCTTTCCGCTGCATTAAAGTGAGTTGCACTTTTTTCACGAAAATCACTTGCTGCGGCTAAATTCGATTACATGCGGGCTTAACTGGAATTTTAAACTCATAAATAAAAATTGTAACATTTAAAATTATTATTACAGAATTTTATGTTTTTTTACGCTTTTTTACTTTTTCCATGTTATTTTTAAGAGCTTGAATTTATAGGGTTCTCATCTCCCTAATTATAGGTAAACAAATGTAATAAACTGTAATAAAAAGTAAAAAAGTGTAGAAAAACGTATCACATGTCCGAAATCGTTAGTAATTTTACATTTTTGTACACTTTTTTTACTTTTTATTACAGTTTACAACATTATTATGTACTTTATTTAAAAAAAAATTTCCGCTCGGGAAAATCGATTCACGCATAGAAGCCGCGCTCACCATTCTGATGTATCCGTAAGCGAATCCATTGGGATGATGGAACGACGCGATGGCCCTGATCTCGCGCGCCTCCGAGGGCGAGTAGCCGCGCTCGATGGTCGTGCAGGCCCACCTGGCGTTCTTCTCCTTCTTGTGCACGACGACGCTGCGGCCGATTATACTTCGGGGCCCGAACAGCGGCAGTTGGGTGTCGTTGTAGACGCTGTCGTAGAGCTTGCGGCCGTCCAGGGTGCCGAACTTGCCACTGAGATCGCCGAGCTCGTACTGGTCGCTGCTGCCCGTCGTCGGGGGTGGGGCTGAGTTCGGGTCGACGCCCAGAGGATTCCAGTGGCCGTACAGGGTCGTGTCGTCGCACGGGAACTCCAGATCGATCTCCACGGGTGTCTGTGCGTAACGGGTAGACACGATCGAAGTGAAAAACGCAGTTTTCATTGACTCGTGATATGATTATGGTTACTTACCATGTGCACGTGATAGCCGCTCATCTTTGTCTCCAGACCCTCGAGGTGGACCTCGACGTCGGTCACGTCGTACGGGCTCTCCTGAATGAATTCCAGCTTACCGTCGATCTTCGACTCCTCGCCGTTGCCGAACCAATCCCTGGCCACGGCCTTTCTCCGATTCATCCCGGAGATGCTGCACATATACAAAGTCAAAATCATCAAAATCGTTCGTCGAAACTCGTATATCAACGAAAAAAAAAACACTCACATCGAGCAGGCCAATCTCTCGCCTCGCGCCTTCGGCCCGTGATCGTCGTAGATGACAATGCTCTTGCCGAATATACTCGCGGGGCCCGAGAGGGCCACGAGCGGATCGGTGAACAGCCTCCTCGTCAGGGCCAGCGCGTTGGCCTTCTGGCCGGCGATGTCGAGCCAGCCGTGCCTCTTCTCGAGATCGCCCACCCGGCAGAAGGTCGCGTCCTCGGGCCCGCAGCGTCGCTGCTGCTGCTGCTGCTGGCTCGACGAGTCGTTGTTGTCCCACTTGATCTTCCAGGGATTGTAGGGATCGCCGGCGCTCAGACACCTCGCCGTCCAGTTGTAGTAGTCCTTGCCCGGCGCGTTGGCGTGTATCATCCAGCGATGCTCGTGCGTGTCGTTCAGTGTGCTGCCGTCCGCGTGCACCAGATGCTCGACGATGATCGTGGCGTCCGCGTCCGGATCGTTCTGCGGCTGGCGTATCACGATCTGGCCCACCAGCGGATAGCGAAAGATGGCCCGGGCCGTGGTCATGGCGAGGCGACCCGAGCCGTCGGCCGCTTGGAGGGCCAGAGTGCCGCAGACCCAGGGCACTGGTGTCGGGTCGTCGTCGGACCTGTGACGGTGCACCACGAGCGATCTGTGCGCCACGCTGTGCAGGCCCGACAGCGGCAGATACGCGTCCCAGTAGATGCCGGCGAGCTTGGCGCTGCCGTGCTCGATGTCGAGATGCAGCGAGCCCTCCTTACGATCCTGCAGCTTGCCGGAGAGATCGCCCACGGCGTACTGGTCCTGACTGCCGAGACCCGGCGGGGGCTTCAAGTGGCTGGGCTGGCCGGAGTTCTCCAGGCGCAGCGGATCGTACATGCGCTTGGTCGTGGCGCAGGGCTCCTCGTCCTGGTCGCCGAGGAATTTCTCGAGCTCGCGCGGCAGCTCGTGCACGCGATACGAGGCCACGTGGTAATTGTAGTTGTAACGGACGATGAGGTCGTTGATCGGGGCGAGCGACACGTTGACCCAGGTGTGCGTGAACGGCGTGTCCTGGGTGAGGGTCACCTCGCCTCGGAGGCCGCGCGAATTAATAATGGCTCTGAAATGATGGAAAAATAATTCGTATTAATCATTGCGTACCGTCCCACGCAGCACGAAAAGTTTCTAAAACATTTCAATGACGAGTTTCATTGAAAAGTTGTTGAAAAGCATATTCATAGAATCATTTCAAAAACTTTTCAAAAACATTGCAGTGAAAAATTTTTAATTTGAAAAAAAGTTATCATGGATATTTTTCAAACAATCGTCCGAAATATTTCGAATAATCATTGCATTGTAGTTGACTGAGGCATATTTCGCGTTATTTTATCCGAAATTTTTTAAAAACATTTCATGTCCATGTTCATCGTTGATATAGAGTCACCTCCCCAGTGATTGAAAACGCATTGGTGAATGAAACTTTATTTATAAATTAATATAATTTTACTGAACTAATTCATCGGTAGGAATAATTTTATGATATATAACTGAGCATCAATACTAAATATTTCAATAGTTTTTAACAACTTTCTGAATATATTATCATTAATTATAATGGTTTCATTTACTGGTAAAAATGTTTCATTCACTGGTGCATCGTGTATTTTTTCCCTTATTTTATTAATGAAAGTCGAAAGTAAAAATTATGCAAAAATTCTATTCACTAGAGAAAGACATTCACTATTATAATTCATCTGAATAATAGCCTTTAATTTATTAAAAACTTTTTTGAAACCTTTCATTCACTGGGTAGATGACTCTATGTGAAAATTTTCTCAAACTTTGCAACAACTCGTCATTGTTTACTTTCAATTACAACTTCTTTCAATGATTTGCATTCTGCGTATTTTTACTCACTTGGCGACGATGGGCCTGCGCGGCTTGATCCTGGCGCAGGTCAGAATCACGTCCTCGTGGCTCGGATGGAATATGACTAGATAGAGGGCCCGATGCGCGCCGAGCAGCAGATCGTAGGGCAGCAGCTCCAGTCGGGGATCGCGATAGGCTCGCTTGGCGCTCGGCCGATCGGAGCGCGCTGCAGCCACGCGCAGCTTGCCCACGCGGCCGTCCACGTCGCCGATCGCCTTGCCCGGACCCGAGTTGTCCGGGTCGAACAGCGTCTGCAGGACGTTGCAGTTGTTCTGCTGCTCCTGGAAGCCGTCGTAGACGTCGGTCACGAAGATCTTCCATCTGTGCTCGGTGAAGTTCTCGGCCGCCGCCGGCTCGGTGTGTCGCAGATCCGCCTGGACCAGCGCGTCGGCGATGCCCCTAGGGCTACGGCTGCCGAACCAGCGGAACCACACGCTGCCCTGCACCGCGCCCTGGAATCGCGCCTCGGCCGTCCTCTCCGAGCGCCTGTCGTGCACCGAGATCGAGGCGCAGATCGTGCGATCGTTCTGCTGGTCGCGCATCAGCAGGCCCTTGCCCGCTAAACCCCGCTCGCCCGTGAGCGCCAGCCCCTGCGCCACGTCCAGGGAGACGGTCTCGTTGCCCGGAAAGACCAGCGGCCCGACGACGTCCGTCAGATCGACGAGACTTCGGCCGAGCAGGCGCTCGTCGCAGCGATCCTCGCCGATGCGGCGGTAGTCGACGGGGAACTCGGTGAGGGCCCATGACCACAGCTGGATCGGATACTGGAAGGTGGGCTTGAGCGAGACCCGAAGGTGGACGGAGTCGGGGCCGCTGCTGCCGGGCTCGAAGCGCACCTCGCCGTGCAGGCCGCCCGACGATATGTAGGCGGTCAGACGCAGCGGCGTTACGGTTGCGACTGGACAGGCGAAAGTCGCGTTTTGTTATATCGTGTTAAACTAAATAGTAATATTGTAAGCAATATCATTATTTTTATAATTAATTATGACTAAAGGAACTGTTTGCTTACTGACAAAATTTTAAAAATTATGCAGTGGGTATTTATACATTTTTTCGTGGATCTTTGTCAAAAAATATGCAAATGCAGTATTTTCACGATATTTTAGAAATGCCTCATTTTTATCATAAGGTCAGAAAGTCTCGCAACAAACGCGTATCATATTACGATTAGCGGTACACAAGATGCTCGGATGTGTTATCACAGAGAAGTAGCTTCGTTATTATGCACACGCATCGCCGTGCTAACGGTTTTAAAATGACGTTAAAATCGTACGCAGCCCGAGCATATAAAAATGTAACATTTGGGTCACCGACGGTACACCTACTACGTATAACTTACTACGATATTCGGTTGCTAAAAAAGAAAAGAAACAACAAAAAGAAAAAAGTAAAAGTAAAAACGGCCTATAGAGGTATGCGGGACGCAGCTCGATCGAAGGCCAAAAACGTATCAAGGTTATAATCGTTAAAAAAGAGTCGTAGAGAGAGAGAGAGAGAGAGTCTCTCATAATATACGTCACAAGCAGCGAGCTCTACATTTGGAAATGAGCTCCGCATACGCGTGGTGAACTTGAAATAAATCGTATATGAATCGCAAAAAAAAAATAATTCGTCGAACACGCTTGCACATATGGCGTGGCTGTGTCGACGTTGTTGCTGCGTATAACACACAACAAGGATATTATAACAAAATAGTGGCACGTGTCTCAACTCACCACAGGAAAGGATCAGCAGCAGCAGCAGCAGCGGCGGCGAGCCAAGGCCTGCGCCCGCTATTCTCATGGTGTTGCTCTTTAACCGATCAACACTGCGTGGGCATCATGGATATCGATGATTCTTTTTTCTTTTTATCAACACTCAACACACACACGCACACACGCACGCACACACAAGGGCACTATCCTTAAACGATGACGCACACCGAAAACGCATCGGCTCTCGACGAGTGTTTTTATTTTGTCAATTTTATTTTCTTTCCTGCGCCGCGAGCAGAGAGCGCGGCTGTACGTATACTGTATATACCGAAAGAGAAACGATCCGTGGTACCTGCGCGACTACTTGCAACACACACGTTTCTCGCGAGGCATGAGCCACCACCGCTAGTAGTAGCAAGGAGCTGCCTGGAGAACGATGACCCCTTCACTTCTCTCTTTCTCGGAGGTGGCACCGGTTTTTCGAGCGAGAAAGCGGAAATGTGTGTTGTTGTTGTTCGGGAGGAGAGAAAGGCTATATAGTAATACGGCCAAGGATGACGGTAGGTGTGCAGCCAGGGGTATATATATAGGGGGCCCACTGTACAGTATAATCACGGCGCAGCTGCTGCTATACGAGCACAGCTCCATTACAAATGTACTTGAATATATATGCCTTTTTGTTGCTGCTGCACTGCAGGCAGGTATATATACTATACTATACAGGCCCAACGCGCGAGCGCGAGGCCGTGACGCGAGTTTCATTGATGCGGGGATCCTCGGCTATATATCATTCCCCATTCAGTATAAGATATACTCCCGCTTTTCGTACGATGAAAAGCTCCTCGATGACGAGTGTATGTATAGTTGTGTTCAAGTGCATTCATTTATTTCGCGTCATTATTTCCCATTAAAATCATGAAAAATTCCACGTCCTCGTGAGACAAAAAGTAGTACTCGAGTGTGTACGATTAAAAAAATCTCTCTTCGCGATGTAATCGCCTCGTGCGATCTCCTTCCAAAATTGTGTGCACCGCGGCTGTCGAATTCATTATTTTTATAAATATATATATGTATATCGATCCGAATGCTTAACCTTGCGATCGCTAACCTACGCGCGCACACGCGCCACCGCCGCCGCTACGCGCAGCGCGTGTATTTTCCTGCTCCACTTACTTCCCAAGTTCGAAGTGTATAAATTGCAGCGTGTTTCTTCTGCCGCTGGGCAAAGATGAAAACCACTACCACGGCGAAGATCAAGAAATAATTCGCTTTCGATTGCTCGACTTGACCACGACGCCACAAGACGTATATAAACACACACACATCTCACGCGCGAGTGAGCAAAATAATGTAAATGCCAAGGTAACGATTAAACATTTCGTGACTTTACTGCGCGCGAGATTCTAAATTCATCTCCTCGAGAGAGAGAGCGAGCGAGTAAACACTTTGCATCTTCTTCTCTGTATGTTTATACGAAACCGATAGAAAATCTGGATGCGGCTCGTGTGAATTCGGCGAATCCAGCTGCAAATCGAAGGCTCACACCAAGGCCAAAAAGAAATCGCGCGCCACCACCACCTCGTCCAAGAAGAGCGGCGGAAAGGCAAAGACCAGCTCGTCGAGGGTCTGCTGCTGCTGCAAGGAAGGCAATAATAATCAGTGAGAGAGAGAGAGACGCCGCGTCGTCATCGAGGTAAAATGTAATCGACCGCGGCTCTTTTTTTCACTCGGGCTCTGGTTTTTGTCAGGCAGAGGGGCAGCAGCACATCGGCACCAGGCTCGTTGCCCGATAGAAACAACAACAACAACAACAATGAGGCCGATCCCCAGCAGCAGGTCTCGCTGGCGGCGGCGGCGGCGTCGTCGCGAGGTCGCAGCGGCAGCGGTGGCAACTACCGCGTCAACTTCAACGTGTTCATTTTTCTGTGCTACGCGGCTCTCACCGTGATCACCTACACCGTGGCCGACTACCTGCTCGAGCTCGCTTGGCCCAAGGGCGGCTGCGGCGGCTGCTCCCTGAGATACGTTTATCGCAATTGATTTTTTGCGGAGCTATTCGAGAAAAATCATGAATGAAATTTGAATACGGGCGATCGAATGGTTCACTCGAATAATTGGCAACGACTCTTGCAAGCACGATTGTTTAAATCGCCGTGTTCAACGAGTTAAATTTCAATTAAAACATGACCATCTAAAATCATGCAGTATGTAAATTTTCTGAAATTTATTCCTTCAAATTTAACATCAAACTTACAGAAGCCAGCGATAAATCGGATGGAAACGGCGTTTCTCGATTTTCGAGCTAAATTAAAAATAGTAAACTTAAGTTATTAGCTTTCGCAACGAATATTACAGGCGCGATTGAAAACGCAGCCAGAAGAGCTTCATTGCAATAATTTGCGGTGCATTCATAAAAGCTCATTTCCAAGAGCAAAGAAAAAGTCGTGTCCAAGTCGATTTTGAGGATATAGTACGCGGGCATCGCAAGCCCATAAGCCGAAGGTAAAGTCAAAAATAAGACTCGTTCGCTTATTTCTCTCTACGTATGGATTGTCTTCGTGTGTGTACGTTAGATATACATACAGAGACCGACACATCTTCTCTCGTAGTAATGCTGTATACATGGATTTAAAGACGTCTGTTATCTCGGGCGCTAGTGTTTCTTTTCGCTTTTGTAAACCACTGGGCACTCGTCGGGGGACGGGGTCACACGTTGTTTTCTTATGGCCGAAATTCTCACTTTTGTATTTCGATTGGTCGTGAGCTTATTTTGCACTGGTTAGCTCTGTTGAGATCATACCAGAGAGAGAGAATGGTGACGATATATTAATATAGAATGCGTGAGATAAAAACGGAGCTATGTAGAAAAGTTATAATTTGGCTGCTTTCATCTAAGAACTTGGATCATGTGCGATTGCGTATAGATTGATGCAACCATCAGTGGATATATCGACCGTTTCGACTTCGATATATTATGCGATAAGATTATTAACCCCTCGAAGTCTTTGTTTTTTAATTAAATGTAGGGGTGGGTAGTTGTCTCGTGTAAAAAATTAGCCCAAACACATCTCGATAACTGCCTCCATTCGATAGTTGTGGTGGCTCCATACCGACAGCGAAGTATCCACGAGTGACTTATGCTACGCTGGACCTACACACTTTCCAATCGTATCTTTTGTAGCTGCGTCCATGTGTTCTTTTACTTTCTATATAGATCGAAGTGCACGTGAATCGCCAGTACTTGTTACGACACCGCAGAGAGAACAGCCGAAAAATATCGAATCGTTTTCAGCGAGTGATTTTCGTTAAAAAATTTTAAAATAATATTAACTACTGTGTATTGTGTGGGAGGGCCGCCAACTTCCCAAACTTCTGGACATCTTTCGGCCCGAAGAGATCGAGCGTCTTCTCTTCGATTCCATGACGTTCATTCACAAAGGCCAGGATGTGGTTGAATTACGATCGTTCATCGGGTTCGCAGCTCGGCACCGGCTACAAGGACAGGCCCGAAGTCAACGAAGACGGCGATCGGTCATTGTCGCACCACGCCGGTGCATCACGCGGGTAGATACAATTACGAGGAAGCCGTGCTCGATCTGTTCAAAATTTACGACGGATTCGACGTGAATTACGTCGACGAGGAGTCCGGCCTCGCTCACTTTCATGTGGCCTGCATGATTTACTCCTTTGCACATTATTTGCAAGGAACGCTATAGCTTACACTGCAGCTACTAAGACAACTACGGCTTGCTGAAAATGTTTGTCGAGATGAGCAACTACGACAACTACGGCTTGCTGAAAATGTTATTCGAGATGAGCAACGACAGACATCGGCCTTTGCGGGTCAATCTTCGAGGAAAATTGGACAACACACCGTTGCACTGTGCTGTAGACAAAAATTTTGCAGAAAAACCAATTATCGAGCTGCTGCTGAGAAACGGCGCGATCGGAATTCAGCCAACGTAGAGGGATCGACTCCTTTGCACATCTTTTGAAAGAGGGACGATTTATGGGGTGACAATGATTACGATTGAACGAATACGTTATTCAAGATCCGCGATGACGATACCGATCGGCGGTTGCGGGTCAACCTTCGGGACGAGTTGGGCAATACACCGTTGCGCTATGCTATCGAAGCTGTGCAGAAAAATCAAATTGCCATATGGCTGCTGAGAATCGGTGCCGATCCGTATTTGGCCAACGCGGAGGGATCGACTCCTCTGCACATTTTTTGCAGCAGGGGATATTATTGGGAACAAGATCGTGCATTAGCAAATACGTTATTCGAGATCGGCGACGATATCGATCAGCCGTTGCGGGTCAACGTTCGAGACAAGTTGGGCAGCACGCCGTCGCACTCGCTGCTACAAAGCGAAGGCAACAACGCGCTCGGGATAGCTGAAGTACTAGTGAGAAGAAACGCGGATCCAAATCTAGCCGACGCCGAGGGATAGACTGCTCTGCATCTGATTTGCAAAATGCGCATACGATGTTCGCGAATATGGAATCATTCTTAGAGATCTGCGAGAAAAAAAATCAGCCGGTGCGGATCGATACCTTGGACCAATTGGGTCGGACGCCGTTGCAATGGGTGGTAGCGCTTCTTGACCCGGATAACGTCGATTTGTTCTTGGATCGTGGCGCCGATCTGTCCAGCTTCGTTTTTCCCTCCGGGAGTCACTTTACCGAGGCACGGAACATTTATCGTCGATGTAATTTTCCATTGAGACTAGTTATTTGCTGTCTGGATATCATCGAGTGTTTGGCGAAAAGAGGATACGAATTGGAACAAAGCGACGCCTTGACGATCATGAAAACATTCCACGAGTGCGAATCGTTCATAAAGTCGGCGGATTACGACGAATTTCGGTATGACGACAAGGAGTTCGCGAGCAGAGCGAAATTGATAATCATACGCCCGGGCCTGTCGTTTTACGATCTGATTCGGTCGCGACCCAAAGAAGTTGAAAAATCATTCACATATACAGACTATTTGAAATTCGCGGACGCGAATCAAGATCGGGACCTTCCTCAGCGGGAAGCTTGTCAATTGTATCTGTGCGAAAAGCTGACAAGAGGATTTTTCCGGCGATGGGCACCCGATCCTTTCATGATGTTGACGCATTATCGGCTGCCAATTCTTTGCTGTGAAATGATTATCGAGAACATGGGGAACAAAGACTTGTATAATATTTGCTTGGCCGCTGCAAGCTAAAGTTCGTGATAACGATGTTCATAATTGCTGTATTTTTAATTTCTGGTATTATTAAACGTTGTAGCTTTTCCATATCGTTCAAATGAATATATTTAAAAAAAAACTTCTCAAGGTCAAAATTATTAATGTACACACATCAAAAATTTATATATTACAATAAAACATTTATACTGTACCACAATTTAGTTACCCGTAACGTACCGTTATAAGAACTTGAATTAATTATTTTTGATGTGAAAAAATTAGCCAAAAATTGAATTCGTCGTGTGAACTTAATTAATTATTATTTCGCCCAACTAATTATCAGCTTACATAAGTAAAAGATAAATTAATTTTCGAGCTAAATTAAAAATAGTAAACTTTAGTTATTAGCTTTCGTAACGAGTATCACAGGCGCGATTGAAAACGCAGCCAGAAGAGCTTCATTGCAATAATATGCGGTGCATTCATAAAAGCTCATTTCCAGAGCAAAGAAAAAGTCGTGTCCGAGTCGGTTTTGTGGATGTAGTACGCGGGCATCGCAAGCCCATAAGCCGAAGGTAAAGACAAAAATAAGACTCGTTCGCTTATTTCTCTCTACGTATGGATTGTCTTGGTGTGTGTCTGTTATAGGCACTGTATATGTCGTGTAGATATATATACAGAGACCCGACACATCTTCTCTTCAACCGATGCTATATAGGCGGATTTAAAGACGTGTTTTATCTCACGCGCTTTTGCTAACCATCGGGGACTCTTCGGGTGACGGGGGCATGCGTTGTTTTCTTATGGCCAAAATTCTAACTTTTGTATTTTGATTGGTCGTGAGCTTATTTTGCACTGGCTAGCTCTGTTGAGATCATACCAGAGAGAGAGAGAATGGTGACGATATATTAATATAGAATTCTTAAAATACACATTCTCTTGGGCATACTCGGGATTTATTTTAACTTATGTGTCTCTTGTAAAATATACAAATTGTTTCATCTATGCATAATTGAAACGTCAAAAATCTATAAACTATCCTCATTTGAGGATTTGTTAAAGGTACAGACGAGTTTGGACAAAAATAATGAATTAGTCTCTATTATCTGATCCAGTTACCGTGATTTCTTCCTAATTAGCAAAAATATTTGATATCTTCAGAACTGGAAACATGTATAATAGGACATCAGGTCAAACGATTTGTAAAGCTCAATTATTTTTGTGTTAAAGATCAATCGTACACCTGAAATATAAGCTGAACTAATCTAATAAAATTTAACTATTAACATTGAAATATTTTTAGTTACGAAAAAGTCGAAACAACGCGTAAAAATAGTTTAGCTACGGCATTATTGAAGAGCAATAAATTGCCCTCGTTAAAGCAACTGTAAGCAATCGTGCAATTGAAAGACGCATCCAAGCTTTTTATTTACTTTTTCGCGTGGAAAACAATAGTTCATCCTATTGCTCTTTACTTTTTTATAGAACACGTAACTTCAGCAAATGATTATTTCATAGTTCGAAACAATATCAAGATCTAGTTCTCCAGTTACAAAAGCCGACGATATCTAAAACTTTCGGATTGCCGAAATATAGATCATTTAAAAGGAATGTGACCTACTCCGTGGGCGATCGCACGGTTGAGAAATAAAAATAAAACGTAGTTCAAATACGTTCGAAACGAAAAGCTTTTCTCAAATTTTCCTCGTGGCGCAGCGCGATTTTACTCGACGCAATTTCAAAAGCCGGCGTGAGTTCGGAAAAATTGCAGAAACATACGAGCTTTCCGAAAAAGGCTTTTACAACGGAGATAAAGTTTAAACGATCCAATTGCCGCGACAGTGGCGAGAGCACATGAAAATACTTCGCAATAGGCCCGTCCGTTAAAATTAGAAGCCATCGGAAATACTAGAAATATAGAAAAACGACGCTGCCTGCCGCGTGTTTTGTAAACAGACGCGCGCGCAGTTTTATTTTAAAGCCACGCACGGGGATTCGCTCGACGCGTCGATCGCGAACGTCAGCGCGGATCAATCACATGATGATTTTTCCCCCCTCGTTTTCGTGCATAATGCGGCCCAATTGCGTCAAATTTTTTTTTGAACAGAATTATCAGCCCCGGAGAGAAGCAGAAGATAGCGCGCGAGCACGCGTACACGAGAGAGCAGCTTTGTGCAAACATTCTACCGAGGCGAGAAAGCAGCCCAGGGCGTCGCGCTATTTCGGGGGCAGCGCAAACTAAATATGGTCTCGGAGCTTGCGGGCCGCCCCGGCTTTCTCGCGGCATTACAGTACGCTATATACGCGCCTCGTCGGCCCGTTCTTTCCCCCTTAAGAGCTTCGTATAGAGACTTTGGTGAGGCCGTCCGTTGTTTCGGCGGCTCGCGCATTGTGCTATATACGCAATTGTCGTCGCCCTACCCTCGATTAGAATAATACAATATCTATATCCCACCCTCGCCCAAGCCAGACGTACTACACACGTACGAGAGAGTGAGACGGAGAGAGAATAAGTAGTGGGGACTAGGCTCGCCGAAAGCTTACTTAGTCAAGTTCACAGCTATCTTTCGGGCAGTTGGTTCTCAGTAACCATCTCGAGAGTGTTTAAATACGAGGCCTCCTCTAATCCGAGAGTGTTTTAGTGTGTCTTTTTTCCTCACAACACCCAGCAAAAATGGTAAGTCCTATTAAAGCACTATGGTTTTTACCTCGACAACAACTACGGCAGCCAGTGATTGCGTTACGAGCAGAACGTTAATCTCTCTTTGCTCTCTCTATCTTTCTCTATATCTTTGTGCTCGCAAGCTGCGAAAGTGTAGCAAAAAGAAAAAAAAAAAAAAGAAAACAGTGATAATAACAGTGCAGAAAAATTCGGTCAGTGATAACGACTTGCGTGACGACTTGTCCGATCGTCGCGAGCGAAAAGCTTGCGGCAAACAGGCGAGGATGATGAAGTGTGCACAATGTTTTATCGCGCGACGCCTCGGCGATTTTCGCTTTGGCGTGACGACGGGAGGCCGCGTGCAATTTTCCATGATCGCGATCGCGACGCCAAATCCGTGACCAAGTGTGACCGCGGCGCACGATGCATAATAATCTGCATTTAATAAACGCGCTCGCCGCCATGGGGGAGAGCTGCTTCGGTTCGCCTAATGATATGTGCTCTCGCAGCCGCGCGCGTTCTTAATGAAGGATTTAGACTTAATTATAAATACACGAGAAAATTTGACTCCAATTAAAATGTCGCCTGTCGAGACTAATTGGCCAGCATCTTGTTCAAGAGGTAAACTTCTTGTCTAGATTATGCTTGCTTGTTACATCGAAAGACGAAAGTTATCTACATTTTTTTTAGCTTTTTTTTTTTAAATTTGTGTGAATGATTTCATCACGAGCTTTTCGTTAAAAAGTTTGAAAAAAAGTATCGATTTTTAAAAAATTGCCTAAATTTTAACGACGAAAGCTCGCGATATGTCCAACTTCATTTTGTTCAATTTTAATTTTTTTATTCGCGTGAAATATTGCAAGTCAAAGTACATATCAACGGATATTATTTAACCCAAATTATTTATAATTAGATACCGAATTGTAAGAAAATATTACAATTTTAATTTCTTTTCGAAGCAATTCAGTAATTAATTAAACAAAATTTGTCATTTAAAGTAATAGTACAAGCATTTAAACGTGACAATTTAAATTTTAAAGCGCACTTCCAGTAAAGATGCTTAAAAATAACGTTAAAGAGATTCGAGCTTGCAAATTATTACGAATACAACATTCCTTTAAATGTAGCATTCGATACGCCTCCGCTACGAAAATAGCAAAGCGTTGCGAGCGTAAACACTCTTAGAATGTCTTCATCGAGTCCGTAATAATCTATGCCTAATTTTTGCAAAGAAGCAAACAAAAACTGTCGGCTTCCTCAGACACGTAATACAACATCGCGGAGTTTAAAAATAAGAAAAGGTGGCGCAATAGCGAAAAATGCGAAACGAAAATACACTCGAAAAGTCGGCTCGGCGCAAAAATGGGCAGCTTTAAAGCTCCCCCGTGTCATACGTATGTGTGTGTGTGTGTGTGTGTGTGTGTGTGTGTGTGTGTGTGTGTGTGTGTGTGGGATATATTACGTAAGAAGAAAATTTTGCACCAGCAGCGGCACGGCGACGCGAGCGAGAGACCTGCTCTCTCTTCCTATACGCGTATTGTGTATATACACATCTACATATATAAATATAGGCTTTCGTGCGCAAAATATATAGGCGGGTCGGGGGCAAACGCGTAACTAATAATAGCCCGAGAGAGCTCGGAAGCTTGCGCACATACACAGAGGCGACGTTTTCATTTCCTCTCGTTCTCGTTCGTTCGTTGCTTTGAGCTTTTTCTCGTCCCCTTTTCTTTTTTCGGCCCGTCTATATACATATACGGCACACGCACACGTATATAAACATACCCATACGTACACATATATATAAGCAGCCGAATGCCGCGCGCTATATAGAGCTTGATCGGTGCCCGCGCAGTCGTAAGCTCCGCTGCTCATTCGAATCGTGGAAGCTGCTTCGGAACGTTCCCTATATATCGTCTAGTTAATTTTCAAATAAAATAAAACATGGTTAGTCGTTTGCACTTTTTCTCATCGATTTAATTTATTTAAATATTATTGATTCGTATACGAGTTGTAGTGAGTGATTTTTTTTTTAATTCATAACGTTTGAAAGGTCTTTAAAAAATAAAAGCACGCAATCGTCTTCGGAGCTTGCGAGTGACTATTGAAAAACGATATGTGCATTGATAAAAAGTTTCGATTGTGCTCGTGGTACTTTTTACGCGTAACAAACGATTATTTCATAACGATTGGAAAGCATATTACGAAATGCTGAAAGTGCCGATATACGCTCACGCCGCATCTTTTCGAGCTGATTCTATTTTTGGCTCGTTATTATTGCGGTGCATCGGATGGCCGGGGGCTGCTGTTTACGCGTCGGGAGTATTTCGCGAATTCGAACAATTTCGCGCAAAATAATAACGAAACCGGGGGAATGGAATTAATTTTTTTTTTTTTTTTTATATCCACTCGAATCGCAAACTCAAGGGTTTTTTTTTCTGAATTTGAATCACTTAGGCGGATAAAGAAAAGAAGAAGAAGACCACCAAAAAGAAGGACGATGGCAAGAAGGAGGAGGCGACCCCCGACGCGGAGCCAACCCCGGAGAAGCAGCCAACGCCGCCCAAGTCGGAGACGCCCAAGTCCCCTTCGGGCTCGTCCAGGGCCAGCCGCGGCAGCCGCAAGGCCAAGCGCACCGGCTCCAGCGTCTTCTCCATGTTCACCCAGAAACAGGTCGCCGAGTTCAAGGAGGCCTTCCAGCTGATGGACCACGACAAAGACGGCATCCTCGGCCGGGAGGATCTGCGCTTCATCTTCGACCAGGTCGGCCGTCTCGTCACCGACAAAGAGCTCGACGAGATGCTCGGCGAGGCGCCCGGACCCATCAACTTCACCCAGCTGCTGCAGCTCTTCGCCTCGCGCATGCAGGGAGGAGGTCAGTATACAGTGGCGGTTGCGCAATGCCGTGCAAAAAATTCCCCCGCGTTACGTCAGTTTACTTGATCTTTTATTTTTTTTCGTGCCACTACAACAGGCGCTGACGACGACGACGTCGTGGCCAAGGCCTTCAACACCTTCGACAACGGACAGGGCAAGATCGACGGCGAGAGACTGAGGCACGCGCTCATGACCTGGTGCGAGAAATTCACCGCGAGAGAGGTCAACGACGCGTACGATCACTTCTACATCGACGACAAAGGCATGATCGACATCGAGTCGCTCATCAACATGTTGACCGGCAAGGGCGACGACGAAGACGATTAGATCAACAACTCGCCGCGATTCAAACAAACACACACAAAAAAACACACACAGCCGTCACCGTATATCATAAATAAATAAATAAATTTTATTATTATATAATATAAAGAGAAAAAAAAAAGCCAAAAATATACAAAAATGACGTACAGTGCGCGCGCGCGTGCCACCACCATCGCCAGCATGTATATCTATATATATATATACCACCGCCGTCGACGCGTATATGTGGCAAAGAGAAACGGAATATATAAAAAGCAGAAGAAGAACCGATTCGCGTGATTGTTTTATAATGCGCGACGCGCGTCTTACAACTGCCGCGTAGAATGCATAAAAAATGTTTATATAAGTTTATATAAGTATATTAAAAAAAAAGAAAAGAATCATTGTAACATCGTAATGTCCAACGAACAATAATTAATAAGCAAGCAATAACAGCTCATGAAAACAGAAAAAAAAGTAAAACAAGCAATAATAAAGGAAAATAAAAAGGAATGAACAGCACCAAGGAAAGTGAAAAAGAACACACACTCTGTCTCGCTCTCTCTCTCTCTCTCACACTCTCTCTTCATCCTTGGATCGTCGTTACACAGTGGCAGACCCGTCGCTATTCCGTGCATCTTAATTAATTAATTAATTTTTTTTTTTAATAACTGTTTCCTTATTACAAATCGCATCGCACATTGCACATTGTTTTATTATTAATTTCGTCCGTTTAGTTGTGTCTCATTCGTTCCATACATATGTATCAGAAAGCAGCGTCGCTCGATCTCACTCTTGTTGTCAGGGGGCGGGGGAGGCAAGGAGAAAAATAAGCAAAGCACCTGACACGATTGTCGGAAAATGAACAGAGTATGAGAGCTTTTTTCTTTGAGTGTACCAATTCGTAGAGCTATTTATAAACGATGTCGACAAAAATGTAAGCGTCGTGAACTTTTTTAGCTCGAGCTTTGTGTTACATTACTTTTTTGTTTCTCGTTTATGTAACTCGTGTCTTTGTTACTTTTCATGGGAGAAATAATATATTGTGAGGATCGAAATCGACGGGTCTGCCGAGGTGGGCGAGGATTGCTCTCCTCGACTCCATATGATATATTACTATGATAATTTATTGTTCATATTATAATAAAGATATTTTGAAAAAATTCAAAGCAATCATGTTCATTTCGCAATTGCCTCGCAGCTCGTAGCACCACGGCGCGCGTTCCGCTCTATTTTCGGGTGGATTCTCGTGCGTACGTAAATATTTGACACGGCGAAACCGCGATCAAAAGGCTAAATATAAGGCCGGTCTAGAGCTTCGGTACAATTTCAAAAATACCCCGCACCAACACACAACGGGGAAGAGGAAAAAATGAAATTTGTCACGTGGCAAATGGAGCCTACCTTGCGGCGAATTTATGTGTCCCCTCGATTATTTCGCCCCGAGGTGAAACGAGGCCTTCGCGCGCTTAGAATATACACCGCGAATACACGGCTTTCGAGAAAGAGAGATGCACGTAGGTATCTTGATTTAAAATTGGACCCGAGCCAATTTTTCATTCGCTCGGATATGACGTATCGCCCGTTGCATAATCCAAATAAAGCTTACGAAATAAAATAAACGTTCGCTATAGAACACGCCGACGCGTCTAAATATTGGCTGCTCTCTACGGAGCAGATGCGAGCACACGCGCCTTCGTGAATTTTCCATTTGCTGTTTACAGCCAGCTATTTTGGCAACAATTTAACCCGCGCACGAATTATGCGTCGAAAAAAATGTATGAGAAACAAAAGTGTGTCATCGTTTTATCGAGTATTTCACATTTACTGCAAATAAGCATAATTGTTTAAATTTGAACTTTGATTCGACTTCAAAGAAACTTGAGATCCAATTCTCTTCGTAAATTCGGTAAATCAAGAGAATTCTAATTCTATATCAACAACAAACAGTTGAACATTCCATATAGTAAGCTAATGAATAAGGATAATTTTTAAAAATAAAAAAAAACTAAGGACGTTAGTGAAGTTAACGTAATTCTACATTCGTTGAGAAATATGCATTTCTCTTAATATTTGATGCACGTTAAGGATATCCAATAATTAAAATTGATTTATTCTACAAAAAATTAATGGTTTTAAGTAAGTTCGAAGCCTTCATCTCTAAAGTCAAGAGTCAAGAAAATACAATACCGTGCAGGTATTCGGAAAACAAAGCGTTGACCTACCGTCGTTAATGAAGAGTCGACGATCGCTCACGAAATCGGTTTCGTACCGCAACTGCCTCAAATCGAGATCTCGTATTTTTACGAATGAAATTAGACGCTTTCGCTTAGATTTAATCAATGGGCAGACCAGATGTAGGTGCACACGGTGTGTATATTAATTTATACCCTGTGACACGAACTCGAGCAAATGAAGGCAGCCTCGGAAGCCAAGTAAGTATCCGCGAGGCGCGGAGCGGAAATTAACGGCATGACCGAATAACTTGGACTTCTTCGCGCTGTGCTCTCTTCGCTTTTTGGAGTTATTTACATATTTAATTTGCTGTGCTAAGGAAGTTAAGACCGACTTATCTTGCCCTAATAGCACCTGTTCTTATTAATGGAGAGATTTGCTTGGGGGAGGCTGCGTATACGCCGGTGTATACCGATCCTATATAAAATCAAACGGCCCAGCTACGTTTTCCGCCAGTCCAGTTCGGCTTTCATCGCTGATACTTACTTCACGTTTGCCTTTTACAAAAGTTCGAATTTCTTTCTCGATTTTCGAGCGATGTCGACTTCCGAAGAGTCCGGTAACAAAAGTGACAGTAAAAAAGATCGAGTAAGCGTGATAAAAAAAATGAAAAATAAGTGTTAACGTTTACGATTCTAGCAGATAATTACATTTTTGATAATTCAATTGAAAAATACACAAACACAAATTTATTCAATTTCGAAGGTAAAAGAATCGTCGGAACAAAAATCTGCCAGCAATGGAAAAACAGATCCGAGCAATTTGCCCAGAAAAAGCATAGCGGAAATCAGTTCGGGACGATCGAGTAAAAAGCGAGCATCGATCAAGGACAAAAACAAGCCGCCAGCCGATAGTGACGAATATCTGTCCTTCGCCGAAATACTCAAGCGGAAACTATTTCAACAATTTTTAACTCAAGTGCAGAAAAAATCCGAGGAGCACAGAGCGAAGCTCGTTTCTCAACTGAGCGAGGTGATTAATTAAAATAAAAGTTTTATGGATGTGCGCGATCGGTGAAAAGTTTTTCAAATTAAATTTTGATCATTTTTGTTAAAATTTATGCAAAAGGTCCCATTTCGGTCAATAAAAAAAAGTTAATAAAATGGGAATCACGCTAAATATTTAAAAAAATATTTCATGGGTATTTCGAAACTATGTTCAAAAATATTTTTACTCACCTTGGCTATGGCAGATTTAAAACATTAAAAGATTAAACTATCAGTAGTTGTACCAATTAGTTTTGGATTTTACTTTTTTTTCTTTGCTTACAACAACTAGACACGACTTTGCAGGTTTTCAAAATCTTTGACATTAATCGTGATGGAATTATTGATGAATCTGATTTGAAGTTCACCTTTACATCACTGGGGGAAATGAACGTTTCTGAAGATAAAATAAAAAAAATGATTTCAGAAAGTCCAAAGCCAATTGATTTTGATGCATTTGTCAGCTTATTTGAGTAAGCAATATTTACCTGTAACATCATTCCGATAATAAATTAAGAATTACAACTCTTATTCATTTTCCAATTTTTAGAGATAAAGAAATGGAGTTTGATTCTGAAATGGACTTGATAAAAGCTTTTTCTAAATGGGATAAAAAAAATAGTGGCTTTTTGGATGAAGAAGAGTAAGTCTAATATTATAAGTATATAATATATGAATATGATAATAAAGGCTAGTTATTATTATTGTCGATAGGCTTAGAACAGATATTACATCATACGGTGATAGATTCACAGAAAAAGATACTGATCGGGCTTTGGAAGAAGCACCGGTATGTGATCAGAATGGAAAACCAACTATTGATTACATAGAGTTCTGTTCTAATTTATGTGGATTACAAAATATCACAAAAACTGATGTGTTTCATGAAAGATGTACAAGAGACTCCAGAAAACAATAAATAAGTAATAACAAAAATATATTATTGAAAATACAAATTCAATGTTTACAATATAAAAATAATATTTACAGCTTGAATGTAACTCATGTAGTTTTGAAATAAAATTCAATAAATAAATACAATTTTTGATCAACAGATATATATCTGTTGTTATACTTTACATTACTTCTTTGGTCTTTCGCCAAAAATTGCAGTTCCAACTCGAACATATGAGCTGCCAAGTTCAATCTAAAACAGAACATGAAAATTAAATAATCAGAAGTTCAAAGTGAAACAAACAGTTAAATAACTTACTGCATGTTCAAAGTCTGTAGACATGCCCATAGACAATTCAACTTCCTTAATGTCCAAGTCAAGTTCTTTACAAACTTTTTCTTTGCATTCTTTCAATTTAACAAAATCTGGATTAGGTCCCCTTGACATATCATAACCATATTCCCCTATTGTCATTAGCCCTTTGAATTCTAAATTGGGGCATTGATCAAGAATATACTTTACCATTGTTGATGTATTTTCAAGTTCACATCCACTCTTAGCTATTAACATCATAAATGTTTTGCATTAAAATGGCCATATTTTGATATAGTTTGAAATAAGAAAACAAAATGTACCTTCTTCCCTACTCGTATTAACTTGTACCATTATTTTAAGTTTCGTATCGACATCACCTCTAAACTTTGGCCAGCTATTATTGAGAGCTGTTGCAATTTTTTCAGAATCAACAGTTTCTACCATATACAGATTTGGAATTTTCAAGAGTTTGTTTACTTTGTTTTGTTGTAAGTGTCCAATGAAGTGCCAGTGTATCTCTTTGCATTGTTCTAGTATTTCAGGATTATTTGCTTTTTCCTCGAGTTCATTGACATAATTTTCACCAAAATGCTTTTGTCCAGCTTCGTAAGCACGAATGATGCTCTGAGCAGGATGAATTTTACCAACAGCTACAAGGCAAGGTTCAAAGTGCTTGTATTCCTGTAAATAATTGAAACATCATGAAACTGAACAGTGACACAACTTGTCTCAATAATTAGCAATTGTTTATGCACAATCATTTATTATATAATATGGTGAAATATTATTTTACCGCAGCTCGTTTGACCGACGCGGCCGCAATTTTGTCCCGTATAACTTGGAGATTGCTTGCAATGTCTACCATTTTCATTTATTAAATGTTTAAATAAAAACAGAACAATAAAACAAATTCACGCTATACGATTTACGTAACGATGTACGTTAATTTCAATGTCAAAAAGAGTAATGCCGGTAATTGTGAATTGTCACTGTGACTGAACCATTATATATCATGGGGCAATGTTTTGCTTTTGATAACGCCGTCAGCAGACAGCCGACTTTTTTTCTGCTCGCGCATGCGTATTGCGTGGTGAACGCAAATGTTTACAAGTCAAATTCTTTTCTTTTCAGAGCAAATTAAGTACTTTGCTCATTATCTGGAGCGAAATCCTATGATCGCTTTTATTTATTTTGAAATTATTCGAACGATAAACCGATAACTACTTTCTTAAGTTGCTTTTAATTAATTTTATCCATTGTACTTATCAAAAATCAGCTCAATTGAATCGAGTTTTTTCAAGTACTACAAACGTAGCTCTTCATACACTCATTTTTTTTTCGACAGGATTTTCACTCGAGTGTTCAACAAAATTTTGCACGTCTTCTTTTATTTTACAATCTATCGTACCTTTTCACAATATTTATTTTTATATAATTAACATCAACAGACCAATAATCCTTTGAATCAACGAATGACAACATATTTCTATACAAATTTAAATTATCAAGAATTTTAAACGAACACGTTGATAAAATGTATCATCAAATTACTACATTGCACAATGCTACGTTTGATTTTTAATAAAATCTAAGGTGGAGGACACATCGGATGAACTCCAAGCCTGCAATAAAAACATATTACAATCTTAAAATTAATATCTAGAGTTGCACTCTTGAAATGTAAAAATATTATACCCTTCGAACATCTTCCTGAACGCGATCATCCTGCCGTCTTCGCCGCAATCGAGCTCGTCCAATCGCCTCAGCTCGTCCTCGTCGAGCTCGAAATCGTAGAGCTCGAAATTTTCCCTCACCCGCTCGGGCTTGACGCTCTTCGGCACGACCGCCACGCCCTCCTGGATCAGGTGGCGCAGCAGCACCTGGGCCGGCGTCTTGCGGTGGGCCTCGGCGATGCCCAGCACCACGGGATGCTCGAGCGGCGGGGCGGGTTGCGCGAGGAAGGCCTCGCGCTTGTAACGCGCGTCGAGGCCCGGCGAGCCGAGGCTGCCGTAAGCCGTCACGGCCACGTCATGCCTCGCGCACAGCTCGCGCAGCTCCCGCCGCTGCGTGTAGACGTGCGCCTCGATCTGCAATCACACGCGGAGGGAATATATCATCGATCGTCGCAAGTTGCGGGGGCTGCTTCGTCAATGAACTCGTATACTTGAAGGTTGCTCGGCTTGATGTCGGCCTCGTCGATCAGATTCTGCAGCAGTTCGGTGCTGAAATTGCTCACTCCGATCGATCTGACTCGACCCTCTCTGACTTCTTCTTCCATCACCTGTTCGACGCGCGTACAGCCGTAATTAATGAGGTTTAAATTATCTGGTATGTACATAATCTTTAAAATTTACCTTCCAAGTAGCCAAGTGATCGGTATCGCAGTCGATGACCGGCATCCCGCTCTCATCCATGGCGATTTCGTAATCGTCGTTCCTGCCGATCGTGAACGGCGTGTGGATCAAGTACATGTCGACGTAATCCAGTGCCAAATTCTCCAACGACTGGCTGAGAAACAGCTTCACGTCCGATGCGCGATTCGCTTGAGGTGGCAACTTTTTCCAGAAAAATTCGAACGAAAGAAAAGTAATAATATTTTGTGTGTAATATTTGTACCTTCGTCGTGATGAAGAGGTCTTCTCGTTTGCCACCGGCGTCGAACCATTTCTTCAAACTGCCGCCGATTTCTTTTTCGTTGTAATAGAGCCAAGCGCAGTCGATGTGCCTGTAGCCACATTCCAGGGCCGCGGTGACTGCCTCTTCGACTTCACCGGGTCGGGACTGTAACAGTGATAACGAAGCGTAATTAATCGCCGAGTCTGAAAGTGATAAGCATAAAACTCATGCTAATTCGAGTCTATAATTACATTCCAAGTTCCCAAACCGACCATGGGCATTTCGTATCCCGTTGAGAGAGTGATTGTTTTCGCCATCAAGAGGCGGTGATGCAATTATTATCCTGTACTCCTAAAAACAATGTACTCGTTAATTAAATGCAATTGTATTGAAATATTTCAATGTGTAAAGACATGATTAATATTTTATTCATCACCCGAATCAATTTAAAAAAAGACATGATTGATCATACTTATGACCAAGGTTTGCAGTTTAGCTCGTAAAATGGCTTATAAGATAATGGCGTAGCTCTTTTTAGATTCGGCCTGCAAGCAGCATGAAAATACCTTTTACTATACCTGTGATCGATGATATGACAAGTGCTTGCGTGCCAATTATACTCATATGTATTGGTTTTTGGTAAATATTTTTACTATTTATCTCGATCAAAAGGTTGATTTTTCTTTCAACTTACTGATTTTATTAATTGAAGTATTCGATGAATTTATTTAATAAAATTTTTCTTTATAATTAAATTTCATTTAAGTTGATTCGAAAATTTTTTGTTAAAATCTTCATCTTATACAATTTTTTTACTTCGTCACTTGCAGATTTACACAGAAACGTACTCGTCACCTCGCGGTGGAAGTTTAACTTATCGTATTTAAAGCGGTCGAGATCTTAAAACATTGAAAGAGATTTTCACCAGAATTAGATACAATGATTTGCGAATCTATTGTCTTAAAGAAAAAAATTATACCATCGATGTACATTACCAATGAAAGTAAAAAAAATTGTTCTTTTTTACGACCGAAGTGCACGTCGCTTACGCCTACCAGCTGCAACTGCTCGTACTCGACTGGCGAAGCGTTATTTCAGGCGCACGTGTTTACGTATCAGATTCGAGGGGTCTCCAAGCAACAAAGTGACCAACATTCGTTTGAAGTTCATTTGGAACGACTCATAATTGGTCACTCCAGGTATCATCGCAAGGTCTCTTTGTCATTGTAATGGACAACATGAATTCAAATACAATAATATTCAGAATCTGTGCCGAAACAAATTTATCGAGGATCTTTTACGATCAACGATCGTATTAAATTGTTTGTGGTATAAAACCACATAATGCATCTATTCATTAGTGGGGTTCGCGCTCACGTGGATTGATGGTATACCGATCATGATTATAAGCGTATACACGCCACGCAAACGATTACACGCATTCGTTCATGCGTGCATATGTGTGTATGTGTGCAGCAATCTAGCAAATAGCCCAAAGTGCATTGCTAAGGAGAGAAGCGATCGGGACGAGAGAGAGAGTGAATGAGTGCAGAGGAGAGCGAGAGAAAAGGAGCAGAGCTCGAGCCGTTTGCAATTAAAATAAAGTGCTGGCAAGAATGTATGAAGTGCACATATATATAGGGGATGCTCGCGCGCGAACTGTGCCAGGCTATGCAACGCTCGCAGTATAGATACACGTGTATGTATACATAGGAAGAAATCGCGAGTGGCCAGGCTCGACGCTCTACGGCTTGAGTTTTTGTGCCTTTGGCTCGAGAGAGAGAGAGCTGCTATAATCGAGTTGCGCGCACGTCCAAGAGAGAGAGAGATAGAGAGGAGAAACCCCTCATCATCACCATCATCATTATCCATCTCGACGTATATATGGCGTGTTTGCTCTGCGTATATCTGTATACACATCCCAACCAGACGGATTCACGCTCTTTTCTGCGTCGTTTGTTTTTTCCTCTTTGCCGTCTTGGTTTTTTTTTTCACCGATGCTTTTTACGAACAAACAAAATGTGTGTGCGAGAGAGAGAGAGAGAGTCGGAACGGAGCCCATCATTACGCCGGGTTATTACCTAAGTATCGGCCCGGAGCAATGGCGAACTGCAGCAGCGGCGGCGGCGGGGCGGACGCGACGACGAGGCCCCAGTGCAGCACAGATATCGGCGCTGGATAAAAAATTCATTCCTCGCTCTCGCGCGCGCGCAGTACACGAGGAAAGCCTCTTCATTATCTCTTCACTTGCAGTTCGCTGCTCCCGCAGCGACTCCCTTTCTCCCGATCTTTGTGTGTGTGCGTGTATACATAACTGCACAACGCAAAGTGCCAACGATCCGCCGCAGTGTTAGTTGTTCGGATGCATCTCCGAGCTAATGTGCACGCCAAGTCCTCCACCGATTCAAGAAAGAGAGAGAGAGAGAGAGAAAATCGAAGGGAAGGGAGTAATTGGTGCTGAAAGGCATTATAAGCGCGGGCTTGTTTTCTCTCGTTTAATTCTCATAGTCGCTGGCACCGAATTTAATGATGATGTACGGCAGTACGTAATCTGTGTATGCACCGTGTGGCTCGTGCGTATTAAATTTTTGCCGAATTTCGCCAGCTCGCTGTATTTTATACGAGAGGAGAGCTTACCAGCCCTTTCAAAGTTTAGTAAATTTTTGCTTTCGTTAATAACTTATGTCGAATAACACATGCGATTGTTAACTTATATAATTATTTTTATACCTTATCACTTGCAGATTTACAGATGAAGGTATTCGCCATCTAGTGGCGAAAAATTTATAATTTCTCATTTTTAGGTAATTTAAAAATATTTGTATCACAATTCACTCTTCGCAGCAGAAAATTTACCAAAAAGAAGTCAAGCAGTACTCATACATTATAAAACATTTCAAATGGTTAGTTTTTGGTAATAAGGCCGCTAATAATATTGAGTATTTCTACCGGGGATACATGGCAAGTTCCGTCATCTGTAAGCATATGCGTGAAGATTTCAAGATAATAATAATGAAAAAAAAAAAATTAAAATCTTAACTAGATTCTTTAATTCGCTATAAATCATCCTAATTGATTTCATGTTGATACTAATATCCACTTGAGCGAAGAAGTATCGATTTTTGAAACGAAACCATTTAGCTAAAAAAAAAAAAAAAAACAAATTGAACGAGCGAGCTTAGTCGACGCCGGAGTGCAGAAACGAACTAATACGGATACAAAAAGATGAAAGAAAAAAGAAAGAAAGGCACGGCTCCCCATTAAGGCCTGCGAAAAACGCATGTGCATAGGTAAGAATAGACAGATACGAACTGGGCGAGAGAAAAGAGAAGGCGCGAGCGAGCGAGCGAATTAGTGCAGTTAATGTGAAATATTGGCCCAGCGCAGGCTCGAGCTTTTTTTCATCTATTTCGCTCCTCCACGACCGAAAACGAAACAACGCGCGGGCTTTGGGCGAGCGAGCGAGCGAGTAACGCCCAGCGCGCTTCTAAACTGTCGGCGCAATAGCGTGCGGCACACAGCACAATGTGTGTATGCAAAATAGCGGTTTGTTTAGACGATACATATATAGCTGATTTACGTATTATATATATGCTATACGCTCGGATGGATCGAGGCACACATCTAATGTATCGCTCGGCGCAACCCGCAACCTGTAATTACCACGTCGAAACACACACACGGGGAGGGCAGTTATACATGCCCTCCGTCGCTTAGGAATGGATATTTGCCCGAGCCGAGGAGATAAAGCCGGCGAGAGGAGAATTTATATTTATTTCATTCGTTTTGCTCACGACAGGTATTATACGTGTGCACTGTGCACACGGGATGTAGGTTGCACAGAGAGAGACGAAAATCGGCCGATACGTCTCGGATGCAACACACATCTACCGGGCGACCGGCGAATTTTTATTTACATATACGTAATAAAATATATCCTCGTCGATATTTTCTGCCCGCGCGAGTGTGCACTTTGTTGGACTGTAAAACAAACAAACGAACGAAGCGAGAGAGAGAGAAAAACCCGGGGGGAGGCCGCGCGTGAAATTCCTCGTCTCGAGTCGCGAGACTCAGCTCCGAAACGGTACGTGTTGCATTAAACACGCTGCAGGAATTGCAGTGGCGCGGCCGCGGCAAAAAACCCCGCGTATATTATAACGCGCAGAGAGTGGTCGTGGACGTATGTGTCCGTGTAGGTATATACACTCTGTGTATGTATATACCTGAGATTCTCGCGTGATAATCGCCGTAACAAATGACATCGTCGAACTGGCACGTCTTGTCCGCTCGCGCGAAAACAGAGAGAGAGAGAGAGCCCACGATATGTGCTATTCTCGCGACTCGCGCAGCTGGTAATATCTCTCAATCTCGAGTGTGCACTGCCTTGTACTGCCTATACATATATATAATATGTGTGTCTGTGTATGCAAGTGTCCGTTGCCGCGGCACACAACAACACCTCGAGCGCCCGAGAGACATCGTAAAACAAACGGTCTATACTCGCCTCGGATCTAGTGGCGCGAGTGCAGTCACAGCAGCAGCAGCAGAGAAGGGTTGCGCGGCTGAGCACTTCCTCGAGGCACTAAAAGCCGTCTTATATGTATATACGCGCGATCGCGAGGAAGAGGAGGTGTGGAGAAGGACGAGAGGGTGCAAGAACTCGGAAGGTGCACCAGATCCGCGCATCAAGATGTCTACGATATAATTGGATGAGCCTCGAGCACACGAGAGCGTATATAGCGCTATACGGGGCTCGGACGTGTGTCGGTTAACACCTCGTGTGCCGTTGCCACTGCTGTCGCCCCCCAAACTTTAACCGGCCCCGGCATTTCGAGCCGCTTAAGTCTAATGCGCTTTCGTGTATACGATACCTGAATAATAAAACGCTGGGACGTTTAGAGGGCTTCCTCGGACTCGACTAGCTTTTCATAGCTTGTAAAACGCGCGAGCGCCTCTTTAACCGGTTTTTCCCCCTGGTGCGCGCGCGCATGGTACACTACGTACTCTGCCTGCAAAGTACAGTCCTGCGCGCACTCATTGAAAGGATGAATGCGAGCGTGCGCAGTTGTATAGATATAATTTTCGAGATAAAGTATTTTTAGTCATTTTTTGAGAAAAATTACTGGAAAACTGGAATGGTTGTAACTAGAGTTGTTTACGTACGCTCAACGCGTCGACTGAAAAATCTAATAATATAACGATTCGACTGCAGTCAGCTTATGATCCATTTTATATCTGCTGCAGTGGCGATTGTGGAGCACACCGTGGCGTGGGGCAGCATATTTTGGAACGATTTCAAATTTTTTTATTATAAATTTGCAGAAGGGCTTATGTTAAAGATGTTTTTTTTT